TTCTGCTCGTTGCGCTTGGAATCCGCACCACCCAAGCTGGGTGAGATGTGTAGGTCGTAGCCAGCTACCACTTCGTCCATCACATCCCAGCGACCCAATTCAAGCCCGACCCTCGACTGTCATCATATGCTGTGCTTGCGCAATGGCAGCCACGAACAAAAGGTGCAACTAGTTAATTAAGACAAAGCTCCACTGCAGCAGCCGATTCTTGGACACTTCTTCTGGATGTTTGCTTCTCTTCGTCTTGTGCCTACGTCGTACCAGTTTCGATGGAGGGTCCGGCAAACACTTCGGCCGAGGGTTCTTGGCAAATTGTGGCTTCAACTTTGACCAGTTTTGGCTGATCATGGCGCATGATGCTGGTCACAAGCTCCGCATGCAGGCACTTGCCGGGGAACAAAGTGATGCAGGATTGCGAGAGTATGGGAACCTTTGACTCCTTGAAGAAGTGAGTTTAAAGCTCGCTGATGCTCCAAGATCTGCCATGGAAGTCTGACACAACTTCCCTCTTTCGATCGGGAGATCGGATCTACAAGCTGGATCCGATAAGCTTCAACATATGTTCGTCTTGCCAGTTGGAACAGAACATCAGTAGCATGCTGCAGCACCACCCTTCGCTGCCGGTGAAAGGTCCTTTTTCGCTCAAGAAGACGGTGTCACGCCGAGCCTGAGATGCTCGCACGCTGCATCCATATATTTGGGGATGATGCCCAAGGCAGGAAAGGCCTTAGTGCCGTAGGGGCTGCGCCACTTTCGAGCTTCCGGAAGCCGCAACACGCTGGCCTTGGCAGGCACAGAAGCAGTGGTGCCATGTGCGCCTGGTGACAACCGTGCTGAGCTGCAAGCACTCGTCGGGAAAAACCGACAGTCCTGTCCTTCTAGACTCAGCTTTGGAGCCTGGAACCGGAGAACTCGAATCTCGAATGCATCGCAGACTCTCGTAGACATGAAGATCTACTTGACAGACAGGCTTGAATCTTGGTCCTTGTCCTTGGATAACGCGACAGTCCGCAAGGATTCTGCGTCGAGCCAAACGGAGTGCAAATGTCCCACCTGCTGCACCAGCCCACTGGCAGTTGAGGCAAAGCAAGTCAAACTGACATGCATCAGGCTGGCATTGCAGCCCACATCTACAGTACTTTGCCTAAGCATGCGCGAGTGTCTGCGGCTGGCAATCGAAGATATCGTGCTTCCTCGCTGCAGCCGGCCTTGCCAACATGGTAGCTGGGACCTTGGGAAATCACCCAAGGTCTCTTGAGCCTTCGACAACTGTAAGCATGTGGGACGGTGCACCAATGACACACAAACATGGAGGACTGTTCTGGGACCGGCGGCTGGGTTTCGGCTTTGACAGAAGCTCTGCGGCCGTTGCCTGTACATCTGTGCTTCTTGCAGTGGGCGGGAGGCATGAAACTGTGCGGAATCAGAAGGATCAGTCCTCTTGACGTTGCTTCTTGGCAGGAGGCTCATGTCCTGCACTGACCACGTGGCGGCACAGGTCTGTGACCCACTGGGCGATGGGGAATGCTCCTGGCTCATCTGCCTCTTGTGCTGGCACCTCGCAGAAGAGCACCGTCAAGCCGGCGGGCGAGAAATAGAGTGCCATGTTGTCGGCACCGCTCCTGGGCCACGCCGGAAGCTTGCCAGCTTTAGCGAAGCAGGCATGCCTTCCTTATCTTCCTTGAAGTCAGCCAAATACATAGAATCCATAGAATCACACCCATGAAATCAGGACTTGCTCAAGCTTACGGACCTGAAGCTAAGGCACCAAGTCATAGGAACCGTGCTCCCCGGCGCCAGTCCTGAGGGCTTCGGCCGATATTCTGAGGGAATTCTGCGGCACATACCTTCAGCTCCAGGCTTGAGGCTTCGATGTCGCCACCTCCGTCGAAGTCGGCGAAGTCCAAATACCTGGCGCGAGTGCGCGCGCGCATCCCTGAGAAGACAACGGCATCGAGACCTTCTCGAACCGCAGAAGCTTGGGTGTAGTTCGAGGGAGTTTGAAGGATTACTCGCTCGGAATTTTCTTGCTGGATCTCGGTTGCCGGACGGGCCAAAGACGTCAGCAGGAAAGACTCAAGGTTGTGTGTGAGAAAACGTGCCCCTCTAGAAATTCCTCACGGCTAAGCAGCTAAGCTCCTGCAGAACATTGCAGAAAATTCTGCATCTTCCGACCTGGCCAGGGAGCCATAGTCCAGGGTCTCCTCTCGTTCATGGCATTTTTCAATTGAGTGGCAGACACTCAGACATCATGCTGAGCCTCGATATACTCACGCTTGGCCGTTTCGACAGGATCATTCTTATCCTGCACGGGCTTTGCAGCTTGTGCCAATTGAGAAACCGTGGGATGACTCGTGGGCATTCACGTGCGAATGCTGGTGCTGAACGCGCTGCCGAAGTTCTGTTTGGCGGGCACTTCCTTCTTCTCCTTACGCCCCATGGGAAACACCACCAAGCGCCTCAGCTCCGTACCCTGGACGCTAAACTTGGGACGCAGCTGCAGACTAACTACCACACAGCTTCTGCAGCTATTGCTGCCGCTTGTGCTCATGGAGGTCTGCTTCAAGGATTAAGAGCCACGCTCGGCGACTTTACCTTTCTCTTCGAGGCCCAGGAAGCTTGCCTTCACCTTTCTCTCCTGACATCTGGTCGCCCTGTCTAGTTCTTGTGTCGAGTTTCTGCAATCGTTGAGTCCTCCACGGCCACGAGGACTTTTGCAACAGCACCGCCATCGGTTCGGGTGAAAAACACCACGGCAGCGGCGCGGTAAGCCCCCTCGCGCCAAAGTTGCGAGGCGCTGATGATGCTGGTTATGGTCATGATTCGGACCACCATTGTCACGGAGGTCATCATCATCATCATCATCATCATCATCATCAACATCGCGATCCTTGGAATAGAGATAACGCCGACTTCTGAATTCTGAACAATGATGCTAAGGCTGCAAGCCGAATACTCTGCACGCAATCATGAGCTGATGGTCGCAGATCAAGCGGAAATTTGTTGGTAATGAGTAATGAATGTAGGGCTCAGGATTTCGGGCTTCCGACTTCTTTCGGCAGTCGGGGTTTCGGCTCTATTTCTCTCCCGAGTTACCCCCACAAACAACCTCGGCGGTTTGTCCGCTTTCTGCACCTTGTCGCAAGAAAGAACTCAGAAGGAGATGCAGCTAACATTGACCAGGTCACCGGCCTCCCGCATTCGGAGGTGCTTCCGGTGGATCTTCGTGTCCCTGCCATGGGAAAACAATTGCAAAGTCGGGTGAACTGAAGCGGCACATTTCTGTCTCTGTCATGAACCTCTGGCTTCTTGGCAGAAGGTTTGTCTTCTGCCTGTTCCGGCGATCTGAACGAGAGGCCACGCATGGCTATTTCGACCTTCACCTGCCAGTCGGTCTCTTGCCTTGTTCTTCTTCTTGCCCATCAGCGCGATGAGTCAAGAAATGTCACCGTGTAATCATAGAAGCGTGGGCTGCATTGGGTGTATCGGTCCTGGTGGCAGATGCATGCAATCCACTCTTCCCGACTTCGATGGAATTTCACCTAGTCTTGATGCTGGATAGCTGGGGAATCCAAGGTGGATAATCGGATAGCCAATCGTTCAATTTTAGCACGCTCGACTCTCGGCGGTACTCACCTTTCAGAGCTCATTCTTGACAAGCAACATGCTGACTTGAAGCAAACTCTGTCTGCAGCTGCTGCGCGGGTCTTCGGCTCCTAAATCGTGCCGGCCGCTCCGTTACGGGCGCGTTCGGCTACACTCGAGAAGCACAGGCCTTGATCGCCAAGCCGGAGGTCGCTAATCAAGCTCAGAGTCCACAACGGACTACTTCTCGTCGTGAGCAAGCTTTGCTTGTGAGGGAGCTGCCGAGAGTGCGCTGTACCTCAGAGAGCTTTGGAAACTGAAGGTTGAGGGAGGTTGAGGATAAGGGCAAGGTTAAGTTTCACGGCTCAGGCCGGCATGCGGCTCCACCGCGCCTCCATCTCCATCGCATTGCGAGTGATCAGCCGGAGGGCTTTGCACGAAACCACATCGACGACCTGGGCAAGGAACATCAGCCTTGCATCGTCTGGCAATGGTGTTGCTGAGGCACCAGGCCGCACAGCCGCGTTCAGGCCACGTGTGGATCTCAGTTTCCGTGGCGTCGAAACAGATTGATCAACTTCAACTCTTGGCCCTGTGCCAGGCCGGCTGGAAACATCCTGCTTCTACAGCTCTTCCGAGTGCTTTTGTTGTAGGTCTAGCCTTGCAGGTGTGTGAGCTGCAACCGTTGGCGATCAGAAACAATCCCCTGTCAGCCGCCTTTCCATGTCGACAGGCTGCTGGACAGGCGTCTTGTGCGGGAGAGCATGCAACACCTGCACCCAAAGCCATGAATCTGTAGGTCAGATTTGGGGCCAATTGGAAACATTGCTGCCCCTGTAACAACAAAATACGGCGGTGAAGAGTCAAAACAGAATTGACGGGTTCAAAAACTTTGACGTTTGTTTGGCAGTGAAACACGCTCAGTGGCCACGGAAATGACATCTTCCATACTCTGACAGACTTATTTCGGATTGCCGCATGTGGTATCGAACCTGCAAGACCTTTCGATACTCGCCATTAAAAATGAGGCTCGCCGTGGCTCATGCAATATAACATGTGGACGTGCCAGCAACGTACGACCGTAAGAACAGGAACCTGCGCACGTCACGTTTCCCGATACACGACGCGGAAGAGTGTGTAGGTGGCAATGCGAGAGCGTACCCTGAGGGATCGGGGCCATGGGCTCCCGAACCCAAAGGGCCCTGGTAGCGGTTCCCGGTGCGAAACAGCAACATGTGGCGCTGATGTGCCATCTCTTAATGAGCGCGAGTGGGGGAACGTCGGCGTCACTTTGCACCACTCGGGCCAGGTGAGGGAGTAGCAAAAACAGAATTGTAGACTTAAAACTTAAGCGAAGCACGTGAAAGTCTCTCAGCAGCGCTTCGACAAGCAGCCGCGGCGTCTGCCTGAAACCCTCATAGTCTGGGTGCGTAAGTTCCTGTCCAGGGAGCCAGGATGCACCCTTTCCGGTGGAGTAGGAGCATGAGCTCCATCAGGATTGCCGCCGAGGGCATTTTCCTGGACTTGATGTCCAGGAGGGAATAAATGTCTTCTTGGTTGTCCGGGAGCAATGGGATCACTGGACAGCGATGAGCGATGTCGTTCTTGTCCGCCAGGAAAGCCACCAGGAAGAGCGATCCAAGCAGCTCCAGGTCCGCGATGCGTCTCGTGGGGGATCCTTGACGACTCCGCTGCGAGCGGAGAAACCTGTTTGTGTGGGGTGCTGAAGATCTCCGTCAGGAGTACTGCAAAGGAGCGGATCAAGGCCCCGGGTTTGCCCTGCCCGAGGTCAGGCACGCCTGCTTCCAGGCCCAAAGCTTGCGAAGGTTGGTGGAGTCGGACTTGCCAAGCAGTGGCATGACACTGATTTTCTCACCGCGACTTCATTCAACCTACTTCACAGTTTAATGCAGTTGAAATGTACTCCGAAGCTAGACAGAAGCAGAGCCTACATTGGCGTTGTGGGAGCCTATGCTCCCGTTTAGGAACTCCGCTTAAACGAAACAAGATTCGCCACCGAAGGACTTAATTCATCGATTTTGAGCGTTGAGTAGCTCTGCTGGTTGTTGCTAGTGTTCTCGAAAGCCCGTGGGGCTGAGAGTGACTTGGCCAAAAAGCTTCCCGGCCCAAAAAAGTTGCAGAAAAGACTTTGTAAGTGGGTCTTCGTGGGCCGTCTGTACGGAGGGCCGCGCCGGATCAAGACAAATCCCAGTCAAGTAATTTTCGAGCCATCCAAATCTTCTTGCAGCTGAAGGCTGAGGGGTGTGCCCAAAGCCAGGAGGGTCAAAAGGATAGCAATTCCTGAGGCCTTGGACCGTTTGACTGGCAGGAGCCAGAGGAAGTCGTCTACAAAGACGAATTGGGAAAAGAGTAAAGCAAACGAGGAGGGCGGTCGGCCTGCCCAAGTCGAGCCGGGGCGCAGCCGCTAGCCATGCCATACGTGCCCGCCTTACCAACCCACCATTGATGACCGAGCCTGGCTCCATGACACGTCTGTGTGTTTTGGTCACGTCAATTTGAAGGACGACCCACGCAGTCTCGAAGTCCGACAAAATGCCAGTGTCGGTCCCTAGTCCAGCTTCCTTGGCCCCTGTCTCGGGGCTTACGGTTTGCTCGGGGGGGGGGGGCTGAGTGGCCGTTGGGGACAACGTCCAGAACGGTGCCTTGGCCTCCTCTGCTCCCAAAGACACCTCTTCGACGAAGTCCTTTTCAGTACCCCCCAGACCCCCCAGCCAGACCAGAGTGCCCCCAATGCGTCACCGCCTTTCTGGCCAATCTTCTGGTGCCAGGTGTCACCACCAATGCCCTGGCAGCACCATAGAGGCTGTTTTGAGTAACGCCCCGTGCTGGCGTTGTCTTTTTGCGATGTGGTAGGTCTCCAAGACCCTCTCAACCCTCCCTCGAGTAAGTTGCTTGCCGCGGAAGTGCAGGAAACGGGTCCACGACATCGTCCTGGGTCATGTTGCGGATGATTTTCTGGAGGTGCACGCCGATCTCGCGGAAGCCCTCCGGCATGCCCTGGATAACGAGGTGTCCAGCAGCTCCTGGCGCCGCGATGTGGTCGGAGTCTGTGTCGTCGCCCAGGAAGCCACAACAAAGCCGGTAAGAGGGCCTCGGGGCCAACGGCACTCCATGGACGCTCCTCCTCAATCACGATCTCTGAGACCTTCGACGTCATCTCGGGTAGTATTCTCCCGACCTGCGCATTCTCATCGCCTTCCTCCACCAGGGGGCAAGCATCGTGGTACCCTTCGTCTAGCGTTGCTCTATCGCAGTGCAGCAGCGGCGGGAGTGGCTGGTGCGGCGAGTGTGCGGCCTGATGAGCGAAGGCGAGTGAAGATGAAAGTTTCGACGAATCACAAAGACTAGAGGGAAACGAGTCCAACGCTTGAGTCAAAACGGCTCTAGCATATTGCTGACACAAGGCACTGACTTGGCGCAAGCTGAGGCAATTAGCCTAAGACTCGGGGCGAGTGAAGCTGTTACTACCAACCTTCTTCAGCTGTCTCTTCTTCTTGTCTACTGGCTACCATCTGGTAGTGAAGCACCAAACCCGCGAAGAAATCAAGTACAGTCGTCCTTGCAGAGCGAAAACGTCAAACGGAGGACTGTTTAAACATCGCTGCTGCTTCACTGACCGGCCTCAGTGTGCCCGCGTCCTCGCAAAACAAACTTGCTGAGAACGATGCCACAGCCTCAGCTCAGAGTGCACAACGGACTCTGTGGCCGTGAGCAAGCTTTGCTTGTGAGGGAGCTGCCGAGAGCGCGCTGTACCTCAGAGCAGGGTTAAGCTTCACGGACCAGGCCGGCTTGCGGCTCCACCGCGCCTCCATCTCCATCGCATTGCGAGTGATCAGCCGGAGGGCTTTGCACGAAACCACATCGACGACCTGGGCAAGGAACATCAGCCTTTCATCGTCTGGCAATGGTGTTGCTGAGGCACCAGGCCGCATAGCCGCGTTCAGGCCACGTGTGGATCTCAGCTTTCAGAAGACATCTCGGTTTTCTTGCGAGCGGCACCCGCCGTCACCAGCGCGTCCACAGAGCATGCAGCGACAGCTCCGACAGTTCAGATATCATGCGCTCAGGACAGCCCCAGCTGGGGAAGCCTTACAAACTCAAGTTTCCAAGGCGATGCTCTTCCAGGCGGGTCGGCCTTGGCGGCCCACCTACAAGTGAAAGCTTTGCCGGGCATACGGAAAAGGGGTCCGGATGTTTACGGGGTCCGTGGTCGGTGCTGCCAACCCACCTCCGCAACTGGTTTGCCCTTGGCAAACACTTTCCAAGAATCGGACGTTTCTCTTTTCGTTTGGCTTCAGGAGTGACTGCACCCCAGCTATTGTCAGCACGAGGGGAAGAGCCGCAGCACAATTCACCCCCGACCCCTTCCACAACTCTCCACACTTGGCTCCTGACGGACAGGTGTGACTCCGATACCAGCAGCAGCGCAGTCACACCCTGTTGAAGGCTACGACATTGCCACAACACTATTGACAGGTGTGTTGGAGCTTCGCCTGTGGATGGAACTTGTGCTCCAGGTGTCCGAGCACAGTAAGGTCGCCCAGCGTCGCCTCAAGTCACCAAGCGGCAATTCTGCACTGCAGAGGTTATTTGCCACACTGCAAGCTGCGTAAATGCAATGCTGTCGGCACGACTGAGCCAAAATTCAAATGGTTGAAAGCACTGCGCACACCGCTCGTCGAAGCAGGTTTTGCCGGCGGGCCAGCACCGAGTCCCCATTTCGTCAAACCGCTTCAATGGCAGTAGGCAAAGCATGGAGTCGCCTGTCTCAGGGCGGCACCAGTCTCCGAAGAAGCTCGCCTGCGTTCAGTACCCAAAACCAAGCCGTGGTTTGTGCTAGATGGACTGGTGTCAGTCCTGCCTGTGCCTGGAATGTCATTAAGCAAGTCTGGTGAGCACCCTGAAGCCTTGCACTGCTGGCAGTGTCGACAGACAGGCGACAGGCGGCTGGCTGTGGTGCCTCCGTCATGAATGTGTGGACCAGGTGCGAAGGTGGAGCTTCCTTCAGGCTCATGCGACAACAGGTGCTAACACCCGAGCTTTGAATTTTGCTGCAAACGGGTACCTCAGTGTCTCTCGTTGCTATTGCAGGTGGAGGCACGTCGAAGCGACCTTTCATGGACTGGCACAGGAGAGTCTTGATTGCTGGGACAGGAAGCTCGTAACCAGACGGGGTGGCGCTGCATCTCTGCAGGGAGTGTGAACAGCGAGACGTGCATGGCCCTCAGTCCGAGGCGTTCATGTGCTGCTAGACCATGTGCCGTGGCAGTGGTGCGATCTGCAACAGCATGAAAGCTGTCAGCCCATGTCGAGGCTGCAGCGGGTGATAGTAAGTAGTTACTGTTCCCGAATCAACGAAGCCTGGCTTAGCAGGTCTCTCCTGGAATGTTCAAACGAAGAACAGATGTCTTTCTCTCACCAAGGCCTTGCCAAAGTTCCCAGGATGCCTGCAGCACAGCTTCGGGGGGTCTCTCTCTCTCTCTCTCTCTCCCTCTCTGTTTCTTTCTTTCTGCTGGGCGAAGGGGTCGTTAAGACCGCTCTCTCTCTCTCTCTCACACACTTCTCATATCCCAGGATACACAGTCAGCACGGCAGATCATGCAGTGAACATGCACGGCTCCTGCAACGGGCTTAGTACATTCACCGCGCTGAGCAGGAAGAGTCGCGGCAAACCTCGTGAAAATGTGGCAGCTCGAGAGCAGCTGCCCAGAGCTTCACACTGAGGCACCCGCGGAAGTAGATGCCATCAAACTCATCTCCTGGCACCTTAGCGATAACGTTTTGGAAGTCCTTCGGCCAGGGAAGCAGAGCCATTGCAGCATCCACAGCTGAGGCTCCCTCTGCTGGCTGCGGGCTGGAGCTGCTCATTGCTATGGGCCACCTGCACTGCAGACAGCAGTGACATCAATTCGCCTACTCTCTGAGGAAGCCACGTGCTCACAAAGACGCTGCGATGGATGGACAACCTGGGAGCCCAGACTCGTTGCTTCGAGGGATGAAGTGGTGTGCTCATGTGCGCTGAAGATAGGGGCAGGGCATGCTGCCAAACTGTTCTGGCATTGCAGCACTGCCAGCCTGCCGACTCGAGCACCAGGAATAACACGATGCGAAACGCTCTGAACCATCCGCCGCCAGCCTCCTGCGTTAAGCAGCCTCCTGAGGCCACCTTCGCCTACAGTCAAAGTGCTGCCGGTCGCGCTTTGCAGAGCGTCGCTTGTGTTTGTGCGAGACAAAAGAGGTGGAGAAAACGAGATACATGGAGAGAGAGAGAGAGAGAGAGAGAGAGAGAGAGAGAGAGAGAGAGAGAGAGAGAGAGAGAGAGAGGGAGGGAGGGAGGGAGTGAGAGAGGGAGGGAGGGAGGGAGGAGGGAGAGAAGAAGAGAGAGAGAGAGAAAGAGAGAGAGAGGGAGGGAGGGAGGGGAGGGAGGGAGGGAGCCTGCGTGGAGCCAATATGCAGCCGGAGCCAATGAGTAAACAGAAAGGGAGGGAGCCTGCGTGGAGCCAATATGCAGCCGGAGCCAATGAGTAAACAGAAAAAGTCACCGAGAGTTTGACAAATAGTGAGAACCGTGTCGAGGAGCTCAGCATGACGTCTACAGGCAGTCACTGCATCTTCCACATCAAGAACCTCTGAAGTTTCGCGAAGCTGTCATAAAAATCCTACATCAATTCCTACACTAAAGCTTGCTTGGGTCATGGCCATCAGCCGCCTTCGAAGCTGCGTGTAGAGACCGGGCTGACTCCAAGAAGTGGTAATAGCTGGCCTGTAGAAAGCCCTTGTCCTAGGCAATCTCGTCGTTCTCCTCGCAGGCAGCCTGCAGCTGCCGTCTGGATTGACTCCAGTAGCTTGACTTGGATAAGCTGGGCGCCAAGGTTGATCCAACATGTTCACGACGACTAAGTCGAAGCTGCGCTTGTCCTGCGTGAGCCTCAGCCCGTATCAAACCGTGGCATTTGCACCAGACGTTGCCAAGGTGGAAGAGGTGTCGTTTGCCTAATTTGAGTCCGAATCCACACGAAAGCATCCTCAAGGACGAGCTCGACCCTGTGCCGAGCATCACTGTGAAACTTGTCCGACTTCCCCGATTTTCGCACAGCAACAAGCGTGTCCGGGGCACCGGGGGTCCGAAAGGACTTCAGCCTGCTTGGGGAAGTGCTTTCTGACGACCTTCAGGACGACCTCGTCCACCTGCAAGCAACTGTCGCTCGCTTTCTCGTGACATCCCAGTCGGCATGACCTCAACCACCACGATCTTTTGGACACTCGGCCACTTGAGCGCAAGTGCTGCTACTCCACCTGTCCTGCGGAAGAGCACGCACGCAGCCATCTTTCCTAGCTTCTGTGTCTTTGTCCGGTGTTTGTCCGTCGTGGAGGTCTGGAGACTGTCTGACTTGCTCAGTACCTCCGTCTAGCAGCGCTACTGTACGACTTGTTCTCAACATGCCCTTGGGAAGGGATGCAGCCCGAATGAATCGAAAGTCAAATCATGTTCCGCGGCTTCAGACCCGAGCCCCGAAATCTAACCCTCTCAAAGTCATAAACAGCATGAGGTTCGGCAGTGCAAATCAATGTCCCGCCACCCAGGACAAGAACCTGAGCTCAGGTCCACCCGCGATCTTCAGCTATCTCAAGTCAAAGGTGAGTGCCCGGCGGACTGGGCCCGACTACCGAGAACAGCCAAGGCTGGGAGTGCGAGGACCTCATCCTCTGCAGTGCAATGTCTTACTACGACGGCACTGACACCACGTGTGACGAAGGAAAAGAGTCGCAGGGGACATGATTGGGCCCCTGCTCTCTCTAGGGATTTCTCGTCCAGAAGCAAGTCACGGTCCTGATAGAAACCTCGCACAGCCAAAGGCAGCGAGTTTCGTTCATGCGAAGCAGAGTGACAAGATCACGGGAAGACACTGTGTAATGTGGTGCCACGATAGGTGGTACTCTTGTGAGCTGGCGCTCACTGCTGCATCCATGGTTTCGTGCTTCAGGTATAGCCAATCTGCAGCTTGAAGCAAAGCACATTTTGCCGTGAAGTCGCGCGGGGTTGGAAGCTTATTGGCTTTATGCCGCTACGCGATGGAGCCTATGTGGGAACTTGACCCTACCAACAGCACAAAAAGCCGTGGCTCTGGCTCAGAGAGCTACCCTCCGCCGACACTTGCACCTGTTTCCGAAGCTAAGGCAGGCGCCCACATTTTGAGACAAACAGCATGCGGTGCCTTGCTGCCATCGATCCCCTTCATCTTGTCGATGACCTGTCGGCTGACGCATTACCGCATTGCTGCAGCCAGCGCGCCGAGCGACAAGACAGGCACCTTCTCTTTGCTGGACGTCACCCTTTTGAAAAAGGGAAGCGGTCGAACGACAGAAGATGGAGCCGGCAAAGACCCCTCAGCAGAATGGGCCCCTTCACCGATCTCTGCCAAGAACAGGGATATTGGCGCACCTTCTCGTCAAAGCTCAGCGACAATCCCAGCAAACGAGACCTTCACAGAACCCAAAGTTTATATGCATGCGGTCAACAAGCCACTTCACTTCACATCTTGTCATCATGCATGGACATACGTGATATTGCTTGAGCTTTGCCATGCCGTGCCATACTCTCGTGATGAGCAATTGCAGAGCTCTGCCAGCGAGATGATCGCGGTCGGTCGTCTTGTACCCAAGGCCACAGCACATCAGCCGGGATGTGTCGGAAGAGAGCGTGATGCTGAGCTGCTCCACCCTGGGATAGCGAAGGAGAACAGATGCCCTGTCGTGGCACATCTAGATCTCGTTAGCTTCCGACATAATACTGTCCCAGAATCTGCTGCCTGCGCGGGCATCTACACGGACTTGACATGTGCACTCGAAGCCATATCAAACCAATGAACAGAACTGCTCAATCACGGCCTTTGCCAGTGGTCCCAATCCACAGCTGCTGGATCCAGTGGTTTCGCGCCTTGAAACATCCACTGCTTAGCCAGTACTGTAAGACTCATGCCTCCTTGTGGTACGGTTATCTCAGGCACGTGCTGCTCAGAACCAGCATGTACGGACCCCTGCTCTCGTTGAGAGGCTGACAACACTCAGGTCTCACTACCTACATTCCTACATGGCGCAGCAGAAGACAAGGCAGAAGTGCAAGTAGTCCGGAATCATTGCATGCAGAGGAAAGACCTGTCGTACCACGGGAGGACAGCATCTATACGGACTGGGCATTCAGTAGAACCCAAGCATGCAAGGTCTACAGCCGGAAACATATCTGCATGAAGGCCGTAGAGCTTGCGCATGTCTTCTGGGTTTGCGATCCTGAACAGCATCTCAGCACCAGGGCCCCTGTTACCATGGGGCGCCTTAGGCAAGGACGTGCCAACATTCTGCACCACAATGCCATCTTTGGTGAGCAAACCTTGCACAGCGCATTTGGGGTTGTTTCGCGCCTAGAAGCTCTTCGCCAAGCTGAGAGCTCCCGCCTCTCACCTCTGAGAAGAACTTCTTCGACCAAGCCCTGAAGCTATGGCCAAAGCAGGTTGTCCGAGACAGACAGTTGAAACTTAGCCTGGGCACCCCTTCACGGGCTCATCAGTGAAGTCGATCACTATAAGGTCAAAAGTAGATCTGCCACTTTTGTACTGCTCCTCCACCTGTAGAGCAACATTGAAGCAAGGCCACCCTGCTGTGCAGTCGTAGGACAGCACGAAAACTCCCGAGCAGCCACACTTGGGACCCCCACCCACGAAAACGCATCCAGATGTAGCATTTCGCATCTGCTGTCATTGAGGCCAGCTGCCACTTTCGGAAACCACCTCAATGCAAGCTGTGATCCGTATGCGCCTAGCACAACAACGTTTGGCAAAGCAGACAAACAAATTATGGGTCCGGGCTTTGTAGCTGCCTGCGTGACGAAGCTGTCGATGTCCACATTGACGATCTGAACAGGCATGCAGCACTTTGCGACCACTTTGTGACCGTCTGTCTTCCGAACCTGGCACAAGCCTGCCTTCATCCTTCGGAAAAGACTCTAGTCTCTCAATGCTCAGCCGTCATCTGTGCACGTGCGAAGGTGCATATCAACCTGCAGTACATGTGAACTATTAGGAGCAAACTGCCGATTGCTGGTCGCTCGTTCTGTCTTGCCGCGGGGCATTATGTTTTCGGAGCCCCGGGTTGGGCCCACTTCCCGGCCTGCTCCACAGTGTCAAAGCGCAGTGCAGCGGTTGCAACGCCGCCATCCTCCCCCCCCGAACACACAAACAGAAGCATTGCTCGCTGCATGAACCGGCGAGTAACAGGAGGAAAGGTGTCGATCAACTGCAGCTCTGGCAAACAACAAAAAATGCTGGGCTCTACTCAGGCCCGAGCACCGCCACCCAGGATCAAGACCTTTCGCTTCTGCGAACCCAGCCTCGGACCAAAGATGACAGCTCTAAGTTTCAGGAACAGGCAACACATTGAGAATCCTGACCCACATGTCTTTTCGCGAATTTACGTTCCCGAGTCTTTGGCAAGCTCAGAGCTGGATAGACTAAGGCCTCGTGGTAGTACCGCCTCGCAAAGATTGGACATCGGCGTGAAAGCAAAGCAATTGAAGCAACTAGCCAGGGAGACTCGAATCCATCACTGAGCTGCCGGACATCGCCCAACCTCCCCAAACGTCGCTACTCAATTTTAGGAGTTTTCGCCGGATGGTCTGAGAGCGTAAGGTTGGTGCACCAGCTCTCGACAAACCTTCTCCCCACACATGTTGAGCCATACCTGGTGGAACCCTCGAACAACAGTCATGGTTTCGTCACGCCTCGAAGGCTGACGACTGCATGCTCGAGTGGCATCATGCTTGCAATACATGGGTCCTGGACTGCAGACATGTCAAGCTTCGTGATGCAAAAGTGCGGAAGCCTCGCCAACCTGGTACTCAGACTCCCACTTGTCGAGCCTTTATGCGTACTGGAATCAAGCATGTTCGGCTTTCTGACTACACGGGTCGACAGTTGAGCGCCAGGACTCTTTCTGCTTGAAGCTGCCGTGCGGGGCGATGCTCTCCTAGGCTTTTGCCCGGCAGGCTGCCGTGTCAACTTCGAGCGAGCCGTTCGATGAGCCGAGATGCAATCGAATGGGTGAGGGCCTGCAGAATGCCGCGGAGCGCAGCCTGCACAGATCAGCTTTCCGAAAAGTGGCTACCCTGCAACCCTGCTAGATTCCGGGAACCATCATCAGCCTCAGCAGCAGAGAGGTAATCGCCTGATCGCAGGAGGGCTTGGCAAAGTGCCTCTGCCTCGGGACCCGGGCGTGAACCAGGGACCAAGCAAGTACTTCGCTGGAACGGCTGCAATAGTTGCAAGGCCATGACAGACAGCCACTCGTCAGATTCCAGCAGGTGCTCCTGCCAGTCAATGCCCAACACTTGGCACAGGTGCATCAACGACGTCCTCACCACCCGGCAGCTGTGCTTGTAGCAGGGAGCCAGCAAGAGCTACCGACACTGCCTGCTTCTCAGATCTTTTGCGTAACGTACTCTACCTCTGAAGGCTGGAAACTGGGACACGGGCGCTGAGGGCCACCAACACTCCAAGCTCTGCTCCATTGAAGCCCAATTCCTGAAGTAAGGCACCCTGGTACCGGAATCTAAGTTCGCACGCTTTCCCGTGCCTGCGCCAAGAGATCTGCTTGGACATGCGACAGCCCGTCCTCGGCGCTCTCTTGCTTGCCGTCGGCAATACATACTTTCTGGCTGAAGGCACCGCCGAATCCACGAAGGCAATGCCCGCATGCACAGCGAACTGCCAGGCAACTAAGATTGGGCATAGCATAGTCATAGTCAAGTAGTATCTAGCGTCTTGATTCAGGATCGGATAGTGCACCTAATATATCGCATCCTTCAATACATGTTGAATTGAATTCTGCTGCTATGCATGCTCATGACGACAGCGCACAGGATGAGCATACGTGAGAGGCGGCTGTGAAACCTACTACGAGCAGTGGAAGAGATGGAGCTACACCATGATCTAACCTCTGCTCTCCTTTGTTTTGGCGCAGAGCCGCAAAATGAGAACGCAACCTGTCAAGACACAAGGTGAATCGCCGGATCTACGATATACTGATATCTACTGATGAATGTGCCGACTTGGTTCCCTGCTGCAGTCACTCCAATACACTGCGAGAATTCGAATCCAAAACCCCAAGAGCTGGCCTGGCCGAGGTGTCTAGAGCCCATGCTCGCTTCGAAGCTTTGCAACAGCGAGGACAACTTTCCGGTATCCTGCATTGCATGTCCAAAGTGCAACACACACACACACACACACGTACGTGTACGCAGGCACTACTGCACACATGCATGCATTCATGCACGCACGCATGCATTCACACATGAACACGATGACATACACATACACACAGAAGACAGACAGACAGACAAACATATAAATGCATAAACAAATAAAATACAACTAGACATATATAGATATATGGTCAGGCGTCTGGCGTTCCCAGCCCCCCCCCCCCCCGTGTGCGGCTTAAACCGGGTTTATTTGGAAGCTGGTGCTTGCACTCTAGATAGGGAAACAGTGACCTAAATCCCTTATATATAAACAAGAGCCAGCTTCCAAATAACCCCGGTTGGGGGTCCCGGGCGGGGGCAGGGCCGGGAATTAAATAATTTAAATAATCTAAATCCTGGCCAGGGGGGTTCCCGGGGGCCCCGGGCCCCAGGATTTAAATAATTTAAATCCTGGGGAAGGGCTCCGGATTTAAATTATTTAAATTATTTAATTCCCGGGGCCCTGGACCCCCGGGGACCCCTCCCCTTCAGGATTTAAATTATTTAAATTATTTAAATTATTTAAATTATTTAATTCCCGGCCCCATTTAAATAATTTAAATAATTTAAAGAATTTAAATAATTTAAATCCTGGCACGGGGGGTTCCCGGGGGCCCCGGGCCCCAGGATTTAAATAATTTAGATAATTTAAATCCTGGGGAAGGGCTCCGGATTTAAATTATTTAAATTATTTAATTCCCGGGGCCCTGGACCCCCGGGGACCCCTCCCCTTCAGGATTTAAATTATTTAAATTATTTAAATTATTTAAATTATTTAATTCCCGGCCCCATTTAAATAATTTAAATACTTTAAATAATTTAAATAATTTAAATCCTGGCCGGGGGGGTTCCCGGGGGCCCCGGGGCCCAGGATTTAAATAATTTAAATCCTGGGGAAGGGCTCCGGATTTAAATTATTTAAATTATTTAATTCCCGGGGCCCTGGACCCCCGGGGACCCCTCCCCTTCAGGATTTAAATTATTTAAATTATTTAAATTATTTAATTCCCGGCCCCATTTAAATAATTTAAATAATTTAAATAATTTAAATAATTTAAATCCTGGCCGGGGGGTTCCCGGGGGCCCCGGGCCCCAGGATTTAAATAATTTAAATAATTTAAATCCTGGGGAAGGGCTCCGGATTTAAATTATTTAAATTATTTAATTCCCGGGGCCCTGGACCCCCGGGGACCCCTCCCCTTCAGGATTTAAATTATTTAAATTATTTAAATTATTTAAATTATTTAATTCCCGGCCCCATTTAAATAATTCAAATAATTTAAATAATTTAAATAATTTAAATCCTGGCCGGGGGGGTTCCCGGGGGCCCCGGGCCCCAGGATTTAAATAATTTAAATAATTTAAATCCTGGGGAAGGGCTCCGGATTTAAATTATTTAAATTATTTAATTCCCGGGGCCCTGGACCCCCGGGGACCCCTCCCCTTCAGGATTTAAATTATTTAAATTATTTAAATTATTTAAATTATTTAATTCCCGGCCCCATTTAAATAATTTAAATAATTTAAATAATTTCAATAATTTAAATAATTTAAATCCTGGCCGGGGGGGCTCCCGGGGGCCCCGGGCCCCAGGATTTAAATAATTTAAATAATTTAAATCCTGGCCGGGGCCCTCCCCCAGGATTTCAATTATTTATACTGTTTAAATGGGGCCGGGAATTAAATACCACCCCACCCCACCTACCCTCCCTCACCCAGCCCTGCCACCCACCGACCCTCAGCGCCCACCCAGCGTCCCAACCCCCCCCCACCCACCCTTCCTCCCACTTCACACTCCCTCCACCTCCTGCCCACCCTACCTCCCAAACACCCTCCCACCACCCTCTCACCCACCACTTCAAGGGCTAGGGATCCCACACATCTGCGGGCAAAATCTGGCGGAAGTGATCCGCCACCGAGCAAAAAGCCTGTAAATACCGCATTAAACGAAGGGCCAGGGATTTCACACATCCGTTGGCAAAATCTGGCGGAAGTGAGCAGTCGGTACCTCCGCCAGATTTTGCCAACAGATGTGCGAAATCCCTGGCCCTTTGTTTAATGCGGTATTTACAGGCTTTTTGCTCGGTGGCGGATCACTTCCGCCAGATTTTGCCCGCAGATGTGTGAGATCCCTTGCCGTTGTTTTAACGCGGTATTTACAGGCTTTCTGCTCGGTCGCGGCTCGCAGGGATTAGGGGGACACCCCTTGCGCTCTGTGGTTTTCTGATCTGAGTTTTCACAAGACCTTAGGGGGACACCACTTGCGATCTATGATTTTGGGATCTGAGTTCTTACACAACCTTCCCTCCACCTCCTGCCCACCCTACCTCCCAAACACCCTCCCACCACCCTCTCACCCACCACTTCAAGGGCTAGGGATCCCACACATCTGCGGGCAAAATCTGGCGGAAGTGATCCGCCACCGAGCAAAAAACCCGTAAATACCGCATTAAACAAAGGGCCAGGGATTTCGCACATCTGTTGGCAAAATCTGGCGGAAGTACCGACTGCTCACTTCCGCCAGATTTTGCCAACAGATGTGTGAAATCCCTGGCCCTTTGTTTAATGCGGTATTTACAAGCTTTTTGCTCGGTGGCGGATCACTTCCGCCAGATTTTGCCCGCAGATGTGTGGGGTCCCTGGCCGTTGTTTTAACGCGGTATTTACAGGCTTTCTGCTCGGTCGCGGCTCGCAGGGATTAGGAGGACACCCTTTGCGATTTGTGATTTTGGAACTTATTTGTTATAACAACCTTTAGGGGGACACCACTTGCGATCTGTGGTTTTCGGGTCTGAGTTGTCACAAAACCTTGGGGAGACACCCGTTGCGATCTGTGATTTCGGGATCTCCGTTCTTACAAAACCTTGGGGGGGACACCCCTTGCGATTTGTGGTGTTGGAATTCATTTGTTATAAAAAGCTTTAGGGAGACACCCCTTGCGATTTATTGTTTTGGAATTTGTTGTTTCAACGAACCCTTAGGGGGACACCCCTTGCGATCTGGGTTTTTGGGATCTGAGTCTGTACAAATCTTGGGGCGACACCCTTGTGATCTGTGATTTTATCTGTGTTTTTTGCAGAACTTCAAGGAAAAAAATTTCTTGCCGACGCAGGGGTAGATGGAGCTCTCTTGTCTTTCGTGAAGTTGAAGGGGCCTGTCTGCTGTGCTGAGATGGACCTCTCTCCCGTCTCACTACATGGGAGGAAGCTCTCAATCATTTCTTGTGGAGGATGAAGTAGAAGACTTTTCTTTTTGGAAGCAAGGGGAGCCCTGGCTTCTCTTGCTAGGAGCGAAGTCTCTTCAATCTTCTTAAGATAAACGCGACTTACCAAGAGGTAAAGGCTCTCTCTGCTCAAATAAAGCTCTCGTCGCTTACCAAGAATAACTTGGAGTGAGCTCTCTTCCTGCTTCACAGCAGGGTAAGGTAGAGGACTTGGGCTTCTCGTCTCGTTTTGAAGGCCACGGGGAGGACCGGCCTTTCTCTTGTCAAGGATTGAAATTTGGAAAAGCTCTATCCTTCCTTCCTGATCGTACGCTCCCTTCCAAGTTTTTATCTCGAGGAGGAGATGTTCAGGAGCTGTCGCTCCTGACGAACAGAGAAAGAAGTTTTCTTCTTATCGCCAGAGAGGCAGTCGGAGCTCCCTTCTTTCTCGTGATGCATTGTTCTTTTGCCACGAACAACCTTTGGGGACTGTTTTCTTGCTTTGGAGCATGAGGTCTTTTCTTTTGAAGGCTGGCGACTGAGGAAGGTATAAGAAATCTCCTCTAGGGAAATCTGCTCTTGCCAAGAATAACTAGGAATGAGGACGCTCTGTCCTCACCTCTTGAGAGTTATTTCTCTTCTATCCCTTGGAGAGGAAGTGGTGGCAATATGGAGAAGTTAGAAGGGTTTCTTTCTTGATTCAGAGGGTGGGGTAGAGGGCTGCTCATGTCTTATTGAAGGCTGAGGGGAGGATCGGACTCTTCTTCTGTCGATTGAGAGAGCTCTGTCCTCATTTCTTGAGAGCTATCTCTGTTCTATCCCTTGAGGAGGAAGAGGGGACGACAAGGAGCTCCTCTCTCTTCTTGTCGACTAAGAGGCAGCCGCAGTTCTTTTTGAAACTGGAGATGCTTTGAGCCCTGTCTTCTTCGACTAGAAGCGAGCTCCCTTCGATTCTCTTCAGAGGAGATGGAGACCTACCAAGAGAGGGAGGAGCTCGCTGCTAGAAATCAGCTGAATGACTTGGAGGGACTCTCTCCGTGTTTTCGTTGAGGGTTGGGGGAATCCCTACCGTTTCTTCTTGAGCGTCAAGAAAATAACAGGATCTCTTTCCACTGCCAAGAGAGAAAGGAGGTATCTTCTTCTTGTGCGTATGCTGTTTTCCATCTTTTGAGAAGGTAAGGGCAGTAATCAGGATCTCTTTCCACTGCCAAGAGAGAAAGGAGGTTTCTTCTTCTTGTGCGTATGCTGTTCTCCATCTTTTGAAAAGGTAAAAGAAATGCTCAAGATCCAACCCCTTATGAAGAGAGAAAGGAGTTATCTTCTTTCCGACCGATGGGTAAACGGAGACCTTTGAATTCTCGTGAACTTGGAGGGGCCTGTCTGCTGGGCTGAGATGAAGCTCTCTTGCGTCTCATTACATGGGAGGAAGCTCTCAGTGATTTCTTGGGGAGGATGAGGTAGAAAATCTTTCTTTTTGGAAGCTAGGGGAGCTCTGTCTTTGTTGCTAGGAGCGAGGTCTCTTCAATCTTCTTAAGACGAAAAGGCGACATACCAAGAGGTAAAAAGGCTCTCTGCTAGAAGGATGCTCTCTTCTGTTGCCACGAATATCCTGGAGACTCTCTTCTTGCTTTGGAGCATGAGGTCATTTCCTTTTGAAGGCTGAGGGACGACCAGATGTCTCTGTTTGAAAATTGGGGGAAGCTCCACCCTTTCTTCTTGAGTTGGGGGGAGCTCCACCCTTTCTTCTTGAGTGTATGCTCGCTTCCATTTTTAAAACGGCGACGGAAATAATCAGGATCCCCTCCCCATATCAGGAAAGAAAGGAGATCTCTTCTTGCCGAAGGGTAAACGGTGCCCTCTTCTTTCTCATGAAGTTGGAGCGGCCTGTTTGCTTTGTTGAGATGGCGCTTTCTTTTGTCCCATTAGTTTGGAGGAAGCTCTCAGTCTCTTCTTGTCGAGGATGAGGCAGAGGATTTGTCTTTTTGAAAGCTAATATTCAGAGCATGGGGTAGAGGGCTGCTCATGTCTTGTTGAAGGATGAGGGGAGGATCAGACTCTTCTTCTGAAGATTGAGCGAGCTCTGTCCTCACTTCTTGAAAGCTATCCCTCTTCTATCCCTTGAAGAGGAAGAGGGGACGACAAGGAGCTCCTCTCTCTTCTTGTCGACTAAGAGGCAGCCGCAGTTCTTTTTGAAACTGGAGATGCGTTGAGCCTTGTCTTCTTCGACTAGAAGCGAGCTCCCTTCGATTCTCTTCAGAGGAGATGGAGACCTACCAAGAGAGGGAGGAGCTCGCTGCTAGAAATCAGCTGAATGACTTGGAGGGACTCTCTCCGTGGTTTCGTTGAGGGGTGGGGGCATGTCCGCCCTTTCTTCTTGAGCGTATGCCCTTTTCCATGTTTTGAAAAGGTAAGGGAAGTAATCAGGATCTCTTTCCACTGCCAAGGGAGAAAGGAGGTTTCTTCTTCTTGTGCGTATGCTTTTCTCCATCTTTTGAAAAGGTAAAAGAAATGCGCAAGATCCAACCCCTTATGAAGAGAGAAAGGAGCTATCTTCTTTCCGACCGATGGGTAAACGGAGACCTTTGAATTCTCGTGAACTTGGAGAGGCCTGTCTGCTGGGCTGAGATGAAGCTCTCTTGCGTCTCATTACATGGGAGGAAGCTCTCAGTGATTTCTTGTGGAGGATGAGGTAGAAAATCATTCTTTTTGGAGCGAGGTCTCTTCAATCTTCTTAAAACGAAAAGGCGACATACCAAGTGGTAAGAAGGATGCTCTCTTCTGTTGCCACAAATCACCTGGGGACTCCCCTCTTGTTTTGGAGCATGAGGTCTTTTCATTTTAAATGCTGAGGGATGACCAGATGTCTCTACTTGAAAATTGGGGGAGCTCCACCCTTTATTCTTGAGCGTCCTCCCCTTTTCAAGAAAGAAAGGAGGCCTGGGCTGGGCCGGGCTGGGTTGCGGCTTGGGCTGGGACTGGGCTGGGCGCGCTGGCTTACTCCAGCTCGCCGGTACCAGTCAGCCTGCCTTCCTGGGAGAGTCTGTGATTACTCCAGAACCCGAGTGTGCCTGCCTTCCTGGGAGAGTCTATGACTACTCCGAAACCCGAGTGTCAGCTTCCAAATAAACCCTATTTAAGCCGGCCCCCCCCCCCCCCCCCAATGGTATGGTCTGCTAGGGGTGGGGGGGGGGGGGCTGGCGTGTGCGGAAAGGGGTCGGGGCCGTTGGAGCTGCCACTGGATGGTGGGATGGTGCTGGCGGCCAGGGCTCACACGCAAGCCCTTCGCAAGCAACCCGTAAACCCTATAACGCAGCGCGTGCCCCGGCTTTGAGTAACCTTAACTTGCACTTCGAACCTTACACAAAACCCTAAACCCCACCTAACTGCAGGCTCTAAGCCTAACACAGAACATACTCAGCAAATCCTCCTTAAGCCCTTGTCGACTCGAAGCGCTATACCTTGCAACCGTAAACCCAACACTCAAAAGCTTAATTAAGCTAAACCCCAAACCCAAAACCCCACAACCACCCCACAGGGGGAAGAGGGACCCCAGCTCCACACCACAGGGGAGGGGGGTCCCACCCTATATCCGGACCATTGACCTTTGGGGGGGGAGGGGGGGGGGGGGGCCGCGGAGCACGTGACCATATATGCCACCCGCCTCATGTACCCACGCTTTGTGCTTCAATCGTCCAAGATCGTGGTCGTGTCCCTACAAACCAGCATCTCAAATGCATCAATGTACCACTTAATATGTTCTTCTATGCCAGTATCAAATGCAGTTTCACGATTACCTTATCCAATGAGTTTACTATTGTGGTCATAGTCACGTTTCTGAGCCCGTCAATCATACAGTACCAACTCATTTAACACTCTGTACCTCCCCCTGCCTATGTCTCAATATACAAAACTTCTCGGTACAGTCTTCCTGTGAACCCGCCCGGGGTGAGCGGCAAATTACCCAACAGCTGCAATTCACACTATTTCTTGTTGAGTCCTGCATTTTCTCACATGTTGACAAAGCGTAAACCTACCAGCCATTAGTTTTGAACCTTCACACCCGTGGTTGCACTATTAACGACATACACAAACACTGTGAATAGAAGGATGGCATGTTCAGCAAACATGCTTGTTCATCAGCACCAGCTGAGACAGGTTTGTTATTGGTGAAGACCACAATTCAACATGCTTGGCTACTTATTCTATGTACTTCTCTTTGTAATTTTGTTTTGGCTACTTATTGAACGAGTTTGCCGGAGTCGCAACTGAAACCGAACACGGAGTCAACTTGCCGAGATTTCGCGCAAGCGCAGAGCCAAGTCTAAATGGGCCGACTCGTAGAGCTTAGCTCTGTCCTCCTAAACAAAGGCACTTGCCCCTTTGCGACAAGCCAGGCCACCAACTTCCCTGCAAAAGCCACGACTCAACCGAAAGGCCAAAGACACGAACCCGCCTGCAACCAATCCTGCAACAGACAACCGTGCGCCGTGAGCCCTGTTGGGTGGAAGCCCTTAAACGGGCTTTATAGAGCGCACCCTTGCTGAACTGCCAGGAAAACGGAACAACTTCCGTACAGAGGAGCGTATGCCGGGACCAACCACTCTGTGCCTCATTTTGTGCAACGAATGCATCAAAAGCTGCCACCTGTGTCCCGGGTTTGCGCTTCACTTGCGCCCCTCGCTTATGCCCCTCGCATCCCTCGCTTCTGCATTTTTCTCTTTCCTGTTGGGCGCACTCCTTGTTGAGTTCTTTCACTCCTTCGGTTTTCGTTTACTCCAGGCTTTCGGCTTTTGGTCCGGGATTGAAGGGTGCGGGTCGGTTGGTCGGCTTCTGATGCAACGTTTTGGACCGGGTCTCTGGTGGCTGCGGAAGGTGTGTGTCCGGGTTGGCGGCACACAAGGTCTACGGCAAATCGAGCCATGCCATGCACCGAGATGGTTCTGGACGTCAGTCTGTGACAGCATGGGGCGTAGATCCACAGAAGTTACCTAGATTTCGTCTTTCTCGAAAATACGATGTTTCGCGAGAACATAGTGCAGACCGCTCGGGATATGCTGCATTTTTCGGCAGATAGAAACCTGCGCGTGCTGTGCTGTTCACCAGCAGTATCAATTCTGTCCCTCAGCTTGGGAGTAAAGATGGGGTTGAACTTTGACAGTCGCCTGCCAACTCGAGGTCTGAAGTTCAAGCAGTTTCAGCATACTGTACCGGGCCGTTCATCACATGTAGGATTCAATCGCACAGTCTCAAAAACCGAAACATTGCAACATCCCCCTGTCGCAGACACACAGGCATATGTACCTATATATATATATATATATATATATTATATATATAAACGAATAAGTAACTAAATACATGAACAAGCGAGAATATGTGTGTATACATCTATATACACACACATGCAAAATTAAGTCTGCTATGTACACACATAATACACATCGACACACCTTAAATCAACACACATGGATGCGCAGATGCATGCACACAGGGTTTGCATGCAGATACACAGAAAAGCACTCGAAGTTCCTGGGACCATGCGCTCCGACCCAGCAAGCCATCGGGATCATGAATAACCACACCTGGGAAGGTTTGACTGGGAGGTAGCAAAAGGTCACACCAACGAACCCAAGATGAAGCTGCCAGTGTAGCATGAAGCGGCGCCACGATGGCAGTCTCAGGTTGAAGCCAGAGACATTGTCGGTACCGCCCTGGCAGAGACGCGAGCCAGAGGTCTGAGGCCACGAAGAGCCCCCGTCCCAGCTCAAGCTGAGGCAACGACCGAGGGGCCTGTCCATCCTGGAGGCAGGTCACGAGCGAACACATGAACCTCGCATGTGGCCAAAGGCGCAGTCCTGCTGAAGGGTAGGTCAGCAGGAACCCGACCTTCGTCAAAGTCAAGCATCGGCTCGGCTTGAGAAGTTTGCACCGGGCCCGGCAAAGGTTCAGTCACTGCTGTGATCGAGGAGATGCTCAGTGCGCTCTGATTGCTCGGTAGTTAATGGGTTCGGCGGCCGTGAATGTGTCAAAGCTTCCAGCGAGCAGCCGAAGCAGTCCTTTCTGGCCTTGGTTGTCGAAATGCAGAAGGCAGTTCCAAACACCCGGTGCACGTCACCGACTTCTGCCTAGCAAAAGCTGGCTGAGCCTCTGACCCATGGCTGTGGGCCGTGCAAGCTGGCTTCATACTTGCTCGAAGACACTACCCCATGCTAGTCGACTCTAGATTCCTATAGCTGAGGATGGTGGTGTGTAAAGCTTACTGTTCCCTGGTCAAGTTGGGAAGGCGGGTGACTTTCGGGACTTCCGGAGCAAGACTGGCAGCGTCTCATCTCAATTTCTGTCGAGGTGGCTCGCTGGACAGCGGTGCGGCTGCGACGTTCTCATTTTCGACAAGGCAAGGGCGGCCACACAAGTTCAGCAGGATGTGTTGTGAGGAAGCTCCAGTTTCGCGTTTTCCCCGACATATCGGAGCGTAGGTCGGCGTCGTCTGAATGCCGGACTGCCCTCTGGGAGCGAGAACGCGAGCGCGACCGCGACCGGCGCGGCTTGTCCAGGGTGTCGAGCACGAGCTGCAGCTCGGCTGCCTCGTCAGGAAGTAGCATCGATTCGCACCTCGCCTCCCCCTTCCCTGCTAAGAACTAAACGTTCGTTGGAACAACGCTCACCGTTTTTCATCGACCAGCAAATACGAATTTCGCTCCTGAAGGCAAGGAGGGTCCAAGGCCAGGGGCCTGTACGGAACCTGCCGCTCGTCATTACCTCTTGAGCAATCTTTGGCTCTCAAATCCCCTAGCCGTAGCCTCTGGACTCCGAGCTCACAACCTTGTCATGCCAGGCTGGTCTCCCACACAGTTACACCATGTGCTTGTCTCTGTTTACAAGCCATCTTCAGTCGCGTTCTGCCTGGTTCAAAGCTTTGCAGAGGACTTGCAAGAACTTCGGAATGTCTGGCAGCATGATTTAGGCTGCCTGGTGTCCACGCGAAAATCATTGTTGGTCTACTTCCCACCCACAGCAAGACTCTGCTGCGTGTGTGTGTGTGTGTGTGTGTGTGTGTGTGTGTGTGTGCTTCGGAGTTTCCAAAGACCGGCGCTCTATGTACATGGTCGTCGAAACGTCAAGGAACTTGTTGCCGAAACAGTGTCGCCCAAACCTTCGAGGCCTATGCGATTCACCTGCTTCACGTGTCCCAGCGGTCCACCTTGTTGGGCCTCTGCAGGCGTTGATCAGCGGGTTTTATGCTGTGTAAGATGCTAGCCCTTGAGTCCGAGTGAAACCAGACCGGACAAGTGAGAAGCGGCTGAGATCTGTGCGAAGAAGGTCGTCCTCATGTGGTCCACCAAGCGTCTGCAAGGTGCATCCAGGCACCATACCCGGGAAGCGACGCCATGTCCTTTCACGGATCTTCGTACCCTGCACATCTCCTGGTTCCGTTTCGTGCACAATCTTATCAATGATCATGGCCTGTTGTCGACTTGAGTCGTGGTTCTTGTGGCAAGTGGTGGCAGCTTGTCGGTGTGCGCATCATCTCTTGCCGACTTCGGCCTACCAGCTCACATATAGCAGTAAGACTTCGGTGGGGCAGCTTCGCACGCATGTAGCAGCAGGCCTGAATGGACGTGCTTTCCTCCAAAGCGCGATGTCTTCAGCCCGTCTTCTTTTTCTTCTTCTTCTCCCCATCTTCATCCGATGCGAGAAGCTGGTTCAATGCCTGGCTGCTTCGACATGGAAGCTATCAAGCCGGCGATGCACATAAAATTCCAGAAGGCCCCGAACACTGCCACGTAGGGAGATTCCAGAATAGCTTCTGATTAGGTGTTGCTACTACGGCCTGCACTTTCTGTGACTGCTGCGTCACGACATCCCTCAGCTCCTTCATGTCGGCCTGCTCGACATCACAGAAAGCCCATGCCCGCGCTTGGAAGCAACCCGATGCTGCCTTCATTCCCCGCTCGGTTTGCACCATGATCTCTGTGTCCTCTGCCTGATCCGTGAGTTCCATAGATGCTCGGATCTGCAGTGCCATCACGGCTGCTCTCACACGCAAATTTTCTCTTCGCCGGATGAGGCCAAGGCCAGTGAATTGATCTTCTCTTTGAACTCATCCAGGTCTTTCACCTGCCACTCTCAGACGCCAGAACACCTGCTCGAAATCTCCTCCAGCGGGCGCACCCGAACTTCCCTCTCAAGATGTTCTTCGCCAGCATCACTCGACCTTGCAGCTGAATTTTCTTGGTGCCTCGCCTGACAGAGGGTCTTTTGGGTCTTAAAATTCCAGAGGCCGTGGCTCCATGGCGATGCAGCGCGCGATGGGGAAGAAGCCGGTGTTGTTCTCCTTGATCTGCTGCCTCGTTCGCGGTGAATCCACGGCACGCCGTTTGCCGACATTCAGGCCAGATCCAGGTTCCCGGCTTCACATAGCTCTCTGGGCCATTCAGCTCGGCTGGATCAGTCTCTTCCAGATACAAGAGAAATCGAGCGTAAGCCCACATGTAGTGTTCCTGCACGAGCTGAACGGGGCATGGAGTCGGGATAACCCTGCTTCAACTTTCTTCATGGTGATTTCTACTAGCAGTAGATGATGACTGAGCAGAAGCCGAAGACAGCCAGTCTCTACGGAAGTCCAAAAACTGTCCCACCCTCGCGTTAATCGATGGCTGTCGACTTACAGCTGCAAACCGGATGTCCTTGAGGATGTGGTTCCTGGGCCAAGAAACGGACATAATCAACTGCAGACGGCATACGGCCCGCATGAAAGCATGCAAACAAGATGGAGTGGCTCGAACTTCACCCTTTTGCGCTCCAGCTCAGACCTTGGTCTTCACACGTGCAGGGAGTTAGGGGAGCAAGCGCACTGGCAGAAGTCGTCAACGAAAACCCGCAGACGTGCGAGAGCTAGGTCAGCGGCTTACTGAGGGAGCATATGAAGCAACTAGACTTCATCTTCTCCTTCGACCACAGCGAACATGCCACATCCCATCCTAATCAAGGTCACCATGACTGCAATAAGTCCTCGATACTCTTCTGCTCCTCCTTTAGGTCGGCAAATGCATCGATGATAATTCCTGGCATGAGGACATCACAGAAAAAACATCTCGCTGTGATCATGCCGCTGTTAGGAAGCAGCCTGAAATAATTGCCGCCATGATCAGAATGATCACCTTCATGGCGTGGATGCCGTCGCCATTTTAAAGACAGAATGGGCGAGACGTTGTAAGGACTGAACCAGATTATAGACGTAGTCGAATGTGAATCGCGTGTAGGTGAGCTTCGGACCGCTCCAGACCTTTAGCAAATGCCGGACTGCTTTGCCGAGCTGCTTCCCGTACTGTCACTTCTGCACATGTTCGCGAAGTTCTTGGAGAAGCCAAGGCTGGCGCCGGTGCACTGCGAAACCCATAGTCGAAGTGCGCGCGGAGACACTCCATCCTGTGCTGCTGCCATGAACGAAGTAGTTGTCTGCCGTCTGCACAGAAGAAGCCGAGGTGAGCGCAAGGTGGAACAGGCGGAGGTGTCCTGACACTGGAACCGTCAGAAAAATCAGCCGAACACAAAACAACCGGATGACTTTGAGGAAGAAGGGCCAGGGCCAGCCCGCTGTCGAAGCTTTCGGGTTCAGGTGCAGAGAAACTGGACACAGAGGAACTCTGCGAACCTCGAAGATTCAGCTTCCGGATATCTTCTGGCCAAGAAGGCTTGCTGCAAGATCTGAAACACCGACGGAGCACTAGCAAGCTCTTCACAAAACCACGACCCATTCCCATTTGGAAGAAGATGTGTAAGATGTCGTTGAATCAAGACAAGCTGTGACGATGACTTCGCTGTTGTGACACACAGTGCAAAGAATGTCTGAGCAGATCAGCGCAGGCCTTATCAGCAAAGCCATAGCCCTGACTGAAGAGGAGGAACCCGGCACCTGGCAAAACATGCAGCGCTTTTGATACTTTTGATACTGATGAATTTCATTGCAGCTGACTCGATGAACATGAAGTGACTCATGCTGAGGTCCTCACCGACGGCAATATACTGGATGCAGAAGCCCAGAACCATGGTGCCAGCGACTTGTTCCACGCCTTCAAATGACTGGCTTACTTGCCTCAACTTGTGCTTTGACGAAGTTGGGCGAGATCCTACAGTGGCCCGAGGTCGTGGCTTTGTGTCATGGACTCAATCACTTTGGCTAAGATGGGGATGCGCATGCACAGGTCGATTGTGTTGACGGCATTGAAGAGAAAGCTGACCTCGCAGGTCTCGGCTTATGCATTCTGAGCAGGAAAGCCTGCGTTTATCGGACCTGGCAACGTCACATGAAAGTCTGCATACACTTGCAATCACATACACCAGAAGTAGGGGAGGGAACCTTTACAGCATGCCACACGGCACTAACACGTACACTCCTTGCTCACAGGTGTGTGCGTTTGATCATGTCAACTGTGCAGATGAGTGCAGGGCAAAGAGTCCAAGGAAGGAGAAAGCCAGCAGAAACAACCTTGGCACAGACTGGCCACGGCCGCTGCTCCATGATTTCATGCAAGGAAGATCTCAGCAAGGCTCGTGTAGAGGAGCTGTTTGTCGCCGCAGAAGAATTTTGCCTGCAGCAGACTAACGCGTCCTGTCTCTCGCAACAACCCTTCCCACGCTGTAATGACAAAGACACGGACGGCATTGTGCAAGGCGCAATCTTGTAATTGTCACTGTCTTGCAGCGGCTTCAAAATTTAAACAATGCCTCCAAGGCATCATGCAGCCCCGAAGTATCCCTAAGCGCAAAACCAATGTGCTGATCGTCGGGACTGGAAGAGATGACTACTTCCCCATACCATGGTCTTTAGCAGCTCCAAAGAGCACCAGAATCAGTGAATCAAATCATTAGCTGCAAGGCTACAGTATCCTTTGAAGTTTTTTCGGGATGGAGCCTGCAAGCTGAGCCGGTAGAGCAAGTTGTTCCTCGAGAATCAGCCCGCTGCGGAGTGACACACAGCAAACGTCTGAGTGAGGGACAGCTGGCTCTGCAGTTGCGGATTCTCTTCACGCCACTTGTCCACCTGGAGCTCGTGGACCCGACATCCTTCCTTCTGCTATGCTTCTTCAAAGCTTTCATCATCGGATAAAGGCAGGGCGTCTTTCTTGAGGTTTCAACGCCACTCTTTCCGGCCTTTGTCTCGATGATCCAGCCACTGTACGAAAGCACGTAGAATCCAAGCCACAGCCTGGCAGCCAGCATCATGTGCTGACATTGCTCCCACATCACTGCGCTTCCGTCTTAGTCTCGTGCAATGAAAGACTGAAGTGGATTCCAGCGAAGAACGTCAGGATGTACACCGACAGCTGGTTCCTCGGCGGATTCCAGCGTAGCGACACTCATGGCCTGCTTTTCTAGAACGATGGGTGCGAACGCCGTGAACACTTGGAACACAGGAATCACAAATCCACGAAATCATGAGACGTGCGGGTGAGCGCAGCGGCTTCCACAACGTACTCACATCACCACCCAAGACACCTTCAGCCTACGACCCTAAACTTGCAACAAACGGAGCACAGTAGCCACATTAGACCGAAGCTTTCCCCGAAGCTGGGACAGTTCGTTAACCTGAAACCTCTGACACGGCAATGCATGAAAATGTGATTGATATGGAGGTGTGTATATGATTGGGCACATGTCTACGCAGAATTTCTTGCCCCTTCTGGAAAGTCATGCGGATACAGCTGTCTATCGGTATGGGTGGTGTGAGCAGGCATGGCTTGTGCTTGGGGGCGGATGGCTCAGGTTGTGTAAGGGTGTGGGTTGTGTGGGCACATGCTTCGGGTATACTCGGTATACAGGATTTGTACATGTACTAGCTTTGCACAGGTGCGGTTTTTATGCGTTGCAGTTTTGGTGCAGGTACGGGTTGTATGCAGGTTTTGCACGGGTGGATACTACACGTGTAGGCATGGCTTTTGCACAGGTACGGCTTGGCGCAGGCACGGCAATCATGTCGTTCGGCTGTTTGTTCGGTACGGGCGCAGTTTTTCATAGGTAGTACTGGTGTGGGTTTTGTCAAGGTAGGGTTTTGTACGGATGCGGGATGTAAGTGGCCAACATGTGAAGACAACATGACCGAACAACAGCTCCACTCCCTCTCCCACTGATGCACAGCTACTACTCGTGCCGCGAGTCAGACCACAGCATGGAACGGACAGAGCGCCGTCCTGTGACCTGTGAACCCGCAAACCTTCGAGAAGCTAATTAAGGCGCCAGTGGTCCAGAGCGAGCGCGTCCCACCCATCCTATCCTCAAATTGTTCCTAGGTCTCTGTCTGTGTGTCTCTGACTGACTGTGGATGAAGACAGAACATCAACATCTAAATGTTGTAGTCTATGCCAATGTATACCTCCCTCTTTCAATTTGTGTTCTGTAGCTTTATTGGCAGTTGTATATGTATGTCCTTATCTGTCTGTCCTTCAATCCATCCCATGTGCACAACAACACCAGCGCAGCACCAACGCGATTGCTGGAGCCGAACAACCAATTTGTGCAGGATCTAGGAAAGACGATAACATCGACATGCACGGTAAGCCGGATTTTTCGAGCTTATGAGGAATTAAGCATGTGCGCCGTTCGCTGATCCACGAATTCCTGCCGCGGTGCGGATAGTGGATGTCTTGCTCCAGAATAGAATGCTCAGAATATGAGCCTTGGCGTCAGGCCAGGCAGCTGCTGCATGCTAGTCGAACAGCCGTCGTGAGCTGGAGACTTGTGTACACGAAGACCAGGATGCTGTTGATGATGGCAGTTGTGAGCATCGTCGAATTGATGCAAAGCCTCAGAGTGTTGGCATTGGCAGTTCCGGCGTTTGTCTACAATTGTCGAGCCAGGCGGCGCGATGACTTCTCCCGCTCTGTTGAAAGGCCATGGCCTTGTCGAAAACACACTCACTAACCCCATGCCATCCAGGTTGATGGCAAGCACAGCATTCAGAGAGCAAGTGCAGTCTCTCGGATATGTACTTTCCCAAGAGGTCGAACTGCTTCTGAACGAAGGAGATGTACCTGTCGACTGAAATGCCACTTCTGAAGACGTCTGCATGACACAGAAACATCACTTCTTGGATCCCACTTGCGCACTCCCCGTTCACTAAATCAGCAAAGTCATCGATCTGTGCCTAACATGACACGAAGAGGCACAACCAGCCGCTCCTTGTCCTAGCTATGAGGATGCCTCAGGTGATGTGCGCTTCACGTTGACGAGGCATTCCTCTTGCCTGGGTCATTGGAACCATTGGGCTTCTGCTCTCCTCTGCTCTGTTCAAAAGCTGAGGCAGCTTCCACTTGTGCACCAGGGAGTGGTTTTTCAAAACTCGGATCGCCTGTCATGCAACGGCTGGGAAATTGAGCAATGCGCAATCTGCAGATCAGCCTTCGGCACCAGGAAGTACACACGCTGAAGTCGAGACCCGCGCACGATTTCCACCTGTAAAAACACCGGGGCCTCTTTACAAGTCCTCCTCTGAGTATGTCGATCCCGAGTGAATCGAAAAAGGCCTGCCCGAAAAGGAAGTGCAAGTACTTCTCTCCAAGCATCTTCTGGACTTTCTCCAGGAACCTGCATGGCAATTGCTCAGTATGGTTATGGGGCCTGTGGAGACCCTTTTTCTGGATTCGGCCTATCAAAAATCTTGGTTTTGGCAGTGGCCCACTCCGGTTTGGTGTAGGCCTGGAAATGACCGAATGCTGCACTTCCCGGAGCCCCCTAGGTCCAAGATCCTGGCGGGCATGTCGGCCGGCTGCTCTATCTTCACGTCCTTGAACAACTGTGTTCTGGTCCTGAAGAGCAGTGCTTATGATATGACCCAATTCGTCGGAAGCTTTACAAGAGAGTTTAGAGACTGGATTTTGAGCCCGTCACTCAGGTGCTGAGAAAACTGCCTCCAGGACATGCAGAACTCCGGCCGTGTGAGTGAAGCATGTCCGCCACACAAAGCCATCGGTTGAGAGCTGCCGGGCAAAGCAGCACGAAAGCAGCAAGGACAGCCGGTCGATACAGCAGAATGCTGTCTGCTACTTTGCCGCTCAGGCATCGGCATGGAACAGAGAATAGCACAGGCCACATATCTTCAAGCAGTCCTGGCATGGCACGGTCTCTGACCAATGTTTCCCCAAAATCCCTAAATCTCTGTCTCCTCGTACTGCTCATCAAGGGTGTAGGTCAGGCAGGCCTAGCTGACGAATTGACTTGAGTTGCACACATCCTCTAGACTCCAGCCAATGCCCTGCCTTCTCCCGCTTCGGACGAATGATCTTTTCGTCGGTCTCCTGGTCATCCGCCTCAGCCTCCGAGCAATTCGCCAGTGTTCAAAGACGCGCCCCCCGAAGCCGGGGCCTCATCGTCCTCTTCGGTCACACCCACTTCAAACTGTGGATCTGCTGCCTCACCGGACTCCAGGTGCGACTGAAGGCTCTGTCAGGAATTCGCGGAGCTGCCTCTGAGCTTAGGTTCCAGTGCGTGATGACTTTCCAGCAAAGAACTCTTGGGGCGAGCTCCTCAACACGCGCAAGGCAGGCGGAGCTAGAAGAGTCACATGCCAAGTCAAGTCGTGTCAAGGCAGGTAAGCCCATCGACACCTCCTACAGCACTGTGCATAAGATGGGCAGCACGCGAGCTTTTTTCAGATTCGCTCCGTGTTGGTTCGCCTCGACAAAGAAAAACTCCGTCCTCAGACAACCGTACTGTGAGGTACTGTTACCTCTTTACTTCACGCTCTATTCCCAAAGGGCTCTGGTTGTGGCACATGCCTCCCTCAACCCTTAGTGCGCATGAAGCTGCATGCAACGTTCACACTAAGACCAAGCACTGTCACTTTAACATCTTGCGACCGTATGGGCCAGCCAGCATTTGATGTGCCAAGCTGCTGTTCTACTTGCCCCATTGATGCGTACGAGCTCCGCGTCAATGTCGCCTTGGCTTAGGGAAGTCGCGGCACACAGATACCCGTATAAACAACTCACGCTCGACATCTCTTGGCGGGCTGCTATGTTTGGCTTGCTCTCTCGCGACAAATCTCAGAAGGAGGGCTGCCTGTGAATGCCTCATAACTGACAGCAACGAATGGTCCTTCACCTTGCGGATGTCGAAGTTTGTGCAAGAACAAATGAAAGAATTTGTTGTTTGCCCAGTGTATAACCAAGAGGGCAATGTAGAAGAACGTGAATCTTTTCGAGACAGTTGAAGCCGACGGCTGACAGCTGACAATTCCGACGTCTCCTACCACTCAGTATCACATGAAGTGTAGGTGCGCGCGTGCGTTGTGTGTGTGTGTGTGTGCATCTGCGCGTGAGTTCTACATAGAGAACGAGCGGCTCGCGAGAATCTGCACTTGTCGCAGTGATCCCGCCTGCGCAGCAAAGTTCAAGTGTTGACTGTTGGAAATTCTTTTGTCATGCAGGCGCATAGTTGGGCAGATCCATGACAGTGCGGTAATTCTGCGAGGCCGAAAGGAAAGCCGGGCCACCAGAGGACGTGAGCGACAGCCGCGGCCCCGCGCTTGCCCAGCATCCAGCACCAAAACCTAGCCAGAAAAGTGGCCCGAAAGGCTCACATCTGCAAAGGAGCAGCGAGCCACGTTCTTGCAGACTAGCGAAGCTAGGCGATTGATGCTGCCAAGAAACAGTGCCATCACAGCATCCCCAGAGATCTCGTAAGAACTGCAGTGGCGCTTCTCCGTCTCCTCGTCCACACTCCAAGAGAACCTGCTCCGCCAGAGTTCAGGGGCACAGCAAATTTGCAACACGTAAGGCTGCAACATGCGAGAAGATCAGCAAGTCGTACCTTGGGGCAAACTCATTTCAGAAGCGCAAGTCCCACCACATTCTAAATCGCTGTGCAGAAGGACTTCTGTGCTGCTTCAACAGTATCCCCGCAAGAAGGACGGGTGGCTGCAGGTCGGCGGGCTGCAGGTGACTATTCGCGTCGTCGAACAAGGACTTGGAGACGTCGCCTGGAGAGCGAGGACTCTCCTTCGAGTTTCGGACGTCTTCGCAGTCTCTTGAAGTTGCAACGGTTCAAAGGTGCAGCGGGCAGGCAATGATGATACTCAATGTCTTCGCCGATGAGCTTAGAAACGACTGCCACGATCGGGCGCCACGTCTCCACCCATTCCTCGGGCAGGCAAGGCAACCAGAGAGGACAGCATCGTCATGCGAGCGAAGACTACATTACATCTCGTCAAGCGTTCGCAGACCTTTCATAGAGGGCTTAAACATGTGTCCAGGAGGTGTGGAGCACAGGAGCTACGGGCGAGTTTCAATCCCATCTGGCTGGCAGGGAGCATTCGGTGCCTCGAGCCCTGCTCACTGCGAGATCTGCACATGTCTTCATCCTCGTGAAGATTCATCCGAGAGTCGTAAACCGCAAGTCTGGCGCTGGTGCCATCTGCCAGATCTCTCGCAACCTAGCAGGCACTTTCTACGACGATGGCATGAACTTTTCACAACTTGTAGTGCCGGTCTTACCTGTTACCAGCCTGCCCCCCACAGAGACAAACGCCAACTTCGAGCCGAGACACCACGGCGGCAAAAACTTCCGCGGCAGGTCCCCCGCCAAAAGCGGCTACACGCAAAGGCCCAGCCTGGGAGCCGCAACGCAACACGACACCACCTGGCATACCTGGCACTGCTACTCCTAACGAGCGAAGTCTTTGCCCAAACCTCCAACTCGTAACTAGCTTCCACGCAGTCGGCAGGCGCAAAATGCGGCCACTGTGTGAGAACGATGCGGTACATTTGCGCCAGCAACCACAATACCAGCGTGTCTTTGCCAAACCACAAACAGTTTCTTCGCCAAACCAATTTCAAAACTTCCGCGGAGAGGATTATTTTGCGGACATAGGTCGCCTGCTCGACTCGGCTTACAAAGCGAGGCGGCAGAGCACGATCGAAAGAGCACGCTCCACAATATTGGACAAGAGCTGCCATGACCGTGCGGACCGCCGGTGTGTGCACAGCAAGAACGCAGCGAGGGGTCAGCACTGGACCACCGTACCACAGGCATCCTAAGTGATGCTTGAATGCTCAATGTTTCGCAAACGGCCAGATTGAGTTTAAGCATCGCCGCAACTTCGATTCCGGCTTCGGTTTCTGCCCTGCCTCCATGGTTCCTTGCCGCTTGCCCCCTCGCCTTTCGCCTACGCTGGACACGTACCAAACTCGCCCCTGCCATACTCCATCCGTGTGAAGTACAACATCATACAGCAGCACCAACATCTAATCATGAGGTCGTGCAGTCTCCTTTCCAGATCCTTTTCTTGCATCAAAAAATGGGGACGGCGGCACGGCGGCACTGGCGAAGCTCAATCTTGTCCACATCTGATGGTCGCTGTGGCCCTGACCAGCTTTGCTCTCAGTGTGGCTGGGGCAAACTTTGTGATGGCATTGAATGCCATGGCCGAACGCAAGGCGAACTTCTCCTTGGCATACCTCGAGAGCTGATCTCATGCTGTTGGTCTCTACGTGCTTTGATTTGTTCGCATGTTTCCATGCCCAACATGCAACAGCGATCCTGCACCTATTATGTACCGATGCCTGCACAGCGACTCATCTCTGGATTCTCGATGAAATGCAAAGCTGCGGACCCCCACAGAGCTTCGATGTCGTCAAAGTCATCGGGCTCTTGTTGGCATCGGCGCATCTGGTCTTGGACTTCACGTGCCTCGCTGCTCGCTGCTGGCGACACGACTGACTTGGAGAAGCACAAGCTGGGCAGTGTCCCACGATCGTGCCTTCTGTGCCCGGAGCACAGCCAGAGGAATCCCAGAAGGCATCTCAGTCTCGGTCACCGCGTCACCAGCGGCATCGTCAACCTGCCTTGTCGACCTGCCAGCGCGATGCCAAGCCGGAGGAAGTGAACAAAAAGCGCCCCACAATATGCATGGCCCCATTGCCCTTCTGAGCCCTCCTGGCCTCTGACAGAGATGAGTGACGAACCTCTCAGCGAGCTTGTTGAAAGTCGAGTCGTCGCCGGGCCAGGGCCAGAATTGAATGGCCTCTGCGCAGAGGAGAGTCAGAGTGACTGGAGGTGGCAGAAGTGAATTTGCAGCATGTTCTCGCACTGCAACATGGGAGTCTCGCGGAAGACTGCGTCGGATTTCTGGATCCAGTTGGCGGGGACAGTCGCGACCATTGAGGCCCACATGCCTGACATGTATGAAGAGGTCTCCAGCTTTCGCAAGAGCTCAGCTCTCTCCGGCCTGAGTGTCGTCGCTTGAAGGGGCTGCTCGCGGATTTAGAAGTCCTGAGGTGCCGGGCACCGTCGTTCGAAGGTCTTTCTTCGGAGTCTGGGCCCGGGAGGCACTAAGTGCAAGTCTCAGCGTCGCTTGCGGTGTGTCTTTCCAGTCTCGTGTATTTGCCAGGACTCAGCCGGGCCAACCCAAGAGAGCTGGCAGATCGCGCAATGGTGCGCCTGGTGCGCCAAAGCCATCGCCTGTTCTTCTCAGGTGCGCCGTAGACCCTTCGTGGGATAGCTGCAGTGCATGTGGCCAAACTGCTTGACAACTCCCCATGTCCGCCTCCACCCGATTGACGAAGTTGAGGGGGAGCCATGGCGGAAGAGGAGGACTTGCTGCATTCTCCCAATGCGAGGGTGCATTCGACATGACGCTGACATGCGCTGATCATGAGTCTCAGAGAAATACTTGCGATTACAGCGGTTCGTGGCATTGCACGGTCGCTTGCCAGAAGCCTCCCCTTTTACAGAGAGAGAGAGGCTGGAAATGACAGCAAGAAGGAGCTGTAGAGCGTAAACGAGAGCCATCACGACACCAGCAGCTCCTGAATCATCCTTGCTAGGGTCTCCGTCTTGTGTTGTACAACCTCAGAGAGCAGTGAGCTGAGCTTGCTCAAGAACATGACTGCTAACTACAAGTACCTGCTCTTGCTGCTTCGCAAAGTCGTTGTCATCCTCGGAGAGCTCAATCTCCTCCACCGCTGCAGTAGCTGGAGGATCTGCGCTTGAACCCTGGTCTATGTCGATGCACCTTCAGTTGCATGATTTTGCTGCCGGCTGTGATTGCGGTCCTCCAGCAACGACATGGCAAACTTCAATGCAGCGATCTCCGCTGCCCGCATGACTCTCAACCTCAGCTCCCGCAGCCTGTGGCCGACTCGGCGCTTGCACGACAACCGCACATCTGGCCAAGGCCATGGCAGATCCATCCATGCATCGAAAAGCTCTTCGTTGTCCTGCGCTGTGGAATCGCAGCGAGAGGTGTGGTGTCAGCGAGCGAATATTGAAACACAAGGCAGTGTAACATGCCAAGCATGGGTCCTGGATCAGGCCCCGGAAGGTGCCTTCATCCGCTCTGAGAATGCGCCAGAGCAGATTGATGTCAGCACCTGAGTATTTCAGCAACAGCTCTAGCTGTGAACCCCAGCGCCTGTTTCAACTGCGTCTGAGACAATCTCGGACCTTTACAGACGAGCACACACAGCAGACACTGACCCGACACCACATCTGAATTCAATGACAGCTTGCATACGAAACAAGACATATTCCGTTTGTCCGGCCGAAGCATTGCACCGTTGAGCTCTCACACCTACAGATCTCCGGCTCTCAGTTCCTTTCTCTTTCTCTGGACCCTTCGGCTTCGGGACGCGAGTTCCCAAGACATGGCACGCTAGTGGGGTGAGCGAGACAAAATTGACCATTTCCCCTACCCCCCCCGCCCCCCGTGCCTCCCGAACACCAGACTCACGTCTGCTGTCGCTGACAGCACGGCCATGCCGACGAGAGCGACGGAACTCACTCGCACATATACCGAAGTTGTAGTGGCGGGCTGCCGCAAGAGGTCATTACTGTGGCATATTTGAGCTCGAGCAGCCACTAACGTTTTGTCAAGGAAGGTCCAGCAACGAGTCTAAGTCGCGAGCAAATGCCGTTCTCCATCAGCGTTGCTTGGTTTTCCAGGTTCGGTCCTCGCAACTTACGCGAACCGAGCACTGCCATGTATTGCCATGCCGTCGACAATTCGGCGTCGCCTTGAATCAGCTCTGCTGCTGTGTCGAACAGCTGCTGCACAAGGACCTGCAGCACATCAACATGGGACTCCGACATGCACAAGAACACCATCCTGCCGCAGCTGCAGCAAGTTCACTTGCTTTCGACCAAGCATCCCCTCTGCGACTGATGGAACGAAGGTCATTTCACCACTCACACCAGCTTGGCTGTGCACATATTGCTTCTCCCGCCCGTTCATGGTGGCCTGGTCTCGCAACGCATCCGTTCGTAATGCATCGTCTCACTGCCTGCTATACCTTACTGGAAGCCTCCTGCATGCTCTCCAAGATCATGTGGATCCTTGGTCATGATGCATGTGGGTCGTCGGGCACTCGGCTTTTCGGCCGCCTAGGGCCTGGCTGCTCTAGCTCCCTATGCACACGGTTTTGCTGATCACGATAGAAGTGATTTTCTCAGCTCCATGCATCCGGGAGATCCACTGCACGATGTTGGTCGGCCTCAGCACGGGTACGGACAAGACGCAGTGGTGCAGTGGTGGTCTCTGAATGGAAGAGTTGCTTCTATCATCTGCAGTGGCTGGTGAGTGCCGCACTGTTCGCTCTTCTTCTCCAACTCTTGCTCGTGTCGGCGACCTTCTGCCTGAGCTGCAGGAGCCCTAGCAATCCAAGTGCCTATGTCTTTGTGTGTGTGTGTGTGCGCGTGTGCCGTTTGAGTCTGACGTGAGCCGATTCTGCCTTCTGCTCCTCTTCGTCTTCTCCGCCTGGAAGAGTCTTTGCCGAGAATATGTCCAGCTCCTGGTGAGGTTGACGACCAATCCAATCTCTGCAGCCCTTGCTCGACAAATCAGTGGCAGTCCTCCACTGTGTAATCAGCACCCAGAAACTCTTGAAGGGCTTGCAGATGGCCCTCACCTTGAAGTGCAAAGTAGCACAGGGCTTTCACTGTGCAGCAGGAAGCAGTCTCGGTGCATGGCACAGCTGCTGAATGAGCTTGAGCCTTTCAGAAGGCGGCATTCTGGTGCCGGCTTTATTGCTCGATTTGATGAGAACATATTATGGAACAGCTACTTTGCTACTTTGTAGGGCTTGCGCATTGCTGCCATCATGTCGATGTGGTTTTCAGTGTAGGTGTCGCCTCAGATGAATCACGCGGCGGGCATCCCGAAGCCGACGCGGCTCTGTGTTTCGGACGCTTGTAGAGATCCTCGAAGACGCAGAACTGAAATCCGACAGCCTTCCAGCTCTTCGCATGCTGGTACCACGCCACACACAGGCACCTCCGATTTCGTGGGCTGCAACCCCAGGCCCCAGCCTTTTGCAAATGCATCTCGTCGCTGGTATGGGATTTGTATGCCTGCCACGTGTTTCGTGAAGGGCAGGCATGCGACAACATGCAAAGTGCTCGGCCTCCTGCAAGACCTCGTTGGGATCTCGCAAAATCCGGCAGCCAAGTTTGAATGCGTCCAAACGCATCAATGCCTCGTGCCACGAGTCAACATGTTGCGATGCCGGGCTCGACAAAACACGGCAACAACACAGCTTGCACGCGCGAAACTCACCCGCATCCTAGAATCCTGCGCGGGCACTTTCGTGCAAAACAAGAGTGTCGCCACCTAAAAGAAGAACTTTCGGCGAAGGCGTGGCTTTGGCGACTGATTGACCAAAGGTCCACAGAAATCTGCATCATCTTGGCGCGTAAACTGCAGGACAACAGGTTCAACGATCGATCACGGCTGCTGAATGCCAGCGTGCCGGGGGTTGGCGAAAAAGACTGCTTCCGTATTTGTTGAGACCATGCTGCTCTGGATCCGACTTTGGTTTCGCAAGTGAGTGAAGCTGGCGAGTTTCTGTAAGTGCTTCTCCTGTTCTAAACATGTTCGTCATCGGCGAGTTATGAAGAAAAAGCCGCCTGTCTGTGGAAAGTCATGTTGCCTTGCAAAAAGCACGTACGATAATTAAACTGGACTGTCGGGTGTTCACGGTAGAGACTGTCGACCCTCATCCAGTTTGAACAGTGACGCAAGGGAGGGGACCAAAAACAAGACTGCGAGACAAAGCCTACAAGCTGCCATGGAAGCGAAGGAAGACACAAACGAAGTCGCTGACTTTGATATTGACGCAGGTAAACACTTCATGCATGCAGTGCTTCATGCTTGTAGCGCGCCTGTGGATGGTAGAGCAGCACCGAAACCAGCATGAGTGGGTCCACTTCCGGCACTTGCGCCTGCATTGGGCGGGCATCAGCTTGGAGACGCGATCGAACGCGCTGCATCCGCTGCTACGAAGACAACGACAGTCTTTTTCTGGTTTCAGTATGAGGGTTGGTTTGCAAGCGAACCTTCGCTACTCCTGCTATCAAATCAAAGGGCGTTATGGCAGCACAGCTGGTAGCAGCCTGGTGCAAGCTCTACGATTGAAAAAATGAGGAGTATGTGTCGAGTGCCCGGTGTGTTCAGTGGATATCCCATGAATGGGCCACGCAAGGGCGGCCAACACCAGCCCAGGACTCAAGGACTCAAGCCTCTGAGGACCGTCCAGACTGCACCCAGAGCAAGACAAGAAGTGGACACAAAACTTACCAGGTTGTGGAGGTTCCAAATATTTTCAAGAGAGAATGTTCCCTGGCCGCGTCTGAAGCTTCGTTGACTTATCCGAGACTCTCCACGCAAAACCACCGTCTCCTAGTGCTCGGGCTCAACCTTGTGATTCTTGTTGATGAGAGCTCTGCACCGCGCGGATCCGCAGCAGTTCTACTGTTCTGCGAGCAACACCCTGAGACTCTCGTTCGCTGCCGGTAAATGACCGTAAGTCCCTGAAGAACACCCGCTCCAGCCGCCCACATGAATTCCAGTACCTGTTTTGGGGTTAGATCCTCCGAATCCGGCGAGTCCGCCTCTTCGAAGAAGTTCTTGAGCTTCCCAAGAGAGCCTGCGCCCGAAGAGGCCGAGGCCTCAGCAAACAAACAGCGGACACACTGCCGCCGGTGGAAGTCAACCGAGACTGCAAAGATCTGCGAAGCTTAGCTTGGGACCTGTTGGTAGCTGAATGGACAGAAGAAAGTCGCCTGTCGACGAGCACAGACTGCGCACAGATACTTATTCCACGCATCTTCGGAGTCTCCTTCTCCGTCAGAAAAGTGAGGTTCATCTTCCCGTTCGGACTGTTCACGATGCACTGTGAACCTGGGAGCTTCTAGAGATGCTGGCATGAACTGCAATGGGGCTCTTATGGGCTCTCGAGTGCCGTGCTTGATGCCACGAACCTCGCCCAGAGCTCTTCGATCTCGTCGTTTCGGCTCAACAGCTCCTGAAAGAAGAGATCCCCACACAGCCGCGAAGCGAAGCGTTCAGCCGTGGACCTGGAGAATGTTGAGCACAGCTCGGCAAGAGGACCACATTGTAAGCTCCTGAGGCAGCACGCCCGTTGTATCGCCCTTTGCTGTGGCCCCCCGAATTAAGCGGAAACAGGTGTAAAACAGGGGAAAAAGGCCCTGGGCCCCGGGCTGCGGAACCTTCTCCGTCCAGCCCCAAGTCGTCCTTATTCTCCACGTCCTATCAGACTCCGAAAGGCGGGGCTTTGCAGGAAAATGCCCAGACATGCCCAGACGGCTCCCAGCCTGCTCGTCCTCCACACCTAGGCCCAGGCGAGGGCACGTCATACATAACATGTCGGACATGGTGATGAACATGACAGACAGACAAGCAAGGATGCGATGAATGACACGAACGTGTAGAATTACATGGCTCGAAAGGACTGCGATGAGAGAGTGAGCGCGCGAGAGAGAGAGAGAGAGGGAGAGATAGACAGCAGACAGAGGAGTCAGAGAGATATCTATAAGCTTAGCACCCTGTGGCTTACTGCCATTAGGTCGACAGGCATACGCAGGGAATGGGTGCATATGGCTTTCGCATACTAGGATCTACTTCAATGCTGCAGGCACCTGCAAAGTGGGAAAACTCAGTTGTGATCACAGGAGTGGGTGCGACGACAGCAAACAAGTGCTCGTCCTCAACATCGTAGCAGCAGCAGCAGCCGCAGTGGTGTAGTAGTAGTAGTAGTACTACTACTACTACTACTACTACTACTACTACTACTACTGCAAGTACTACTACTTCCACTACTAGCCAGCCCGCCACGTAGCAACTACACTTGTCAAACCAAGGTTCTGGAAGCAGGAGCTTTCAAACTCGACAAGTGGATATTTGAGGGAACAGGCGGTGGTGACGTTACGAAAGAACTGCAAACACCGAGCAAAACGCACGACGTGCGCGCAAGCGTGTCGTCATTGGCCCGACCCCCCACCCCCGAACCCTTCCAAAATCCGAAGCTCGAGCAAGATTTTGAGACAACAAGAAGCGGTAGGAAATTACAAAAGTACCACAAACACCGAGTAACATGGATGTGCTCTTGAGATGGTTTAGAGCAAGTGTAGTTGGTAGGGGGGCCTGCCTACTACCACTACTACTACGACTCCTCCTCCTACTGCTACTGCTGCTACGACTACAAACTGCTACTACGACCAAGCTATTTCTACGGCTTCCGCGACTACAACTGCCGCTGCCAGTACCATGACCACCAGCGCCAGCACTGCCAGCTGTAGCAGCAGTGGCAGCAGCAACAATAACCGCAGTGGTCGAGGTGGTGGTAGTGGTAGGGGAAGGTAGTAGTAGTAGTAGTAGTAGTAGTAGTAGTAGTAGTAGTAGTAGTGGTAGTAGTAGTGGTAGTGGTAATAGTGGTAGTAGTGGTAGTAGTGGTAGTAGTGGTAGTAGTGGTAGTAGTGGTAGTAGTGGTAGTAGCGGTAGTAGTAGTAGTAGTAGTAGTAGTAGTAGTAGTAGTAGTAGTAGTAAGAGTAGGTAGTCGGTGTTGCGGAGAAAAAAGAAACAGCTGGGAAGAATAACGAAAACCTTTTAAGATTGACCGCGCAGCACGTAGTCCCATAAGAGTCGCCAAAGTACCATCGCTAATCATCGCAGAGAATGAATGTGATTAGCAGAAGGGGCAATAAGTAAGCCCCCCTCCCCAGTAACACAATATGACACACCGAGGCTCGCTGAATGATTGTCGCTGGGCGTCTGGCCATCCGTAGCGCTGAGGATATCCATCCGCTGAATTCCGAGGAAGGCAACGGTTCGGATTGCATGACACAAGCGCCTCGGTTCTGCTCATTGCCAAAGTCATGTATGGGTTCTAGCTTCGAGGTTCAGGGCTTTCAGAGGATCATGTCAGAGCACGGGACTCCATCAGGTTGCCCGGTGATTGGACTGGGGATGTCCAAGGTGCAGGCATGATCCACGTCTGCACCAGGAGCAGCCTTGCCTGAAGGATCCACCGTCGGCTTATGTGTAAGTCTTGGACTTGGGACTGCCCCGCAATCTTCATCAATTAAGAAGCAGAATCAGAAAGCCATCGACAAGCCATGTCTAGCGCACGCATATCATTTCTTGATTGATCGGGACGTGGCCTCTGCCGGAATCAACTCGCGGACCTCTGTTGTTTCAGCTCAAATGCACTGCGAGGAAGTCACTAATTTCTTGAAAGAACTGCTTCGATCTGTGCTTGCTGAACGTGATCGAGCAACCCTGCAACTTCCAACCGGATTTGGGCCAGGGGCCCCTTCTTCATCCACACCTCCGTCGTCAATGCGCCGTTTTAAGATCCTGTCAGTACCGTTTCAGGGGGAGTGAGGACGTTGGACTTGCAGAGTGCGGAATTCTGTTTAGGAGCCTGGGAATGTCGTCCAGCTCGTCGTGGTCCACGGAATCTTCCTGAATGCTTTCGTAAACCTCAGGCAGCTCGGAACTGCCCTGAATTGGGCTCTGATGTCATCAGTCCTTTCCGAGCAGCTTCGACCATGGCAGGATACTGAACATACAGCAAGTCGGCATTCTCCACTTCGAGCTTCTCCAGGAAGACATCCAGCATCACAAATGACCTGAAGCATCTATGACAGCTGTACAACCATTGCGAATGGGCTGCTCACCAGGTCTCTTGCACTGATCTTTTGAGCATCGCGATGATGAAATCATGCTCGTGCTCCCTGGTGGCCTTCCGATTCGCGATTCTTGCAGCTAGATTCCCACTTCAACTTCTTTACTTTGGACTGCGGCCTGGAGGAGACGCTCGTCGAGACCCTTTGACTGCTTCTCGAACTTGAAGCAGCGGTCCTCTCTGCAACTTCGATGTCGCACGAGCAAATGAGCAGAGCCCTTGAGGGCAGCAGCGGATGCTAACAGTCCTCCACCAAATCAATGACCTCTTCGACTGAAGCTGTGTAAGTGAGCTCAACAGACAGCCAAACACCTTCTCTGTGAATTTCGGCATCAGCTCGTGAATCACCCGCTTGGCCATGCTGACCTGGCGCGTTCTGGAAGACATGACTTCCGGGCTGCAGAGATATCTCGGCATGCGTCTGGTGCATCACGCAAGCCTTCTTCCCTCCAGCTTCCAATCCGTCTAGAGGATTCACTTGCCCAGCAGCATCGGACTCCTTATCTGGCGGTTCTTCGAAAACGATGGGTGTAGGCAGTCAGTGAGCTTGCGGGCATGGTTTGATCAGCTTGGATTCAGGCGGTCATTTGGCCGGCCTCCTGTAACAAGTCATGTCCGGCACTTCATCGATGAGCCACGAGCGAAACACGAGAGAGATGGCTCATGTATGCCACCGTCCTCTTCTGCATCCTCCCTGGATTGTTGCCGGCTCAAGATTAACTTGTGCGAACTCGAAGCCGGAGACTAAGTCACTAAGTCGTGCCGGCAGTGCTCATGGCCCGCCACCACAGGCCGCAGAGCCTCGGCTTGCCTGCGATCTGCGGTGCCCTCTTGCGCTAGGCTGATCGACACAGATCTACGCAGCTGCATAGTTCGTGACGGAACCCTGCGCCTCTGAGCGCCAACCTTCGCTGCCCTCACGATGACCTCTGGAGAGAATGCCTGGAGCCAACAGTCGAGAGGAGAGGAGGCACTTTGGGTAGGAGGGGGAAACACTATTCTATCCCGAAAATTACCGAAATGGTTGCGACAGCTGCTGTCCTCACTCTGCTGTGAGCGTTCCCAGTCTGCAAGTTCAAGTGTCATTACCAGGTCAGGGTGTTGAAGACGTTTAGGATTAGGATACCCTGAAGAGCTATGCCGCACCTGCCTTGGGCGAAGTCAGGGCGACCATCCGAGGATTGGAGACTGCTAGCTGGAACTCGGCGGTGTCGAAAAGGCAGCGGCTGCGCCTTAGCTGCGTCATCCACGACACACCATGTGGCGCACAGAAGGTAACCTGGACCCGTGCAGGGTCACGGTATGGCATCCCAGCAGCTGCAATCTCACCTTTAGAACGGCAGTTAGGGAAGGGCAGCGAAGGGTAGTTCTCAAGGCTTTCATGTTATGCCGCGCCTTCACTCTGCCTAGATTGCTGGACATGTTCTTCAAGAAGACGACGTCCTTTCCTGTGTATTGCTTTGCAGAAGCACCTTCAACACATGCTGACCATCCCCTGTGGGGCGCGTGCCGTTGACTTCGACCTCGAAGTAGACTTGGTTGTTGACAAGTCCTGCATGTCGTCGTGCATGGTAGTGTCTCAGATCCTGAGCACCCATCTTTCCAGATCTTTGCAATGGCCTTCACCAGCTGTCCCATGCCCTCTCCATTGATGGCCATCCTAGGTGAACTTGCAGGAGGTATTCATGTGTCATCGCCTGGAAAAATGCAGCCGCATTTGCCATTCGTGGTCTCAGGATCGCACATTTCCCTTGCGTTTGTCTTTCTGCAGCGACAAGCCAGCCACGTTGCCATCGCCTCGCATATGACAGCGATATTAGCCATGTTCCAGAATTACATGCACAGGCCCAAGGAGGAACCTTGCCAACGAATGCCGCAAAAAGCAAGAGGAGGGGACCGTGCTAGACAACACCATCAACGTTCATACGGCAATAGCTATCAACAAGAGAGAGAGAGAGAGAGAGAGAGAGAGAGAGGGACAGAGAGAGAGGGACAGAGAGAGAGATAGATAGATGCAGATGGCTTGCGCTTTGGCCTACAGGTTGCTTGGAGCAACTTGTATGAAACCAAGAGCGATGGACCAACGCTGTCTCTGGCCAGAGAAGCGGAAACTCCGGGCACCGATGACCGATCCTCCATCAATTCTCGATCCGCTGATGATTTCTTTGATTGGACCCACCTCTGGGACTGCTACAGGAGATTTTAAGCTCAGCCGATGAATGAAACATGTCAGCAGACGACCACGCAGCAACAATTGAGGCGACCATGCAGAACAGCAGACTTCAATGCACAAGACTCCACACTAGATGGAAGCAGTCTTCGCCTGGTCGAAGTACATGGACTTCGCAGCTAAACTCCTGCCAGCAGCAAGGCAACGTTCCGTCCCTGTCTGAATCGCATTTTGCTGGTAGGGCCATGTAGAGGTCGGTCCTGCAAGAGATTTTCCCCAGCGGTCAGCTTGAAGCTCAAGCCTGGTCGTGGTTTGTTGGATCTCAGTTTGGCCCCGCTGTTGGCGAGCAAACATCGCCTTGCAGTCTCTGCACGATCTCCTTTCCGACGTGCCACATTCGCTCCTTATTGGGCGGAGGAAGGAGGAAGCCCCATGGAAGCGAGAACACGCCGGCGATAAGGCCGAGACATCGCTCCCCCTGAGCAAGAAGGTGGGGTGCTGGATCAGCTGTCGGCCTGTATTAGGGAAACCACAACAGGAACATTGCAAAAGCATTCGCCGGCATCAGAGATCCAGGCGCCAGAGATTGACGTCCACATGGAGCGACTTTGCCAGCCTGTGGAGATCCGAGGGAGCTTCGGGACTAAGAGACACAGCCCAGGGTGCAGATGGGGAGCGCCATGTCTGGCATCTCCACCAGCTCATACAGAAAGTCCTGGCAAGCTGAGTGTCGGTGTACAGGGGTGCCGGAGTCGCTGGAGCTTTCCTGGGAGAGGAAAGATCCCTGTGTTCATGGGGCATCCGTCCTGGAGACGCTCCTGCTGCTTGATGCTGGTGTCCGACTGTGGATTGCGTTTGATGTCGGGTAGCCTGCCGCCGAAGTCCTGCCGGAGCCACCATGCCAAGAGACGGAAAGACAGAGACCTGCACATCAAACTGCTTTTCTGATGCGAAGATGCAGCCTCGAGCGGCTTCAGGGTCTGGAAAGCTGGAGTGTACATCTCATCTTCTTGACCAACGAAGCCTCGATGCCTCAAAACGTGCAGGCTGCACGAATGTGACGCACCAGAAGCTTAAAGTCTGTCTACTCCTGAAGACTGAGAATTGTGCAAGCCCACGACGCGCGACCGGTTGCGAGGGTTGCCTCCACACGCGGCACCGCTCGGGGTCAGGACATCTTAGGCTTAATACCCGAGGTCACGGAACTTGTGAGCAGTGCAACTGGCACATGTCGAGTTTGGAAACACCCACGGTCTACTGCCTTCTTCATCGGACTCCTGCAAGGCAAACGTCATAAGAAGTGCTTCACGGAACATGTTCACTCCCGATTGGTTTCTGAGAAGCGGTGCTCAGCGTCCCCTCAACTAGCGGAGCTGCGAGATTGAGCATACATTCGCTACGCTCACAACCAAGTTTCGTCCTCGTCCAATCCAGCTCCAGCCCCGTGCTGCTCTCCAATGTCGGGATCGCCCCGAGTCTGTTCAACTATCTGGAAGTCCTCCCGGCTTTTGGGTACATCTCTGCTGCAACATACTGACAACACCGGTAAACGAAGGCAAATGACATCTCGGTCCTGCTCCATGCCCACTCCGAGCCGCTGCAGGCAATGCTTTGCAGCTTCTACTTCGCTCCTGACACGTTGGTCTGCTCCGTGCGCTGCCTGGGTACAGACTTGGGCTGAGGCTCAAACGCATTGCACAGGCCCAAAGAGAGGATCATCCGAATAATATGCATCAGCTCCTTGATTGCATCTTCGAGTCCGCTCAAACACGTCTTCTGCAACTTCTCTAGAACAAAAGGCTAAAGGCTCCTGGTCAACGCCCCAATCTTCAGCAGCCCAATCCTGTTGCTTGAACAATACCTGCATTTGGAAGTTGTACTCAAGAGGAAAGCACTGCAGGATGTAGTAATGTAACGTCGGCAAGGTCAGGGATACTGCACTCGTGCCTTAAACAGCTCGCCGATGATGTCTGTCCTCGGCAGCAACTTACGATACTTTCGTGTGATCAGGGTGGCTCAGCTCAGAATCCAGCATGTTGGCTCTATCATCATCGCCTTCTCCCTCTGCGTCGCCATGTGCCTGCTGATGCTGAAGTCACAGAATCAGACTGCAGAAGACTTGAACTGCAATGCCGGACTGTCATTCCAACAGTGTGACTGCAGGCAGCTACCTCAGCTAGTTGTGTATCAGCCCCACAGCAACGAAATCTCACCACCACATGGAATCCTTGTGTTTCGCTTGGTGGTCGGTCGTACCATGTTTGCAGTGGGCTACAAGGACTGTAAGCAAGCACGCAGGCTTGATGATGTGTCGACATGCATGAAGGCGATTCCGAGCAGAAGGCGCTGGCTACTATCAGCAAGACAGATATTCCCATCTGCATATGGAATATTGTGTATTAAGTGTTGCTTTCTTTCCGGCAACTCCGACATGCTTACCCAGGTTGGCATTGCAGAGAAATGCCATCAACGGCATCGGCATTGATGCAGGACTTGGAACGCCACTCGGGGTTCACACCCGCTCTCGCCCAGAAGGTTCCAAGTCGCACGACGGAACTTTATGACGAAGCCTCAGAGTGAATTTGATCGCCGCTGGAGACAGACGGAACGCAGCATGTCGGGTTTTCGGATGCTGCTGATGCGGAAAGAACACGTGTTGCGAGGCCCTTTGCTTGCCCCGATAAGCACTACTGGCGACGGAAAGACTCTCTTAAGGCTTAGAACTGTTCAAGTCACGCTGCTACTTGGCCAGGAGAAGCACGCGCCAGTCAATTCAGTGCAGTGTTTGGCGATGCCGGCCTTCCCGCTGTGTGAACCCAACAGCTTTCGACATACCGTGCGCTGATGCCCGACAATCCTGTGCGTTGTGTTCATAATCCCACGCGAATATGTCAAACGGGTTCTGCCTTACCCCGGAAAAGGCATAACATAAAACAGAGCGCCAACGTCCTGTTGCACGGGTTAAAGTTAAGAACCGTGGTTCGCAAGGCCCTCCCGATCTTGGTCTTTCTCATGTCAGCCTCGCAAGAGACGCGCTGCACTCCTGGCAAAGGCCTGAGCACCGGCTGCATCGCCCTCCTTCTCGGCAAGCTCGAAAGCATGCCGACGCACCAAGTCCTGCCAGACGTTGATTTCAATTCCAAGCGTCCCCCGAACTCCACAGGTCAGGGCGGTCCGCAAAGATCGGCTCAGAGATGGTGGGTGGCTGATCTTCTTGTCCTGCAGTGTCGCAGCAACCGCGGCGCGTGAAAGGCACCACAGAATGCCAAGGGCAGGTCCTCCGCGCACGGAGCTGGAGAACCAGTCCTTAGCGACTCGGGTCTGGCAGGTATGCCGGATGCCATGATATGCCATGCATGTACGTGCAACTCTTGGACACGACGGGGAACCGAGGCCCCATCCTTGCCCCAGGTCCTTTGAATGTTGTAGGCATGCAGCACCTCGTTGCAAGCAGCGCACGCACTTTCACGGGATGCTCTGCTGAATGCTCCCCTTTCCCGTGCCTGCGTAAAGAGCAGGAAGATGTGATCCCGCACAAAGAAAGGCGACCTGAGCAGAGGCAGCATTGCAGACGAAAGACACGGTGACTGCACCAAGCCCCGATCAGCTCGTAGGTGACACGCTCATCGATTGCCTTCAAATCGCGAGTTCTCTTCCAACAGCATCCCTTCATCATGCTGTGCTATTGCATGGTGTCTATACCGGTGCCGAAATCGCTTCAAAATTGCACCTCACAGCTAAGTTCAAACGTCTTCCTGTCTTTACACAGCTGACTGTGTGCACCTCTACCACTGGCGATATTCGGTTGCCAAAGAGATGAAGATCTGGGAATCTCTTGAAGTACTCCGTGAACCTCTGCAAGAGCTTTGGACGCTGATTGAGCAGGTCAAGTATGGAGGCAGCGCCAGCTTAAACTCAGCTGCTGGCCATCTGATTAGCAACAACACCTGGGTGTCAAAGCAGCAGTCGAGCAGGCATGATGTTGTGAAAGTCGAGGCAAACTGAGCGCACATCTAGTTGCAGGCCAGCACACTGTGTCCGTGGGCTTGACAGCGTTGCTGCGCAGGCGTCGCTGCTTGGCCGTGAAGCGGTTGTGGAGCACGTCCTGCACTGTGATGGAATATGATGGCATGTTCGGATGTGCCAGGAACCGGCACGCAAGCACCCTTACCTCGACCTCGTGGGGCTTCAGAAGGATGCACATCATGCGGACGAAGCCGTCCTCTGCCAGCCAGGCCACCACGAAGCACCCGACATGCAAGAACCGTACTGTGACAGTCCTGAACAATCAGAGGGATGTTGATCATGTTGTCCTGCATGTGCAACCAGAAGATCACGTGGCGGAAATACCTGCGCACCAGCATTCTGCATGTCCCGCAAACTGTGTGTGATGTTGCTCCTCGTGAACCAAACCTTTTTGATTGCTGGATTCTCACCATTGGGTAAACATTCGCCTCAACGAACGCACCTCCCTTTATCGGTTTTGAAGTGGCGGAGGCATCCACTTTCTTTTGGCCGTGCAGATGTGCAAAAGGAGTGCTCATCTTTTGTTTTTCAAGTGTGTCTGACAACACCGTATCATCGAACACTAGAGGCAGGTGTCGAGTCGATGACATGTACGACAAGTAGTCAGTGGCTCATGCTTGTCGCATCCGGAGTTTTTGCTTGTTGTCGCATCGCCGGACCAGTGCGGTGGTATGGTGAGCTGCATGCACTTAACTATGACGGTCGTTTTCGACTGACACCGCTGAGCAAGTGCTTGGCCATGCCTTGGTGCTGCAACAGTCGCCGAAAAGAACGTAAGACTCCATGAAGGGCACTTCTGTCTGGCAACAGTGCCATCGTCATCCTGCTGATTTTCATCATCCGCCTCCACGGCTCCTTCCTCGGCCTTATCACAGGCTCGGGCACAGAAGGACATACCTCACCTTGCTCATGTTTTCGCAGGCTTTCGGCCTCCTCCATATCATCCTTACGAAGCTGGGACTCCGTGACGCTCTTGCTGAACCTGAAGAGATCTGAAAACAGGTCTGACGCAGTCAGTGGCGTTCGTGGAACAGGGACTGAGATTCTGTCTGCTTGAGAACTGTCTTGTTGAAGCCGAAGGAAGAGCAACGGATGACAAGCTCAATCGTCGCCTTGCACATTTGCGGAGGGAAAACATCCTAGGATATAGTAAAGTCTCTGCCGAGGCTTCGGCAAGCTGGAAACAGGTAGGAAAGAAGTTTGCGAGCACGAGCCTCATCAAAGACTGCTGGCAAGAACTGGCTTGTGTCTGCGGGCACTACCGTCACAGCGGAGTCATAACCGCAGCTGCCACGCCATGCAAGCCTTCTTTCAGACCCTACCGTGCAGTTGACGAACGGTATATCGGCTCTCGGCTGTGCCTTCTTCTTGAAATCCGAAGAGTGCTTGGTAGTTTCGAAGCAACGCAATCATCCGCAATCAAAAGCATTTATCACAAAGAGCTGGCTTCTCGTCAGTGTGTTGGCGTCAAGGCGTGCCCATCCTTTCAGGAAGGGCCTTTCTACTTGATGCCATGCTCACTCGCTGTGAGACAAGCAGACTTTGTACCTGCTGGCCCTCACCAATTTGGATGATGAGCGGGCAAATAACCGATCCCCCTCCTTTCAGGCTCCTCATCAGAATCTGCCTCAACTGCCGGGAATCTGCTACTGCCAGCTGAGGTGCTACTGCCAAGCCAAGCTGCATCTCGCTTCTCCCACCATGGCTTTGGCTCCGGAGGCGGTCCGAGGCCCATTTTCTGCAACGCGATGGGAACCCCCCCGTTGGCCCGTTGGAACTCGGCCACAACTCGCATCAGTCCCGGCCTGGGCTTCCTCCATCGGGCAGATGAAAGGACCTGGAATGACCTGGTCACCATGCGCTGCCGACTGTTCGCGAAGCGAAGAACGACGAGGGCGACGTCGTGACTTCGCTGTTATGTTGATTCTGAGGAGCAGGTGCATTGTCTGAGTGCGAGCAGGCAGCATAGTCTGGCTGAGCACTTCCATCCTCCCCGTAGATACCTCCTTCCGCAACGACCTTCTTCTCAGAATCGGATGAACATGTTGCTTCTGAGGGCAGTATCAGTCCAGAACACTACCATGTTGCGGGCCACCCTTCGCCCTAAGACTGCCTGTCACGCTGCTAAACACCAACATAGGAAGTCTCCCGGCCACCGACGGAGGGGACTTCCGCAAGCATTGTTGTCGGCCAGGCGGCTGCTTTTTCTGTTAAACTTTTCCATTCCTTCTGCTGTTTTTCTCTTTTCTCCTCGTGATGATCATTAAAATGCACGCACAAGCGACACTTCTGGACAGAGATGGCAAGATGATGTGCCTTGTGCTGTTGCACGAGTTCTTCTCGCTTCTTTTCCTCTTCCGGCGATTTCTCCTCCACACACAACTCGCACCAAGCCACGTCACGGCTATGTTTGGCATCTGGTTGCATCTGTCACCTGAGACCTCTTACTCTGGAGCCCCATTGCTCCTTGGGCCCTTTCTTGGCCTCTTCCAAGCTGTACTGCAGCTTCTGTCGGATCTGTGGCCTTGAACAACGGAGAGGAGGGCGAGGCTGATCAAGCAAAACAGCTGCATTTCAGCCACTTTGAGTCAGCCGAGTCGGGTGCAGCGCATACAGCTTCAAGCCTTCCTCGCAAGCCTGAATGGCTGCCGCCAAGTTCATGCCTTCCATCTGGCGGCAACATATGGCCTCAGATAGCTAGTGATGGCCATACACATTACCGTAGTGCTCTTGGAATGGTGGCAGGCGCCAAGGTTCATTTCATGATGTCTTGGGTCGGGACTTCGTTGCTCCACAGAACAGCAACATGGTGACCACTGACGTCTGCCTGCTGCGCTCATCATAAACTTGCCGTTGCGCAACACGGCATTCGGGTAGCCCGGTTTTGCCTTCTTCCAGATTTCACGCGCATGCCTCCAAGCCTGGCAAATGAAAACGATCGGCGTGTGGAACGAACTTGGCGCTCAAGCCTTCAGCGCATCATCGTAGCGCTTCTCCTTGAGGGCCTTGTTGCCGGTCTGCTTCAGTTTCACGGCCTCCTCTGCCTGCAGGCTTTCGGCACGACGCACTTGTCGGCCCGATCATTGGGACAGGCAGAATCAGGCTGCCTGCTCGAGGAGCAAATGGATAGATTTCGCTGTTTCATCGAACTTGCCTGTCGCTGGTGTGCACAGATGCTAGTAAGTGCTTTCGGGAAGAAGCTTCTGACAAAGCAGCCCTCAAATTCGATGCCAGGAAACGACCTATCTGCTCGTGCGTCCGCCAGGGAGACCTGACGAAAAACATCGACTCCAGCCAATATAGGATGTAAGTTTACATGTCGAGTTGTATACGCTCACCGAGATTCCTACTCCTCAACCCTGCAAATCCCTGCGACAGAGCATATTCATCAGTCTGCATTCTGGTTGGCTCGCTGCGAATGCCTCGCAATCTCTCGGCGAAAGGACTCCAGTGGCGTCATGCCTGCGGGGGTCTCTCCCTAGTTGCCTCCAGTTTGCGGTTGACCCAACCTTCGGACCGGTGCGTGCCCTTGGACATGCCCTCGGTTTGGGTGGGGTCCACACCGTTGTGGAGCATCATTGCCTGAGCACTAATTACTCTCTCTTGCTGCCGACATCTTCGCACGGCGCTCGCTGGGTACCGTGCAATTACCTTCCTTGGCTCCTCGCCAGTGGGAGGCATGCCTCAAGCACAGGACGTGTCACAAAAATGGCTTGCGGTCACAGCCACTGCTGAGAGAAACACGCAGATCCGAATTGTGAGAGCTTGCGATCCAGGCTGTTGCAACCTGAACTTCAACAAACGGAGTTTCTGGCAGCTAAAGGGCAAAAAGTACTATTTGGTCCAGTCGCATGTAGGGCTGTCGCACCATCGTGGTGCTTCCACTGCACCTGAGCTGGCTGCGGGGTAGTTCCGATCTCGGAACGGTTCAGGTGTTCAGGGGAGCCGATGGAGTCTAATTAAGTAGTTGTCCGAAGGACTTTACCGACATTTATGGCATGACCTGCTTACGTCCATGCTTCAGGGATGGTGCCCAGCCCCATCTGCACCGTCTTCAGCACCGGCCGAAGGCACGTCGGCGTTGCGCTTCAGTAGCTCCAGGCACACCGGCGCATTTCCGGCCTCCCAGGGCAGCAGAGGCAGCTTTGCGTGGCGGCAAGCGCAGCAAGCGTGCAGCACTTGGTGTGGTCGGAGCTCTTCTCGACTGAAGACGTCTCAGCCGGGATGCCGCAATGGCAGTGTTCAGTGGAGGCGTCTCCATCTTAGGCTCCTTTGCCTGAGACTGCGCACAGCTGAGCTGCTGAGCTGGGCTGGAGTGGAACGGGCTCGGCCTGGCCTCCAGATCCGCCTTGAACTCCAGGAGAACTTTCACGACCTCTACGGATCCGTGCCAGCAGGCGCTGTGGATCGCGGGTCCTGCGAGGCATCGACTACAAGCCCAGGCATCAAACCTTCAAGAGCCGCAGAAATATAGCTGTCGTCCTTGGGTCATCGGATCTTCCTGAACTGCACATTCATTTCTGTGGCTGGTCTCCCCTGCAGGTAACCCACCAAGTGCCGGCTGGCAGCTGCATGGGGATTTCCTTTGTGCGCGAGAAGAAACGCCAAAACGTCTGGCTGGGACTTGATTCCTCTCGCCCTGCACAAAATTCAGAGGCTGTGATCACTTCCACTCAATCCAACATCGGCAAGGCGTGCCTCAAGCCGAAGCACCCCACCACCAAGCCTTCGTTGAGATTGTAAGGAGGGTCCCGCAAACATGCCGTTGACAGAATGCAGGACGAGGAGCCATCGGGGATGCTGCTTCCATACTGCACGAAGTGCTTGGCTTCGTCCATCGCATCCTGTGGGTGCTTGCAATGTCTTATAGCTTCTGAAACCTGAGTTGGCAGTTCCCTGGCACTTGGTCAGCCTATACACAAGCTGCATTGCAGATTGTGGCTTCCACTCCTCTCCGTTCTGTAGCTTTGCCACAAGAGCATTGGCAGCAAGCTGTGCTTTCTGCACCTGGGCGATGCATCTAGAAGACCAGCACATCCACGTGCGCAATCACGTGCGCATTCAGTCTACACGCTCTGTGACACTGTGGTCTCGGCCTCTGTCATCCTGGAGGCAAACCGCTGGACAGGTGGAAGACACGGCACTGTCGAAGTGATGCTGTTGAAGGTCGAAGCGTATGGCACTGTCCCGAGAGGTTGCTCTTGTCAGTCCCGCTTGCTGAGTCGACATCTCCAGTAAATGCTCTATCTGCCATGCAATTCTAGATAATCCGAGGACGGATGCTCTCCAGCATGGATGGGTTCCGTTCTCACGTGATGCTGGAGCCAAGACCAGAGTGCAAAAGAGTGTAGTGTCGCAGTCTTGGGGCCTTCTTGGAACGTTGAAGATCTGCTGGCAAGCGTTCACCGGTAGTTTCGCAGGACTGCCTTCCTGCAAGACGCTTTGGGGTACGGACTTCCTCGTGCCGAAGGTGGCTGCAGCCTCTTGTTCTGCTTCGCCTGCAGGACGGAGCGTCTGGGCTGCATGGAGACACGTGTACACCAGCAACAGTACCTTCGTCCTCTGAAACGGCGCTGTCAACTCAGTTGCAAAGCTGAGTTGCAACTTCTAGTGAGCCACGTAGAGTCATGCACTGCCAATTGGCTTTGAGCACCCGGCTGTCTGCGAAACTGTCATCAACACCGGTGCCCATGGTGCCGGCAGCAGCAGCGCCAAACGTGCCTCAACACATTCTGGCTTCAGAGAGCCACCGGGCAGTGTGTCTTTTTCTGAGCATTTTGTGGCACTTGCGTTCGTGCAGACTGTCTCTTGCAAGCCTGGGTAAAATTTGCGCACGGCGCAAGTTGGAAAATATGCACTTGTGAGACTAGGCTATTCGGATCGTTTCCGCTGTCCGTGCACGAGCTATCTTGTCAGGTATACTCGGCCAAACAATTTGAAAAAACGCTGACAGCTTCAACGAAACACACTACTACCTCTTAATCAATGCTGACCCGCAGAATGCTGCAGGCAACTGCAAAAGACTCTCCAAAATCGCAAGTGGCACTCACTTGGTGCGTTTGTAGACTTTCTTCAAGAAGATCTCAATGATCTCCCAAGGCAGACCTACTTCTTCCACCTGTGTCTGAAAGGCCATGATGTCTTTGAAAGACTGTGCCTCGTAGTTCTTGTACTTCTCTTCCAGGCCGATATCTCTATAGATGGCCTTGATTTTGTTCTCCTCCTCTGTTTGAACCTTACACTTCCCGTAGTGCTCATCCAGGTAGGCCTTCTGCTCAGATGTGCAGAGCTCGTGGTATGCCTGCACGAAAAGCCAGCCACACTTCTTGTCCTGGATGTCGGTGCCAATCTTGCCGAGGGTCTCAGGGGGGGCAAAGGCATCTAAGTAGTCATCCTGTGCCTGGAAGTAGACGCCCATCAGCAGCAAGGGCTCCCTGGCTGCATCGTAGGCTGCCTGATTCTTGATGCCAGCTACTGTCATGCCGAGGGCCACCGGCAAGTAGAAGGAGTAGAACGCAGTCTTGTATTTAACTATCAGCTCCCAACGCTTGTAGGTGAAGTCCGCAAGCCCTAGGTTTTTGCACTGAAGGTCGAGAAGCTGGCCGCACTCAGTCTGGAAGGTTGTCTCCATAAAGAGGTCCACCAAATCGATGTAGTACGGCTCCATCCAGAAGTGTCGCTTCAACACTCTGTAGACCAGCATCTCCAGAAGGAAAGCATCGTTGATAGCAATCTCGTCGACACCATCCTTTTTGTACCAGCAGACCTGCCCGCGGCGGGTCTCGGAGCTGTCCATGAAGTCATCTGCGACCAGGAGCCATGCCTGCAGCCATTCAATGCACCAGCCGAGGACTGCGAGCTTTTTCAGATCGTCGTCCGTGACCTCTCTGCCCTGGGACTTCATGATCACCTTGCCGCTCTCCACAACCATCAAACCTCGGTTCATTTTGCCGCCCTTGACGTTGTACTCCAGCATATCGACTATCCATTTTTGCTCCATCTGTGGCAGCTCGTGCGTCGACGGTAGAGACTCTGTGCACTCACGAATCAGACATTCACAGATCGACACGAAGGATTTCACTGGGTCTTTCTCGTTGTACTTTGGGTAAGAATCTCTGATGTTGGACTCTGGTAAAGGGAGGTTCGAATCAGTGGCTGGGTATCGATGCAGCTCCGACTGCTTCTGGACCTGATTGTCCGGGATAAAGCTCAGCGCAATCAATGTCGCAATGCTGGTCATCAGCCCAAACAACACATTCGTCGGAAGCGTTGCCAGCCAGGTCCAACTTCCGGCCAGGACTGCCACACAGCAAGCAGTACTTGCTAGTCGTATCGCAGAAGCTATCGCCATGTGTTGAGGCGACTACGATCTACGATGGGCGCGGCTGGTGATCTAGGACGACCCTCTGCTTTTTTGAGCTGAAAGACAGCTTCGGATTCGCCGTTGACTGGACTGGCAGAACCGACTCAGCTCGCAAAAAAGACGCACACAGCTGTAGAGGATGCCACCTGGCTTGCCGCTCTTTTGGGACTGCTCCGAGCCCTCGCGGCAGACGCAGCATGGGTCACGTCATGCAGAATACCCAAACTGAAGCAACAGATGCAGCATGGCAGCCAAACATGAAGTTGCGTTGATCACGCGTTGAGAACAGCGGCCTGCAGTGAATCTTCTCTTGAAGCGCTGAGACCCGAAGCGGCGGGACCTGCTAGGAGTAGGTGCCGACAGGAGAAGCGCAACAGCAGTGCAAGCCTGTAGGACTGTGGGACAGGAAAGGGCTGGGTACCATGCTGCTCTCTTCTTCCTTCGCTTCCTTCTTCTTGCCTCGAGTTGACGATTTGAAGGCGCGGGCCCGGCTAGAACTGTCCCCCCCGAGCAGAGACTTGGACCTGGCTTTTGCCGACCTGACTGAGGCCAGAGAGAGGCGGAGGCGGAGGCGGCGCTTCTGCACTTCCTGCCAAGATACCGATCCTCTCCGTGGTCTCCATGGCTCGGCCTCTGCTCTCCTCCTACAGGGTAGCAGCTTCAAGCGGCCAAGAAGAGACATGAGACGCGGCTTTCGTGAAGCCTTCTCTTGCTTCTTGAGAAACTCAATGTGCTCTGCCATGTGCTGGTTATCCGCAAGCATGAACTCGACGGAATCACGGAAGGCCTAGATGCAGCGAGCAAGCTTGTGCATGGATCTGAGAGGTACCTTCTGACGGAGTGCCTCGAAGGCCATCGGGATGTACGGGTTCTCGATGCGTTTCTCAGTGTTGTTGTCCATGAAGAGGCGCCTGCGTGGGGCGTGGGGTGCCCCAAAGCACGACAAAGACACGAGAATTTCTGCCCCTCGCTGGGCTCCCGGCATGATGATGTTGCCGTTGTCGCGGGTCTCCACGTTCTCCGCCTCATTTTGTTGACTCATGGTGTGGCATTGTCCGAAGCTTCAGGACGTGTACCAGCAGTGTCTCTGGGTCTGCTGCAAAAGTTGTCACAATGCTCTTCAAGACCAGCAATGCATTTAGGGAAGACTGCTGATTCTTGGAGAAGTTCTCATCCACAGCCTGGTCTGTGGCTCCAGGTTGCTGTGCACACGTTAAGCTTCAATGCAGCGTTCCTGGATCAGCTTCTCCACGAACTGCATGTTGATTCGCATGTCGCTGTTGGCGAAGACAGACCTGCTGTAGCGGTTAGAGAGCTCATGTCACACGGGCTGGTACGTGCACATGTGACATGGCATGAACAAGCTTTCAGTCCAACGTGTGTGCGTAGACTCAATACACTGGCACATATGGTCCGTTTCGTGAAGTTTGAGCTCCACACACAAGCATCTGCGAGACCGGGACTTGCTCCGCAAGTGCAATGCAGGACACCAAGAACTCGAACACCTCAATCCATCTCATGCAGTATACATCGGTACAGTATACGTGGATCTCGTAGAGTGGCACCTGGAAGACACAGGGACTTCGAGACTGTGCTGCTGACTTCTTTCTTCACGAAGAGGCCACGGTAGTGCGGCTCGCACTCGCAGAAGGACTTCAAGAACTCGACCTAGTGGCGACAGCATCACTCCCTGACACAAGACCAGATCGTGCAGGGCCCATTAGGCGCGAGCGGTCGCGTGGAACGCTGTGTAGGCAGCTGAATCCTGAGCAACGCAAGGCACAGGAATGTGCCGATTTTATATGCAAGCTGCACTGCAACGCCCTTGATGCAGCGCCCGCCTCCTCAGCATTTGAGTCGTAGAGTAGGCTGTTTCGAAGCCGGTCCGAGGCTTTCAGAAGCTGTAGAACCCGAAGGGCCACCAGCTCAACCTTCCAACTTCAGAACTGCCGTGTCTTGTTCTTGATGCTTTACGACTCTGCCTTCATTTTATGAAGGTTGCATGCAAGGGGGCACCTTTTTGTAGTGAATCAAATGCCCGTCGCCTTGCTCCGCCACAGCCTTGAGAAGCGTGGGAACAGACTCTCCACAAGTTGAGTTTTGTAAGCTGGCGGGTGTGTGGTTCGAGGTCTGAGGTCTGCTGCTCCAAAGTGCCGGAAGAGCTTTATGAGCTGGTTCTTGGGACCTGAGTTTCGCCGCAGTCAAGACCACGGCAAGCTGTCCCTCGTCCTCGTGCTGCGATGCCTGCCTAGCAGTGGCAGATGAGGTGTCAGCTTCAGCCTGAACAGGTTCGGATCCGGCGGACTTGAGTCAGGTTGGCGGAGGGGGGCCGGAGCACCTGATGGTGATCGCTCGGTCATACTCTGGCGAGAAATTTTGAGGATCCTCCGCATTGAAGGAGATGAAGAGCCTGAGCCAACTGCCCCCCAAGGAGCAACGAGCTTCCAAGCTTCAGAACATGAGCTCCTAGCTTGAAGGCGCCATGGCAGAACTTTGCATCAAGTTCGGTGATGACCTTCCGGGGATTCCGTAAATGCCTCATGCACCTCTCCCGACCACGATCCATTGTGAACCCTTGTCAATAGTTGCCTGAATACGGGAACCGTGGGATGTCGCAATGCTCCCTAAAGAGCATAATAAGGACACAGGTCACTGCCCAAGAAGGAAGTGCAAGAGACATTGCCGCCAGGGCTGGGTATACAAGGTCATGTGTCTTGGGGTGAGGGATTCTGATCTGAGATGTCCGGCGTTTGGTGGCAAATTTCTTCAAACCGACTCCGAATCTTTGCCCAAGCTGCTCTCGAACTTCAAAAGGTTCTCTTGACCGCAGCTTTAATAATGCTGTGATGAGCGAATCTAGTTAATTACAGGGCACGCCACCACGGCCCAAAACGATCTGTGATTTGCGCTTCGTGCCTCCTAACTCAGACCACCGTGTAGAGGTCCTTCGTGCCCAACTCAAGCAACGTTGAGAATGCCTTCGAGAAGTCCTTGAAGAAAACTTTCTGGTCGTCGGCGTAGAGGTCAACATACTTGCTGAAGCTGGGATCCTTCAAGAGTGCGATGTCCGTAGGGAGCATCATGAACTGCTGCGTATCAACATTGCGGTACTGAGGGTTCTTGCAAGTCTCCCCTTTGATGCAGCCCTCCTCCCATTGGGAATTCTTGAGGAGCTTGAAGTACAAATTGTTGAACGTCGTAGGCGTCGGGGTCCATGGGCCCACAAAGCCCGAGGCATCTGCGTGGCAACGGCCAAGGGCATGAGCGCCGCTGAGGGCGACGATCTCCTGGTCATTGAAACCCATGCGGTAGAAGACATCCCTGAGATGGTCAACGTCCTTCTTGGCGGAGCCGTTGGACGCGTTGGGCAGACGGCCGTCGGGGGTCACATCACTGGGGCTCACGGAATCAACACGCCCAGCACGCCACGGCACGTCCGGGCCACCCAGCGCCTTGATGCTCGCCACGCCGGCGAGGGTGTAGAGGTCAGCGTAGCTGATGCTGGGGTTGGACTGCTTCACCGGCTCCAGCCAAGCGACTGCCTTGTCGAGTCCCGCGTTGCCACCGTGCGCAAGCTCCTCCTTGAAGCGGATAGTTCCGGGGCCAGATCCTCCAGTCTTCGAGACCTTATCGTAGCTGCCGCATGAATGCCAGGCCAGCCGCACCAGTGTCGGTCCTTTGTTCGGGTCAGCCTTGATAATCTGCTCGATATCTGCCTGGACCTTCTCTGCGGTTTGCTTCGTGAGCTTCTCCGCGGCGTTCGCTGGCTTCGGCCGAGCCGCCGCGGCCGCAACGGCGAGGCCGCCGAGCAAACCTCCACGCCGGCCGACTGCCGCGCGTTGGATCCGCAACCTCGTGCCGTTCGGGCGACTCACAGCGGCAGATCCTGCTGCCAGAGCTGCGATGGCTGCTGCTGTCGGCAACGAAAACTGCTGGTCGGTCCCCGAACGACCCAGCGGGGCACGGCCAGAGCTTGCTGGCGCCCTGGACAGCGCAGGCAGCGATTCGGCAGCGGCGGCGACAGGGACGAAAGAGACGAAGGCCATCGGTGCGGGGGGTCCGTTCTGGTGGGCGGCTTGGACTCGGACGTTCTCGACGTCTGCATGCATTCAACTCGCTTGCACCTACGAAGGTAGCTCACGAAGGAGGGGAGTCAGAGCAAACAACTTGGGAACTTGGCTCCGACAACAAAGGGTTAGAGGACAGCTGTACTAAATATGTGTCTGCATGGGGTGTGTACCGCTACACACGCATATGTCATCTACAATGCATCTGTCAGTCAGTCGACCTGTATGCATGTAGGTCTGTATGTCGTCAATGTGTGTAAGCATCTACATGCATTCACGCATGCATGCAGGCAGCCAAGGATGCATGTTTGATATCCCACAGCATTTCTGCAAACCAACATCATCTTGGGTGTAAGCATACTTGGAGCGTACAAGAAAGCGTGGACTTCATCTCACACGACTCATACTTCATGCCGGTCGCTGCGGAGGCTTGAGTCTAGCCTGCTGGGTCTCTTCGTCGTTGTTCTCGTCACGAGGTGCTTCCTTCCAGTCCTCAGCTCCGGCGCTTGTTCATACCTCTATAGGCTATAGGTACAGTAGCAGCAGCAATACCAGACTAGGCCCATCCAGGTGCTTCTTCCTTACTGTCTAGGAGATCTGAGGCATGAACTGATGCCACCTTCCGGTAGTGCGGACCCGTCTTGTCCGTGTAGAACGACATCCAGGCCTGCTGCGACAGTGTTTCCCGCACGAAACGACTACAAACAACTTCCCCGCTCACTGCTTCATGAATGTTAGAAGAAGCTACAAGGTTCGTCATAGCTGTCAAACCTGAGGTGATCTGCCTTCTGCTGTGCGAGGTGATGGCTTCGCCTGAAGCGTGCAGTTGTACTATCGGCGGGAAGTGTAAGGTGGCACCAGCACTGAGATGCAGTCCAGATCTGGGCGGAGTCAATGAACATCCCAGTCAGAGTGACCTTCTGCTTTCGTGATTCATTTCCACAAGCATAGCGCGAATTCACTGGGACATCTGCGTTGATGCACCATATGCTGACGCGGCCTCGGCTGCCATGAATGTCTTACCAATCTTCTACAGGAGCCATTAGACACTCCGACGACGATCACGCTTGCATTCTTGGGCTGTGGCGAGAGTCAACCTGAAAGTGCCTCGAGAAGGCTTTGATTTTCTCGAGCTTGGCGAGTTGCTCGTCCTGCAAGCTCTAGAAAGCATGCTTGGTCACCATCTAGACACATGGCCTTCAACTGCACGGCGAAGGCCGAGTTCCAACCTCTGTTGCTTTGCACGTCTGCCGAAAGTGCTCTCGTCGATCGTCAGAAGAAGCTAAGCTCTCTTCCTTCGTAGATGCAATCCTCCTTGAAGGCCTTTCCAGCTTCGTCCGACTTCACTCGGGTGAACCACTGGTCCTTCAAGGCTGCTGCCGCAAAACCCACTAGTGACTAGATCCGACTTCGAAACATTTGAATTAGTAAAGCCCAACAATATACAGTTGCGGGCAGCTGTCTGCAGCTGTCGGTGACTGAAGCACTTGCAATGTCTGCTGATATCTGGCTGCAAGGACTGTTCCGGGCTCATTCCGATCGAGGCCCTTGACAACCAACTTGTTGTTGTGTGTCAGCCCCTTTGCTCAGGGACTTTTCTGAACATGCAGAATACTGCGCCGGATTCAAGCAGCATCAGAAAGATGCAGTGAGTATCCTTCTTTGATGCCACCGGTGGGTGCGATGCACCAAGGGGTAAAACGAGGCAGGAGCCTGGACGATCCAATGCAACTTAGGCCGAAGGGAGCAGGCCAACATCGTTGAAACAGATGGACCGTGTAACAGTCATGCGGTCACCTTTCGGGGTTTTGCCAACGTTCAAACATCCAGTGCGATAGGACGCCCAAGATACAATGTCAAACAGCTGGCACTATGCCCTTTCTCGAGCGAGCAAATCAGGCCGGCTTCACTCTGTGCGACATGTGGACAGGAAACCACGAAAAGCAGACTGCGCTGGCTCCTTGCCAACTTGGTACACCAGGTGCAGCACAGTGGTGTCCTTGAAGATCTGCTGTTACGAGAATCTCACTGCCCTTTTGCCTCACGACTGACGTGACTGGGCCCGGAGCTGGCTCAGCATGGTCTTTGTAAAGTGACTGCCACTCCTCCTGGATAGTGTCCTGACATCAGCAGAGAGGCCAACTTGAACAAAAAGAGAGCAGTCCCAGGAGCTTATTTTGCGAGGTCTCTTGGAGACACGAGGCGGGGATCGAAACATAATTTCGTAGGCAGGCATGCCGTTCCGAGTTTCCAACTGCTGCTTAAATAACTGCTGCAAAGTTGCTGGAGCAAGTGTTCGGTTGTGCTTACAAGCTCAGGCACGAAGAGCTTGCAACGCTCGACTTTAGTCCGTCTGTGTAGCTGAACATGAGAAGCGGCTGTCCGTACACATACGTGTGTCCACATGCGGATGCAACTTGACACGGACACAGTTGTGCCTCCCGCTTGACCAGAAGACCCTTTCCGCGTCGTGGTCGCCCGACATTGACTCGAACTACCTTCGAGAGGTTTCGACTGGAACCAGGTTGTGGCAGTGCCGCTATTGTCCGGGCCTGCCCCATGCCGTTCAAGATGATGCATGGTACCATTCCCTCCTGAATAGAAGCTCTGAGCCGTAAACTTCTCAACCCAAGCAGCATGAAGAAGCTGTCGCAGAGGTCGTCTCTGGGACACCGGCATCAACTTCTCTTCGAATGGCTCCCACTCTAAACCTGGGCCCCGCAAGGCAGTCCGCAAGTCTGCATGAACCGACTCCTGCACCTCTCGCTCAAGCTCAGACCCATCGACAACGATGAACATAGCTCGCTTAGCCTGCGCATGCCGGAGCTTGCATGAAGATCTTTCAGAACTCTTCTGATTCTGATCACTCCTCGTCGGAGTAATCGATTTCTACGCCGACCGTGCTACCCTTCCTGGACAAAGAAGAGATACGTTTGTGCTGCAGACGACTTGAACTCGAGATGGGGCCCTTGCTTGAAACCGCCGAACTTGTCCTCTATACGATGCCCACCTTGGAAGGTCTCCGATAGAATCCGACTCACATCCGCCGGCAGCTGCAGCAGTGTCGCTGATGTAGAGATGACCAAACTCATCGCAGCCGAAGAAGCCCTGAGGGGATACGTGCAATCGGCTTGGCCCTAAGTGCGCATGACAAGCCTCAGCAGCTTGGGCACGTCTGTCACCCGTGAGCCGATTATCCTGAAAAAGGTGGTACAGCTCAGGTAAACGGGCTCCACACGGCAGAGACAGCCTGACTCTGCCGCACGACAGACGACACCTTTCCTCGCCCACATACTTGGAGGAAATGGCGCCGACGTAGATGGGTGCCAGCAAGGCATCCTCTCCCTGCCCAAGCTTCCGAACGAACAGCAATCAAGCGAACAACCTCGGCGGAGCATGCAGTTTTCAACATCACCAGGCTCCCAGCCTCGTTCTCATCCTCTTCGCCGGTTTTACAAACAGACTTGATGTAAAAGTCGACATTCACCACCTACAAGAGTCACGATCCTCCTCCTTGCCGGGAAAAGCGCGCTGGCAGCGTGCTGGAGCCTTGCCATCGATCAGTGCCATACTCGACTGGGACAGCCGGACCACAACACCGCTTGCCTGGCAGAGACGTCTCAGAAGATGCGATACTCCACTACCTCTCCTCACCTTGCTGCAGTCGCTTCCTGGCCTGATGCTTGTCGGTGTACTCGATGGTCCGCGAATCTTGCGGCTGCTTTTCGACAGTCTTGCGGTCTCCCAGGTCCTGCAGCTGTGCAAGCAAGTCAAGCGAACCTTCCCGAGGACAGCAGGGCGAGAGGTGAGGCTGCTGCATCTTCGCTCCATTCGATGCTGTCAGCAAAACCAATCCTCTGCTGCATGAAGTCTTCTGGGGCCGACGAGCGAACGAGAATCGAAGAACAAGTTTTCTCATGCCCATTGAATGGTCGAACGAGGCTCGTGTACACCTCCATGTTCGAGTCTCTGACGTATTCCATCACATCCTGAAATGAGCTGCATGGGCACCACCAAGCTCCAGAACGGCTGGCCCCTGTTGGGCCTCAAAATCCTTTCCGACTTTGTGCACCAAGTCCAGCTGGCGGTTGGCCTCCTGTACCTGCCCGTCATGACACTTTCCAGTTAGATGAGCTGAAATTGCATCTTTCAGCTGTTCAGACTGGACGGGCTTGCCCAGGGTTCCAGCGCTTCGAACTTGGGCTCATCGCCAACCTGCAGCAATTCTTGGGACTGATTTTTGCAGCCTCTGCGCATACGTAGGGGTTGTGACATAAAGGAGCTGTAGCCGCTGAATCGTCTCCAGGAAGTCCTGCACAGACACGAGCCGATCCGTTGTTTTTCAGGGCTCACTCCTGTAGGAACTTTGGGGGGCCACTATGTACTGTGACACGTTACCTTTGGAACACTTGCGGTCTATTTGCGGGCTGTTTGACTTGTTCCGGTTTTCCATCTTCTGGCAACTACAATCTCTCATCTCGCCGACTCCAACCAACCACTGCTTTGCACCAACCGACACTTTCAGCCGTCTTTCCAGTTGCATCGGCTGTGTGGATTGCTTCGGCATTGCGCTGGATGTGTGTGAACTGTTGACGGTTACTTTCTGTTCCCCGCCCAGTGGAAGCCAGTGTCGACGCACCACTGCATGACCGTGCTTTACAAGGTGGCGGGACCTTCCGACGCCTGCAGAGACGTGAGAGAAGCATGACCTCGGCGATTGCTCTTTGTGACTGACCCTTCAAGGCACATGCAAAGACAGCGAAATGTTGAGTAGCAGTCTGCAGCAATCGCCAGAGCAGAGTCATTCATGGCCATGAAGTCCAGCAGCACTTGGACGAAGGACGAGAGCGCCTGCGAAGTTCAGGTTATTGCACAGGAAAGCTCTGGCGCACGCGACGGGTGGCAATCCTGTCTGCAGGCCCGGTCTCCCGAATCCGGTGGCTGCCACGGCAATGCAACCTTTGGGGTTGTAGAAGGCGCGTGCTAAGACTTGGGGTCGTACTCCTCAAATGTTGACACCGCTACAGCCGACACGGTCTCCGATTTAGGCTAAGTGGTCTTCCCGGCGTAGTGTTATCATTCGGAGCAGGATGGAACAGAGCGAATCGAGTTGAAATTGACCCAGTCCGGCAGTGCTGGCTTCAGCGCGCACCATACCATCAACTATCGTTTAGAGCCCCTCCTTGCATGTTTTTGTTACTTGTTACCACTACAGCAGTTCAAGCATGTAGCAAGTCTGTTGCTCTCAGCATTTCGTGGTGCTCAGCCCAAAAGCGCAAAGAGTGCTCGCACTCTCGAGTAGAGATTCCGGTTGCTACGATGGGGGTGCGGTCACGAAGCTCGTGAGCATCTCACGAGGGCGCGCACGTCCGGTCATGCATGAGCTATGTGTAGGTGCACTCATTGTTGCTTCAGCCTCTGTGTCAACGGCTCTTCATGCGAGGTAGAGTTCAGGTAGTAACATGAAGTCTCCTATCACTTCTTCATCTGTGCTACCAGTTACCTCGCCACACACATTGCTCACAAGGCTTGTTTCCGATGCTGGGTACTAGTAGCTGTTTCATCCACATAGATTCAAGTCTGTGACAAGGCCAGGCTTAGGTCAAGACTTGCGCCAAATCCGAAACGATCACTACGTAGCTGGGCACCTGCCAAGGCAGGATTCCAGCGATAGCCCCAGCAACGCCAACGAGCTCATGAGAAATCTACAACCGGATGCCAGCCTCCTCAATAGCCTCCACAGAGATGTGTTTACCGCGGTTGGCCTGATGGCATCGAGTATCCAAAAGGTTCGTGCAATGCCCCAGCAGGCACTTCCATGGCCTCGAGGCTGTTGCTCTGCAGGTGTGGAGGACGCTGAATGCCAAGAGCCATGTCTTTGACCTTGCAACTGCAAGCATCCTGACTTCGAAGCACTCGAAGCACCAACGATCTGGAGCAGCCACGACTACTCTCGGGCGCATGCAGACTGAGGAAGAAATTCGCGGAAGGTTTCCCTGGCTCGCGATTTACGCATGAGCTGCTCACCAGAAAAAATGGCGTTCTTGCTTGTTCTTACATATCGTGGCAGCTCCACATGAACGATGTGACATGGGTGTTGACGCAGAGAGAGCAGCACATGTTCAGCAGGCGGCAAAGGTCTTTCAGCGCCTGGGTCACGAGAGGATGCTCCACTGGCATGAACTATAGGCCAAGGGCCGCGCCGCCAGGTACAAGTCTGTGGCCAGGTTCTTGTGCACCTAGCATCTGTGAGTCATTCGAGCTGCTCTCATCTTCTGGCATGTCTCATTGTCTGCCATGCCATCAAGGCGCTTGGAGCAATCGGTGCATGGCGCTGAACAGTTCCGTCACCCATCGTATCTGGTAGCTTTGCACACTACCATCGTCCTGCACTTCGCGACTTTTGGTGTAAAACAACGCGGACCCCAACTGTCAACTCCCTGAAGAGCAGACCTAGGGTTCGCGGCTTCCCTCAGGCAGCAGTCCCAGTCCCTGTCATCATCGTTGACCGGGAGACCCCTGTCCATACGTTCCTGCCTTAGCCGACAGGACAGAGACAGGCATCTCGCAAACGCTGCAGTTGGCTCCCGTACCTTTCCTGCCGCCGCTGCTCCGCCTCCATGCGAAAGCGCTCGAAGTAGCCCAAACCTGGCGGATGGTGGAGCATGGTGGAGCGAGAAGCAGGGTCGGGCGATCATGTCTGAGCACGAGATGCTGTGTGAGCCTATGAGCTTGGAAAGCAGCATGCTGAGCACCTGTTACCAAACTCAGATGAAGTCGCTGCACCATGAGCCAAACCAAATCTCATCAGCACCACAGAGAGACTAAGTCCCAAACGCTCACCAAATGGCCCATGCAATCCGAAAAGTCCGTCCGTGGTGGCGGCCTCGCACGGAACAATGACAGTGAAGGGAACTGGGACTGATGCGGCCACTCTATTGTTTCCGGCACGGAGTCCGTGAGGCGGTGTACTGCCCTGAGGCTCAGGCAGCCCCGGACTGGCCATGTCGCGACACAGCTCTGCCAGCGAGGCGAACTGCCATGAGCACATGTGACCTGAGAGCGTTCGCGGGGGCATTCCGCAGGGGCCACTTTGAGCCGGGCCAGGGCTCTGGCAAAGCCTTTGTAGGTCCATCGGTCTTGGCGTTTCATTTCAGTGGAACCGGGCGACATTTGTCATGTCCCCGCTACTGGCCGAGCACACTACGTCAGCGGTGCTGATCCGCCGCCGGGAAGCTCTTCGAAAGCGCTGTCCTGGGTCTGCCACTTGCATCTGATCGAGAAGTTGTGAGCAGACGAGAACTGTTGACAAGGGCAGCGAAAGGCCCCTTGCATCATCATCTGCCCTGGTCCCATCCAAGTACACCTGTCGTGCTGTAAAAAGGCATGTGAAACTTCTGCCAAGACAATCCCATCATCGCCGATGGCCTGTGTGATAACGGAGCTTCGGACAGATTCATCAGCGAAGGGGGGCTGACCTAGCCAAGATCGGGCCGCGTTGCTGGCCCCTCTCGTCCCTCGTTCCCTTTCCGATTTCCGCTCTTAACCGAGTTCCGGTCCAAGGAAGGCATGCAGAAGCAATGCCGTGTGGGAGGACAGCCTGTATGCAACGGCTTTGCTTTGCCGAGAGGTGCTGCATTGTAACACGATGGACATGCCGGGCAGACGCTGCAAGATCACTCAAGTCTGCTGCATCGCGGCTCTCGTGGATCTGACCTGCAGGTTTCAAGCAGATACGACTGCCTCCCAAGACCTGCATTTCGGCTGGGACCGACCTTGCTGACGTCGTCGCTCTGCGAGGTGCGACGGGCAAAAGACCAGGCCAGCATTTCGCAACACCTGCATGACTTCGTGCTATGATCCATGGACCACCATGATATGAGGAGTTCACAGGCTGAGCTCTACTGTAGAACACTGCACCTCTCGTTGGATCAGTTGGCCCCGCACAACACTTGGAGGAATAACGCCCTGCAGCGGCCCAGAGCTTGACGAATCTCCAAGGAATCTTCGGACAGCGAGCAGTCTGCGAGCAGTCCTGCAGGAGCTGTGAGTTGTCCATGTTGCGATCGGCTGTCAGGTGGGCGAGCAGATTCACGAGCGCCTCAGAAATACGGGGGGCGACCTTGCCTCCAGTGCCAGCAAAACGCAAGGCTGCGGAACTTGAGGGCAAGGCGAAGTACAGAAAGCGACATGGCTGGATCATCTGGTTCGGCTGGTGAAACTCCAAGTCCTTGTTCCCGGTCAAGTCTCAAGCAAACCACTGCGATGGATATCTTTTCATTAGGGCCCTGCATCCCGGAAGTAGCCGCGCCCCTCATAGCGAGGTGGCTGGGCCCGCTGCTGCATCCACAAAACCCTCCTGGCATGCACAATGCAATGCACGTCTGAAACGTTCAGTATCCACAGGCGTCAATGTATTCTCGGTTGTGGGGGGCTGACTGTCTCGTTGCCGGGTGTCAAGAGCCTCGCTTTGTGACACTTCCAAGCCTGCCATAGCTTTGACGTTCCTTTTGGCCGAGTCTCGGCGGGAAAAGTGGCTTCTGGTGTTCAGTGCGACATTGCCGTCCGGGCCGCGTCGCAGTGGGGACCGCATGCGGCTTTGTGGCTTGAATGCATCATGCTGCAGATCTCATGCCCATGCAAACATGTTTAGACGGCTTAGTTTTGCAGGGCGACGGACCCTTGCATATTGGAGCTTGGCGTCTGCACGGGGGGATGTGTCTCTAAACATCCTCACGAAACATGCCGGCAGTTCGGTACCATGTTCCGCACCTGCTGTGCCAAGTCCTCCTCGTCTTCGGCTTCAGGCGCCTGTACCTGTGGGATGGTTTCATTCCACCCCAGTCGTGATGCAGCTGATGTAGCCTGCTCCAAAGCACTCTCGAAGTTGTCGAAGAAGATGGAGGTACCGAGCTTCAGCAACGTGAACTCATCCTTGAGCCAGGCCAAACAACTCAAGATGCCCTGAGGCCTCACAGCTCGTGCAAGCCTTCTGGCTCATCAGCTGCTGCAAGCCCTTGCCGCTACCGACAAATCCGGATTTCCTTTCGATCTCTGCCTGAAGCCAGCACACTGTGTAGGTCGGATGCATCATGCTTCGGCACAACCGACCGTAACATGCAAGTTGAGGGCATCACCCGGGCTTGCAAGTGATCATCCACAGTGATACGCGTCTTCGCCTTTCTGCAGCATACGGTCTCAGCTACGAGCTGCCGCCTGATGCGTCATCATCTCGGTGGCCGGGCCCAAACATTGTCCCAGCACTCGGGCGCGGGTCGCCGTCGGATGCTTAGAGCCTCTAAGCGAGTCAGTGGGCTTGAGCTTGGAGAATGAGTGTGTGCGTGCTCTTGCACGATATGCAACACAAAGGATTGCCTCGCTTGTCTGTATCAGCTCCCGGGTAATGAAATCCTGTCGCGATGCATGGCAATGCAAGGCATTGCTGCTCTCACTGAGACACACCCTTTCACGTATGGTCCTGGATTTCGTTGATGGCGCTGCCATCAGGGCCTGCCCGGCTGGATCCGCAACGTTACACAGTGCCGGCTCGCGGCGAAAGTCAGCCAAGCTTCCGGCCAATGCACAGGTCCGTCAACAACTCCAGGATACGTTGCACAAACTTGACCCAATAGTAGGGGTCCCTGGGCGGCAAAACAAGGTTTCCCTGTACATCTTCCCTGGGTCATTCCACATCACCAGTCCCCGGCTTTTGCAGGCTGTCTTTGTTCTGTGCAAACTCCTTGTACTCCTCCTCACTCACCACCGTCTTCCTGCAAATGCCAAATGCACATTGATCGATGCCTTTAACCCGTATTTGCTAGTAATGTCGCTTGAACCGGGTCTAATTCAGAACGCGGGTGCATCTCTGCAACCTCGATAGCGTGCTCGGGATTCGGCCGGTGTTCTAAGTCAATTCCTTCGTGCTCATGGTAAATTCTTCTTCGGTAGAGGAAACAAGAGGCCTCGGCGGTCTCATTTTGGAGACAATAGGCTTGCGGAGGAAAATGTGGGATGAAGGAATGATTGACAAAGCTTGAATGCTGGTTTTTCGTAGTGGTCGTTCTCTTGCGAAAACCTCCTAAGCGTCGGCAAGGGCCAGGTCGCGTGGCGGTGCACCCATGACGCAGAGAGTCGCTCAAGCGGCGGGCAAGGCGACGGGCAGTGGCTCAGGACAGACAAAGGCCTTGTGAACAACCGGATCGAAGGTGAAGGGCGCCCAAGCAAGGCGATGCTTCGTGCAGGAGACAAAAGGAACACAGCAAACGGTGGCATCCGCCGACATCTCGGTACCGCTTCATGAATTCCATCGGGACATGACCTCAACAGGAAGGCTTTTCCATGAGCGCTGCATTGCGGAGTCTGCCGTTTTGGCTCTACGCTCCTCCGACCCTTAGCCCTCGAGCACTGACCGCAGCGCCAGACAATGATATCTTTTTATAATCAATAGTCAATAAATTAGTAGGTCAATCAATGGTCCATCCCACGGCTCCTCCTCAACACCGCACCCGGAAGTCACCGAGCACCCACACGAAGGGTAGTAGCACTTTTGCGCTCAACACACTCGAAACCCCAAAATTCTCGAACCGCAAGCCCTAAACCCTAAAAGCTCAAACCCTCTTGAGCCGCACGCGCTTGAATCGTGTGTGCTCGAATCGGGGCAAAGCTGCGGCTGCCTGCGTGTGAACAGCTTCCACAGAACATCCACGATGACTCTGATTCCTCCCAAGTTCTCCTGCGGCGCATCGTGACACAAACCAACGCAAAATCCATACGGGCCATTTCAGCGATGACTTTTCGTTGCCAGCAGCAGCGGTCTGCAATCAAGTCCTCTGCCGTGCCGTTTGTACACTTCTTTCGAAACTGCTCCAAGACTTGCTGAAACCTTAGCAGGGCTGGGCGATATCTTGACAGCAGGGCAAGTAGCTTTGCCAGGCCCCTGGCTGGCCAAGCTTGATCGTGCAGTCTGCCTCCTCCGCAGAGTCTGCTGGCTCGGGCCGTGCCTTTGAGGCGGTAAAATAAGCGCGGTCTTTCCAACCTTCCAAGCAGCCGGGGCTTGGGACGGGGCAAAGGCCATAGTGAGCAGGTACAAGGTGTGAGCCTCGGGTGGCAGCTGTTGTCCAGAGAGCAAAATTCTGGTGCGGGCGTTCGCAACACGCAAGGGAAGTGGCGGAGAGCGTACTCAACAAATCTGTCGTGGTCGCAACCTGTCGCGGCAGTCCATTGGCACACAAAAGCAGCTATCGCCAGCGCTTCGAGTAGCTTCTGCTTTACGCTGAACCCGATTGCTTTTAGTTATGGTGCTGCCGTTCTTCCTTCATACCAATTTGATGCAATTTCGGTTCTCCGTGCCCAGGGCCGTCGTTGCGCAGTGGTGGGTTTGAAGCATGCCCAGGCATGCTACTCGCCGAGTAATGTCCAGGTAGTAGCACTCATGCTGCAACACACTCACTTAATTGTCAAGACACATATCATCGAGAGATGCAGCGACCGCAGCTGGGCATTTGCTCACACGGGGCAGTACGATCCCTTGTTGTTACAGCGAGTCTAAGCAGCCCTCAAGCATCAAGCGTCAAAAGCACATGTGGGTGGCTTTTAGTGTGCAGGGCCTGGCAGCAAGGCACCAGCTCGGGCACCAGGTCCCTTGAAAGGAAGACATCCTGCCAGCTCCATCACAGGTTGCAGAGCGTCTCAACTTGCATATCCTCGACTTCACAGCTTGACTTTACAGAAACTTTTACCGTTCGAAGCAGCTTGTCCGGCATCATGATGGCTCGTCTCGCTGCTTCTCGGCGCTCAGGAGTGTTCACCTGCACACCACCACCCGGGCCGCAAGCAAAGCCTCTGGTCGTTTCTTCAGGCACGCTGGCGCGAAGATGGTGCTTGCCTCGTATGGCGAGATCGTCAGAAGACCGGCGTTAGCCGCGCTGTTTGTCTTGAAGGGCATCAGCCTTGAGCAAAGACACTCTCAAAACTAGGCGGCCTGACCGATGTTTCGCATGCACCTTCTCTGTCTATGCTCCGGACAGGGGCAAGAATGACTCCAGTTGGACTCTCACCTTGCAATTGATGCAAAGCTGGATAGAGACAACGTCCTTGTTGATGCCACGATACGTGACTGAAGTGCATCGAAGAAACGAAATCTTCGTCAAGTAGTGGAGGGGCCGTCTGCCAGATGACGTGACTTCCATATTTAGATTCTGAACTGTAGTGCAGAAGACGCATTCTCCCTGTCCCAGCCTGGTTGTTCAAGCCCTTTGTCACCTTCAGCTGGGACTGAAAGCAAGACAGAGCCCTAGTGTCAGCTTCTACTACTGGCTGGTACTTCGTGGCACTTTCTTGCGCAATTCGTTTGCTGTTAGAGAGTGAGTAAGCTTGTCTTCTCTTGGCAAGAAATCAAACTGCCTCAGCGTGTCTCCTGCATCATGCATTCACGACACCAGGACTGTGTCTACCCCTACCAAACCTCATGATTCAGATTCTCGGCGCTTGACCTCCACGATTCCACACCAGCACGCGGCACGAAACGCAGCTGATTTTTCCCTGGTGCTGGATACTGTAGCCTTATCACATGACTCCCCCACAGTCTTTCTCAATTACGGCTACTAGTAGGTTCCGGCCATGGAAGCAAGAGATCTGGCAGCACCAATCCATGTTGTTTTCGTAACCTTCCGACCATCTGCGGCGTGGCCTATCTGCTTTCAAAAAACACTTCCTTCAGCATTCAGTGACAGTGCTTTCTCTCGTCACGCGATGACTCTGACTCTACAGTCTTGAACCTGGCATCCGCAGCTGGGCGGCACACATTATTGGAGGTAGCAGCAGAGACTGCCTGCGAGACTTCTGTGCCTTTGATGCTCCCGGCGACAGACTCCTTAGCAAGCCCAATGCCGTTTAAGTGCACTGCAGACAGATGCCTAGACAAACTTCTCAGCCACTGCAGAACCTTTACACGCCGGTGGCAATGGCTCTTGGCATCTGGCTGGTCGGCTACGTGCGGAAGTCGCGGCACGTGGTGAAGACCCATTGAAACCTCGTTAACCACATCTTTGCACGTCCCGACACATTCGACCGTTTGAAATGGGTACGGTTTCACATACTTGGAGAGTGATTCTACAATGGCCGCGGGTCATACCCCGTCCGTTCTATTAGAGGCAGCCAACTCATGATACTCATGTCAAGTTTATGTACAAACACAAAGCACGAACACGCATTCCCGATCACGTGATAATAAGGAGCCCCCAAAATAGTACACTTGGGGGGCCTGCAGACGAACGCTAGTGACTGACAACAAGCTGAGGTAAGCCGGAAGGCTGATCGGATCCGTGCAGACAGCAGGGCTCTGTGTTGGTTCGAAAGAGAAGAGTGGCACGATTAAGGCGTGACTTGAGTTTGCTCATCTCTCTCAGCTGCCACACTAAGACATCGACTTTGGTTTCCAGCAGCAGACGATGTGGCACCGGCGGCTGCGTTTCCAAGAGGAGTACCTTGCCGTCCGAGGTCACTGAGCCCGTCGTTCGAGTGGACTTTTGAGACTGCTGCTACGGCTGATATTGAGTGAAATTGCCTTCTCCGAGGGACGAAGTCGTCAAAGTGAAGTGGCTTGCCCCAATGATGTTTTGGTCCTCTCAATTATACTCTGTCAAAGCAGGCTACCACTCGCCCCACAGGAAAGCAATAACACGATGGACGACTGGCAGCATCCTGCACCTGATACTCGTAATGCGGCTTGGATATTTCAAGCCTGGGCACATGCTAAGTTGAGGCAATCGTATCTTCTTCCGTCAATGGTGCAAGTAGTTCCTTTCTTCAGTCACTACCCGGCAGTAGACCGTGTGCATGGAACAAGCATGCTTGGATGCATACCCATCCAGTACAGTACTTGTAATGCCTATGACAGGGACATGAGAGAGGACCAGAGGACCAGGACCGGTGACGTGAAGGTCTAATCAGCTGAGTCCGCAGCGCACGCGGCCGAGCCGGTTTGGCGCTCTTGGCAAGGCCATAAAAGACCTCTGGTGCAGCTGCTTTTTGCTTTATTCTCATGTCCACAGTCAGGCTCGGGCCTGCAAGTGAGCAACGGCCCGTGTGTCACCTGCAGCCTCAAGTTCTTCACTGCAAGAGGAGCTGACGCCTAGTAGCCTTTATGGATCCCTTATAGTAACCCGTAATAGATCCCGTTAAAGGAACCCTATTCTACAGTACTAAGGCGTAGCTCAGCTGATGCATCGGCAGCCAAAGAGTGCCTTCTCCCTGGCCGCTGCGTCTGTTAGCCCCCCGGCTTCCTGCGAGTCTGTAAAATCATGATGCTTCACAGTGCTACGAACACCACTACTGTGCACAAGACTGCAAGACCTCTGATCTGTGATTGCCAGACGTCAAAGGGGCTCCTCGATGGCATCCTCTGCCTTGTCGGAGCTGACCCTCTTGTTGCGGTCTTCTTCCTGAACATGTTCAAGGGCGTCGTGTCTACTCAGCTTGGACCCTCCAACCTGGCCTCGATCTCCATGATGAAGGATAGGAAGGCCCAGCCTGCTCAGGCTCGCAGCAGGCGGCTGTCGCAGTACCAGAATGAGGTCCGGAGCCTTTCTGCTCTTTGAGCTCTTTCATGTCCTGAGATCTCGACAGGAGATTTCTACTGGCCAGTCGAATTTTGCTTCTACGCACAGGCGCTGTTGTGTCTCTCCTTCAGAGGCCTTGGAGGCGTGTCGGCACCTCCTTTGTCTGTCCAATTCCATACGCGGCGGCGCTTTTGCATGTTTGCATTCCTGCAGAAACCGAGCACGACTTTGACTGGCCTTCGCTCCAGTCTTCTGATTTGGAGACTATAGCTAGTCGGCACAGTCCTCAGTTCGCGCACCTCCTCATACCGCAGGCGCAAGTGGTCGTCCTACATCAAAACACGAGCAGGACCACAGCTAATTCCGAGACACTGATTCTGGACCTTGCCTGCTGCTTTCGTACGATGCGAAAGGACGCATCGATGGGAAGCACGTCTTTTCCCTCTTCAACCATCCTGAACGTGCCCCTGCTCTCCATTGCACTCAGCTGCTCGGCGCTGAGGCAAGCACCGCTTCAGGTCCAGGGTGGACTCGGAGGACGACGAGCCTCGGCATCGAAGAATGGAAGATCATGTGCTCAACGGTAGCTTCTGAAGCTGCAGAGCCCTCCTCTCCCGCCTGAGGCAAGCTTGGGCCGCCTTTGCATGTTCTTGCCCGTGCGGCCGCACTCTTGTGGCACTGAGCCGTGGCATGCTGTGCCACAGTGCCAGAAACCGAAAGGATTGATGGACGAAAAGCACCAGCCGCGGGTCAGGGTCCATCCGCAAGACGTGAATATTGAAGCTGGTGTTTCCTAGACGACAGTCCCCCAACACAAAGGTGCCATGCCCGGTTCCGTGCCACTGCCCAACTCTCCAGAGCAAGTTCGCCCACGCCATCAATTGTTTCTCTTTCTCACATTCCCAGAGCCCTTCGCCAATCATCGCCACGGGCAATTCTGTGTAGCGACGGCTCGGCAGCAGCAAAGGTGCAATATCTGCACCACTTTTCGGCATCCCGCTTCCAGCATTCAACAATCCTATGCCGGGTAAGTGCTCGGGCCAAGGCAGTCCCACTCGATGCGAATCTGTGTGGAGATGCCCTTGTCCATTCGAGACCAGACTGAGAAGGAGAATGCCTGATGCATGCGATCAACGCGGATCCAGGTGCAAACGAGCACCAATTCACTTGCAGGAAGCAGGACACACCGTGCGAAGGATAAGTCTTGGACCCTTTCGCTCCGGGATGGGAGGAAGAAATGCTCACGCTTCTCATCTGCTTCAGCCCTGGGCAGCGGACGGGGCTCAGGCTCAGGCTACGTCTGTCTGTGAGCCCGGCCCCGAGTTCTTGAGGTAGGTGAGGATCCGGTAATCATGGTTGAGCTCCTTGATGTCCTGAATATCGCCAGGCCGTCCCCGCTTCCCTGTTGCCATTGCCACCTGTTGCCCTTGCTGTTTCTCCCTTCCTGCTTCTTGGAGTTGATCTTCGGCAGAACGGGGCCATACGGGTGCAAGGCCTAAGCTGCCGGAGTGTCTGCACTTTCATCACGCAGAGTCCTCCGAGAGCTACCAGAGCTCGCTGCCGTGTACATCACCTCGAGCACCTCAGATGAAGAAGGCATGTGCCTGTCCTGCTGTGCTCTGAACAGCTTCTCCCTACCCGCCGGGGCTGAAGCCCTGGATCGCATTTTCCGGTTGCAGTTCATCGTGATCGCTCGGAGCGACTCCACCTCGATCTTATCCGAGAATCAAGCGAACGCCTGTTGATACAGGCAACTCTTAGGAACGAAGCCATCAGCGTGATGTCAGGATGCAGATCCGCGAGAAGCGACTGGCCAGCATGTGCAGTCTTGGTGGTGTCTGAAGCTTGCGGCCAAGCATTTCACTTTGCACATGTCGTGCCACATGTTTGCCCGCAGCCTGGTCGTTGATGCCAATGTCAACCTCGACATTCCGCAACATATCCTGCACAGCTTCAATCGATGTTCCTCTGCACAGCGTCGGTTTGGAACAATCTGCGATGGCGCACATACAAGTCTCGCAGACCATCGCCCTCGTCGAATGCCAACATCTGGATAAGTGGAATGCAGTTCGTTGTCGGAAACCTCGGTACCATGCAACGTGACGGGGAAGGATCCGTTGAATAGTTGTCAACAAGGCAGGCACTGGTCCTGCATCAGATTGGACAAACACTGGCAGCAGTTTGAGATGGAACCTGAGCAGGTGAGCCAAGCATACAAGATGCACACCACCATCGCTATGATTGCCTGCTTTTCAGAAAGTGAGTAGTGCGCCGCAAATTTCTCGGAAGAGGCGCGTGCTCGCTGTGTAAGGCAGCAAACGGTAGACTGGCAGAGCGAAATCGTGTCGAGCGATTACAGCTGCATAACGCAAATGCGCAGCACCTGATTTGTACAGCGTGTTGGTCTGCGGATTTGTGCAGAAGCCAGGGATGTCGTAGTTGAAATTGGCTTTCGAGTTGGCAAACCTGGATGATGAAACGGCTGATTTGCGTAGGGTCCCAAACCATGAACACCGCCTTGGCAAGAAGTCTCGGATGACGCTGAGGATCCTCATCATCTTCGGCACGACCTTCCGTTTGGTCAGATGCCGGGAGAGCACCACCCAGCAACAGTCTTTATCTCCGACAAGTGCGAGCCTCCAACTGGATGAGCTGCGAATGCTCTTCTGGGCTGGTAGTGCAGCAGATATACTTCAACACGGATGCTGCACCTGAGACCGACGGTCAAAAAGCTTTGCATTAAGAGATGGCGCTTTACATTCGAAGTGGCACCAGCATGTCACTGCACTGGTCGCTTAGCCAGGCGCTGAAGCACAGGTTCAAGTCGAAGAAGAGCTCCTGCCAAAATCCAGGAAACTTGGAGAATACGTAAACATAGCGAGACAGGGCGGGTCCCCAGTGTCACGCGCATCTTCTTGCCCCACTGCCTCACAGAATTGGATTATGAGGGAACTGGGGATGGCGATGGGCATGCTTGCCTCCAAGCTCGAGTCCATGGGGCGCAGGACTTGGTGCATCGTACTTGCCTTGGGAGCTTGCGTCCGTTTAGGTTCCGTAGATGCATCAGCCAGCGTCCTCAAGGCCTTAGGTCCTAACTCCGTGCTTGTCTTTGCCGCTGCCGGTGCCCTTGCTCATTACCTGAGTTTGCCGAACCCCAACCAATGTGAGTGGCACACAAGGACTGTCAAAGCTCAGTAGCCCCTTGGGTGAAGGTATCGGTGGAGATGATCGAAAAGCGCATGCCTAGCATGCGACAGCTATCCTCGCAAATGAAAAGTCGTGAGGCACTGGCTCAAAACCCGACTGTGTTCTCTGCCTTGTCGAATGATGGTAAAAATCTTCGACTTCTGCTCCTTGCTCGTGTCAGGTCGGGAGAGTAACCTCAGTGCAGATGCAGAGCTCATGAGGCAAAAGATCAGACAGCTTATCCGAGCAGGATACTCGAGTAGAGGCCGCACAATCCGCACAGAAGCCTCTCGAGCATGGACCAGAGCTCTCGTATCTTTAGCAAGAATAGCAATACTAAGCAAGAGGGCTCTGCTGGCAGCAGTTCTGGTAGAGCCGGTAACAGTGGAAGTAATAGTAGCGATAACAACAGAGATCCAAGCAAAAGCAGCGACATGAAGAATCTCAGTTAAAGTCGTGGTTTGAGTAGAGCAGCGGCTGTACAAGCAGGAGAGGAGCGGGGGGAAGCAGCAGCAGCAGCAGCATTTGCAGGCGCGGGCGCGGGAGCGGAAGAGCAGTGGCAGTAGCAGCAGTAGCAGTAGCAGTAGCAGCGGTAGTAGTAGCAGTAGTAGTAGTAGTAGTCGTCGTCGTCTGTCATTTGTTCATTCATTCCATGCCATTCCGTTCACTTCCTTCCTTCATCCATCCATCCATTCAGGAGACGCTACTACAAAAGGTAGGCGCATTTGTACCCATGCACGCGAAACGGTAACACCTGCATAGAAGAAGCGGGCTTTCTTGTAACAGTGCACATGGAGCATAGGTTTTAGCAGTTGACATGCCTTCAAGCCATCCTCGGCGAGGCGCGAGTCCGGCTTCAGATACTTCCAGAGGATGTCTGCCTCGAGCGCTGGCTCTCTACACACTCGTCATCAAATAACCTACGCTTTCTCAAATGCCCTGAAGTTTGTCTGGGCCAGCAGCAAAAGCGATGAGAGATCCTGGGACATCTTGCAGTCTCTGCGATTTGGTTGCACACCACAGCTCCCTCCGGCTACGTTTGTGATCTTTCTGACAAGCTGCTCTCGGCGGATTCCGGCTGCTGGAACGTTTGCTCCATGCCTAGTCCGTGAGGCAGCTGGCACGCGTTCGGCGAACGCATCAGAGTGACCGATAGCAGAACGATAGTGAGAACCCGGCTCATCAGCGTTTTGTCGATGCTGCCTTACAGGTGAGGTCAAGGGCAGTTATGTCAGCGCCCCAAAGTGCAGGCTCTGCTTCTGGACGAAGGTGCTTTTGGAGAATAATCCGATGTTCTTCGGCATCGTCAGCAACTCCAGAATGGCCTGCTGAAGGACGACAGTGCTGCAACACCGGCTTCACGATGGGTTGAACCCAGCCTCACAAATGGCCTGCGCAGTGTATGAATCCAGAGAGTCCATTAGCTCCTGGTCAAGATGATGCCAACAACAAAGGCTCCATGCCACGCTGTTCGAGAACTTGCAAGCTCGTCATAAGCGGTCAAGCCACAATGAGCCGCTGTCTGGCATCGGACATGCGCGACAAGCTAGCCTCACGGAAAGGTTCGGAAGCCGTGCGAAAACATTGGATCGTAATTTGCTTTGCTCGTGCTATATTTCCCTTGCCAGCCTTTGTCATCGCGACCAAACACAGCGCAAAGAATCGCTGGATTGGTCGTAGCCTGCAGGGGAGGTGAACCAAGCACACACTGCGTCATGATCCGAACGGTGTGTCGTACTTCGGCCCACACTTTTCAGCAACGCGTCCATAGGAACTGGATCCCCGCAGGGCTGCAGCAGCTGCTGCCTTGCCAAAGCATCCAAGGCAGCTCCGCCAATTTGCGCGGGCAACACAAGCACCTCTGCATTGTCGTCCTTAGAAGCATCTATGTCCTGATCCCCACACACACACACATCTCCACACTGCCGTCAACCCAGCTGCGTCCTGTCCGCCATTGACAACTGATCCTGATACTCCCCACATCAACACATCAATGCAATGCTGCAGTCGATAGCTTTAAGCTTTGTTCAAGAACTTAGGATGTGGCCATCGCCGATACCCTCAAGACTCTTCCTAGCGATCCGTGCAGCGCGTGCCCAGCCTTGTCTGAAACACAGCGGAAACCACAACATGCAATTCCTGGTGTGGTAGTTCTGAGCACATAACGCAAGACATCTTCTTGGTACATGACCGTCTTGGAGGGGTCTTGCCTCACTTCATCGAACTGACGTCTACTAATCCATTTAGTACGCTTGCGGCTAGCGGCTGCAGGATTACCATCTCTTCAGGCAGGGCCATGCCTCCCGAACGCACCGGATATCTTACAGACACTTTAGTTCTCAGACGTGTGCTCACTTCATGCTCATCCTCTTTCATTTTCATCCTCGCCGTCATCATCAACATCATCATTCACGCAGGTAGGGAATCGATCCACCCACTAGAACGACCGACTCGCGAATTGGAAAGACCTGATTTGCACACTGAAGGGAAGTTGCGCACCAGGGATTTGTGCCATGGATTCTCGAGCTGACGATTCCCGCACTTCACATGGGATCAACGCCCGGCGGTGCCAGATTCGGGCACGAGGGATTCGGCACTGACAACAGTCACGACACGAACGAACCAGACGAACGAAGGAGCGAAGCGAAGGAACCGGACAAGCAACAGCCACTGCAGTGGAAACGGATACGGGGCAGGACACCCTAAGCCATGGAAGGCAAGGGGTGGCCAGCGATGACAAGAAAACCGGACCTCGCAATATGATAGAGGGTATGCAGCGAAACTACACGAGACTGCAGAAAAGCTTGGCCTAGAAGATGATGGAAAGTAGGAAAGCTAACATGAGGAGGGCCCAAACCCACAGCTCATGAAAGGAGATCACGGGTGCCAAACCCGAAACCACCAACGTAGACGAGCGATAGAAACTTGAATAGGAGATGCAAGGTAGGCAACTCGAAAGCACAGGCGGAGGGCCCCAAGCCCGGAATCCTGCTAAAGACGATGCCGAGATGCGAAAAAACTAACCCTAAACACGTTAAGAGAGAAAGCCTGGAAAGGAGTTAGGAGTCTGTGATTGCGAGTGGCTGAAGGAGGAACGGCGCGCGAAAAACCGAAAGCTGAAAAGTTGGATTTCATTGGATCCAGATCCTGCACGAAAAACCAGAAAACCCGAAACTACTAAAACCGTCAAGACAAGTCAAGACAAGCAGCGAACAGTCGAAAAGTACAGCAACAAGCAAAAAGTACCACAAAACAGAAGAACCGTCTAAAGCTACGGCGAAAGGCGAAAACTCGAAAAGCAAAAACGGCCGAATTATCGAAAACGTGAAACGTCCAACAGTCACAGCAGCATGCGAATTCTGACAACGTTTCGTCAAACAGAAAAGACTGCTTCTGGGAGCTCGCCTCGAAAAACATCTATGTTTTGGACACATACTGGCTGCTTGATTGAAACCCGAAATGGTTTCATGTCTGTCAGACAATGCCTATGCTTCTGCAACTTTTGGGCACCTGGTAAAGGCCAAGATGGACAACACTTCTTGAAATACCCGACTGGCCGGCTCCAACGGCCCGAACAAAAAGCCCGGAATTGTCAAACAAACAACTAAAGAAGCATCCCGCGAAGTTCGCCTAGCCAGCCAACATACCCCTGTTTTGATTTGTCTACTGATTATACACTGCTAGCTTGGAAAGATGCTGCTACATTGGTTACTACATCTACTGCCGACTGCTGCTGCCTCAGGCCTGCCCCTGCCCGGCACTTGAGCCCACAAGCCCTTGCCCCCCTATCCAGCGGCAGCCGTGGCCCCTGGACTGCCACCCACGTATCTAGCAGAAAAACACGAAAAGTCAAAAAAACAAATCTAAAATGGCTCGAAAGCCAAACGCGCATGAGTGGAAAAGCGGAAACCAACCGAAAGGTCCCTAAAGGTTCAGAAAGTGCAGGAAGACACGAAAAATTGTCGAATTCGAAAAGGCCTAATTAACAACTGGAAAAACTGAGAAGCGAACATGAAAACATAAACTTCGAACGGCGCAGACAAACACAACAACCGCAAATCCAAAAGCGTGCAATTGGAAAATCAGCGAAAAGGTCGGAACACGCACGATAAAAAAAAAAGTACAGAAAATTTTTAGAGCAGAAACACGCAAAACTCCTCGTCGTCGAACAACTTTAAACTTTCGAGATTTGAATCTGTTCTCCGCTTGTCGGAACCACCACCTGCGCCTGCTCGACTCACGCGGCTACATCATCCCCATCATGAGCGTCACGTGCCGTGCCGTGGGACGCACTCGAACACGGACGCAACTACTCGCCGACCACCGCCCCACCCTCTCCGAAACACCCCGAACATTTTGAAAAGACTATGTAGCAGGCACGAACTAACACCAACTACCCTGACGCGCCAAAGTCACAAGGCACAGCTGAGATGATTGTAACGTCATGCAGCATCACTTTTCCCGAGCAGATCTACATCGCACACAAAGCAACTACACAACGGTGTACATGTGAGCTCCCGTCTGATGCCTAAATCTTCCGAACTCAGTTCGAACAACACTTTGACACCTCTGTTCTGCGCACTCCTTCTGATCAGCAGCAATTAAAATGGAGTGCCATCATTGGATCTGTCTCGAAAACACGCCAGGCAGCCGGTTCATGATTTAAGAAGTACTATACCGATACGTGCAAAGTGACGAAAGCAGATAGCCTTCTGTGACCTCGTCATTTGTGCCCTCCTCTGTGTCCTGACTGCATAGGCATTCAAAGTCTTCTTGTGCGGTACTCAGGCCAAGTAGTGTTGTCAATGCTAGAGAGTTACTATCTGGCTTAGTGAAGCTTCTGCATCAGTCCTGCTCTCCTTTCGCCTGTGCCAGCTCCTGCAGCAGCTCTTCTTCAATATCTTCCACCTGCAGCTGAAGTAGGTGCGCTGCCCATCTCGCCCCGTAGACAAAGCAACAGCTCGTCAGCTCGTGCCTGCTTGAAAATGAACTCCGCAACCTTAGGCTCCGACAGTGGTTGCAGAACCAACCCACGAGTCGGAGTTATCCCAGGATCCCCACTGTCTGGCTTCGGTTGGGAATGATGGCGAAGGCAGCATTGCCTCGTCTCCGAACCGGCTGGCTTTCATGTAAACGAGACTCCATTCGGGCTACTTGCAATCCGGCTGCAATTCAGCTTCACCTTCTGCTCTGTCATGTCCTTGAAAGCTGCACGAGCTTCACACATCTTGCTTCCGGATGCTGAGTCCCTGCAAAGGCCTTCATGACCATGTTGGTGCAAAGGAGCTTCAGAACGACGCGGGGTGGCTCGTCTTGCAGCCTGGCTTCAGAGTTCGCGGTCTTGATAGGTCGTTCATCGTTCAGAGACAGGCCGTGCAAGGTGCAGCCGGGTGGCAACTCCGCGTCCTCTTGCTCCACGAACGGCTGGATGGCGCGCCCACCCATGAACTGAACCTGCTGAGCGAGGATGCTTGAGGCAGCAGAAGTCGAGCTGTACAAACATCTGCCTGGTAGTAGATAGAATCTGCAAAGTCTAGGCTCCTTAGACCATCTTCCGGAAGCCGTGTTGAAACACAATGCTCATGACTTGACCTGAATCTCTTCGTCCTTGTGGCACGCTTAGCTCCGGGCTTGCACAGGATCTTGTCTGCCGTGGTTCCCTCGTAGCGCTGGGTCACCTCCTGAGCAAGTTGCTAGCAGTCTGACAAGTCCAACCATCCAAATGCACACTGCAAGACAAACTGCGTCGTGTCCTCTCGCATCTCCTGCCAGGACCGCATGCGACGGGACAGGGTAGGAATCCATGTATAACTTGGCAATTGCACGGCCTCACCGCGTTTCGGCATCGGCTGGGTGTGGCACATCACCACTACGCAGGGAGGAACCTCCCAACACATGGGACAAAACACTTCGTCCGTCCTTCTCGGGCTTCTCTGCGGCAAGGCCTCGCGACGCTCTACAGGCTGGTCCAGCTCGGACTCGCTGTGCGAGATCCAGATGAAGATCCTGGCTTAGGTGACGTCAGGCCGCCCATGCGCAGCTGCGCACAGGCCGGGCAGACTCGTTGGGGTTCTTGCAAACAGGGTAGAGCTGTTCCTTGTCCTGCAGCCGAGCTAGCATAAAGCTTCCATGGACAAGCGGCCAAACAGCGAGCCGGGTCCGGCTGCCACAGTTTGACCTGCGTTCTCACCTCAGCATCTGAGCATCCACGACGCTCTTTCAAGCTCGCAGCCTAGGGTCGCTGCATTTCCAACCAGCGGTGGGAGCGGTATGCACTCCACAGCAATTCCAGGCCTCAATCGACCAGAGTTCAAACAGGCACAAGGCCCAGCTGTCTCTCTGTGTGTGTGTGTCTGTCATGTCAAGCTGGATGATTTCCACTCCGAGTTGGTTGTTTAACCTCCAACCAATGACGATACACCCGGGCTCTGAACAACACTCGGCTGAGCCCCCGGCGCCCCTTGAATCTGCAGCTTTCGAATGCGGCTCACGCCCTGCGCATGCTCTGGTTTCATGGCCTCGGCCGACCCACGTCGGAAAACCGGACGAGCTTGCATCAAATATTAACAAAATCGAAGAACAGCAGGTGAGACTCGTAGCAGTCGTCATTTAGCTGAACAATTAGACAAACTTACCACTGCTCCTGCTGCTCCAACAACTACGACTTGCATGGTAACGCTGATCATGAACCTAATCGCAACAGTACTTGCAATGCCAAAAACAATGACATCATCATTCAACGGAATCAATCATGAACCCAGTTGCTGGCCCCAATAGTATCAAGCGCGGCGTACCGGCGTACCGCACCGACCAGGACACGACCGGGACACGAATGAGACTCGACCGGGACAACTACCGAAAACATCGACCATAACACAAACTAGGACACGACAGGCAAAACGACCCTGACACCGCGGGCCGCGAACAACCGTAAAAACACCCCAAAAGATCCACACACGACCCGAATGGCTCGGCAGCCCGGGACAAGGACGAAAACACCAACACTTCGACACAGACAACCGCGCGGACACGACCCCCCGGACACCGAACTGACAGGAACACGGGACACGAATGAGACTCGACCGGGAAAACGACCCGCGATGGAAGAAACGACAGTAAACACTGATCAGAGAGCTGCCAGTAAAATATCCGCTTCGGGTGAGGCCCGAGTGAGAAACACCGAGTCGAAAAATGCCCAAGACGAGTCCGAGTCAGAAAAACACAGCCCCGAGTCGGAAAACATGACGCTGCAAGTCGTGAAAAAAACACCTTAGACCCCCACTCCTAAACCCCTCAAGCCCTAAACCCTTAACCTTTAAAACCCCTAAATCCCTAAACCCTAAACCTCTAAACCCCCGAACCCCTGAACCCCTAAACCTCTGAGCCCAAATCTGTCAGAACTCTCGGATTCGACCCTCCTCGGCTTCCGATTCAGCTGTCCACTTTTTCGCACTCGGGGTCTTGGTTTTTCCGACTCCCGTTCCGCATTCAGCTTGTCTATTTATGTCTATTTCGGGCATCTGACTCACTCCACTACAATACTGACCTTTAACACCGACTCGAACACCGACGAACTCACCGACCGACACACTGATCGGGACACGACCAGGCAGGACAACTGCGACTCCAAGCTCGACACGACCGGGACACAGATCGCAGGGGCACCGACCCTAACCGATAGAAGACCGCGACACCGCCCGCCCATTTCTCCAACATCGCGGCAGCCGCGTCCCCCGACTTGGCAAGTGATGGACCCCAACCCCGGCATCATTGGGGAACAATGCCAACAGCAGCAAATCACTGAATGTGTAGTGCTTTGGGTTGCACAGTCGGGCATCTAAGTGGGCAGCATCTGCCAGCGCAGGAGCCAGCAGAGGGCGTGTCTCCTCCAATCTCCATTCTGATTTGAGCCTATGTTTGGCAAACATGCGCTTCGGACATCGTCCTGCATGGATTTCACACAGGACAGGCACCCGTAGAGGATCTTGCCGATGTAGAAGCGCTCTTCTGCGGAGATTTCATCCTGACGCTGACTTCGGCACTGCGATGGAAAGCCGATGGAATCGGCAGGAGAAGCCTCTGAGTAGGAAGTCACAGTCTCCATGAGGCGAGTCTGGTCACATTGCTTCAGCCTGATGGCCGAATAGCAGGGGGTGCAGACAAGTCTTCACAGGCATGTCTCCTGAGGTTCAGGCACAAAGCCCAACAATGTCTCGTAAAGGCCCCGCACTCGCCGGTCACCTTGCTGCATGACCTCGGCAGGGTAAGGGGCTGCACCAATGCGGTAGCAGACGGCATTCGCGGCTTTGCCGATCTGAACTGCCAGGTTCAGGGTCCGGGGGAGTCTAGGTTCAAGACCATCTCCATGAGACGCTTGAAGTGGTGAGACCTGAGACAATCCACCGAGCTCTGCACACAAAAAGAGAGATGTCTGCATTTTCTGGTGTTTCAGCTCTGAGAGCGGGTCTGGCACATGTCTTCGGCCCAGGTCCTCGAGCCACCGCAACAAAGGAATCAGCAAAGTAGCACCCAAAATTGCGCCAGCTGTGCCTTCGAATCTCGCTCGTTGATCGAGAAACCAACCGAATCAGCAGCTCCAGGGTTCTTGTCCTCATTGGCAACAAACGCAGAATGCATCAGCCATCAAGCTTGGCGAGGTCCCGGCACTGTGAGGCTCTGCGAACATGAAAGATACATGAAGAAGGTCTCCACGGCATTTGCCTCAAGCAGCTTTCGATGCTAACAACATCGGAAATGGCAAGCCGCACTCCCAGGCATCTAGCCCAAGAGACGACGTCAGATCTCGCTCTCTTGTCCGTCCTGCCTGCCTTCCTTTCTCTGTCTCTCTTCGTCTTCAGAGTAGCCAAGAGAGCAGGAGTGGCCCTCCCACTCACTCTCTGCACGTCCAAGCCGCAAGATACATACATAGCTTGCATGGCAGGCTAGATCTCTAGACTATGACCCCGAAGCCGCTTCGTGCATTGGGCCGTGTATCCCCACTTCTCTCGTTCGTTCCTTTGCTCTTTCCTTGTTTCTCTCTGTGTCTGTCTTCTCCTTGCCCTCCACTCTCTATGGGCAAACGAACGTGCATGCATACATACATACATCCATGCATTCATACATACAGTCATACAGACATACAAACATACACACACACACACATACACACACATACACACACACATACACACATACACACATACACACACGCACATACGTATATACGCGTATAAGCATATACGTATACACGCATGCACGCGCACATACACACATACGTACACCTACACCCATACCCATGTACGGATACATGTTCATAAACACTTACATATACATATACATATTCATATACATATGCACATGTACACACATATACATGTACATGTACACATACGTCTACATATATACATGTACGATGCACATGTAATCATACGTGTATGCCGGCGGAGACGAGACCAACCCAAACATGAACAGACATGTATACATCCACACGCGTACACATACAGGCTACATGCATGTGCATGCATGCATACATACGTACATGCATGCAGAATCAAATACGAACATAGCCACATAGTTTCTGTCTTGTGTTTAGCTTCTTACTTGCCTACTTGCCTACATACCTACTGACCCACCTACCTACGTCTAATTGACTTGCTTAACTGCTTGCCTGCTTTTTGACTGATTCGTTTACCTCCATCGACTTGCTAAGGTAAGACTGTTTGTTTTCTGGCTCCGTGCTTTTGTGTTTTGTGTGCATCTTTGTTCTTCGATTGATTCTTTCGTGCATATAGTGTTTCGTGCTCTCCTACATGCTGTCGCGCAGTCCCGTCTGAACGGCCTACGAAGCCTACAACCACGCACATAGAGAATAGAAGAGTGCGTCGTGTGTTTGCTCCGCCCACGCTTCAGTCGCTCACTTGACTTTCCGCCTGCATAGTCACGAGTAGTTATGTCAAGACTTTTGCGGGTGATTGCTTCCCTTTCACGGATACATGCTCTACGAAGACAAGGACCTTTGCATTAATGCTCATATGTTGATACCCTTATCTACTGATATAACATGATATAACTGTATAAGTCCGCAGACAAGGACCTTTGTATCAATGCTCATATGTCGATACCCTTGATCTTTTGAAATAACGACATGACATGGCAGGGTATGATGTGGTATCAGGTACAAGTAGGTAGGTAGGTAGGGATCGACCAACGGTGGCTAGCGCGGTCGGTCTCCTCACTCTTCCCCATCCGTATCACATCATATGACATCATATGACACGATATGAGGTTATGTTATCTGATATGACCTGATGCGAGACACATATTGCATGATACGACACGCTGTGCTACAAAAAATGCATCCATCACACACATGTATATCGATCTATACAAGCTAGACAGATGGACGGAGCGAAAGTCTTCGGCAGATGTGCATGCTTCCAAGGCCTTGGGATCAGCCATGAGTTCCACGTTGCGGCGGATTTCGACCGAGGTCCTCGGAGATCATCCAGAGTCTACGGGGCTGGGCAAATACGCTCAGCCAAGTTATCGACATCAGCCGCTGCGTGACATGAGGAGCTCGGTCTTCTAGTCGCGCCTTGACTCTCCCATCATTCTGGACTTCAAGGCGGGTTTGAGACTCGAATCTGAATCGGAGCATTGCACCTTGTCTACGATTTGGTCGACCTCGACAAGCACAGTTTTCATGAGGCGCCCGGCCGGTATGGTCTGAAGAACACACACTCTCGAGAGACGAGTCGCTGGATCGATCGGTGGGGCGATGAGATTCCTAATCAGCTCCAGTCGGATGCTGTCCTTCGGCCGATGAGGCATCGGAGGCATCTTCAAGAATCGTTTGAGTGTGTCGCCGGCAGGGGCACCAACCGTCCAGACCCGCTTGAGAAGTTCGCTTCTGAGGATATACTATCCAAAACCAAAAACCTACACTGACCCACATCCTGACTCACATGACCGACGACTTACGCAAACACATCCCTCTTGCAGATTCAATGGCAACACTGCTGCACGCGAGAACGCAGCAGCACTCCTCCATATTCGTCTTGAACCCCTGCTACAGAGACATCACCAGCGAGATCAATTTCACGGCTCCTCGACACCTTTCTCGCCGAGAGGGGGCTCCCAGTTCAGAATGTTCGTGACCTGATGTGGAACGCACAGAGCCATGAAGCGGGCGAAAATGGGATGGCTGAGCATCAGGGCCAGCTCTGCCGCAGCGGCAAACGTCGACGCCTTCGGGTGTGGGCTGTGCAGGCAGCAAATTAGACTTTTCCTCAGTCTTGCACAGGCCTCCTGGCAAGTCTGCAACAGCCGGTAGACTGCCTGGCCGTGGACATTCCCTATGCGTGACTCATCATCCACTTTCAGGCGCATGCTGTCAGGAAGCACAAGAACTGCCACAAGACGACAAACAGTCGGACCGAAACCAAACCATTTTGAAGTGGACTCGTGCAGCACATCCAAGCTCCCATGTACTCCCCGCGCACGACAGGTTACATGACTCAAGCTCAGAGACTACTGGCAGTTCATTGAGATGTAGAAGAAACCGAAGCGAAGCGAACCGGATGCAACAACTTGAGAGCTGGTCACGAAAGCTAGAAGCACGAGGTCCGGTGCTGAGCTCTGCAAAGCGATGTGCACGACAGTAGCGGAGGGAAAGTTTGGGCCGGTGAAGGGTGCAGGCGTTGCTCGTTCATTTAACTCTTGAGAAAGTAATGTGCGAACGACAACTAGAGGTAACTCTGGAGAGAAGACCGCACTTCAGTCGCCGAACGTCAGACACAAACAAAACCAAGGGACCTTGAGGAGGGGGGGGGAGGGGGGGACCTCATGATAGGGGGGCCCCCCCCCCCTCCACCTTATCCCAGGCACAACCACCTTAAAGGGGGAGGGAAGCGCACCTTATCAGTGGAAAACGCACAATGACAAGGTGAAGGGGGGGGGGGCCCCCCCCCCCCCCCCCTACCCCCCACCTTAACTCTTGGACGTGCAAACCCTGTTTTTTCCCTAGTGCCTTAATACAAGTGAATTGCTAAAGGGCAACTCCCGCGAGCTCCACAGAGCTAGCTTTCGTGACATGCCAAGAGAAACTGTTTTGTGCGATCGTCCACTTCACCGAATCCGCGTTCAGCCGAGCAGTAGTCTGACGTCAAGCCGACGAACAAGAAGAAGCGAGTTACGATGAAGCGAAGAGGTGATGCACATAAAGCCGATCATCCAACTCCTTAGCCTCAACAACTGAGCTTCAGCGACGACGCCTAGGAGCAACCGTTCCAATCGGCAACCAACTGCCAGGTCATCTGCCATGAATAGAAGGAAACTGCAGGCACGCACGGCACGAGCACGCCGAACGACGAAAAAACAGCAATAATTGCCAACCATAAACAAAAAAGAAGCACCCATCCAACAAGTACTAAGAAAATAAACGGACCCAGCCAAACGAGAAGATTCACAACAAGTTAAATCACTTTCTCCGGAGACAGGGCCCGAAAGCGGTGCCATCAAGTCCGCTGCTGCGTGTCGAAGACAAACAGCTCGAGAACATGACCGAAAGCTGGAAGGATTTGCGATCTGTTCCTGCCTATTACCAACAACAGTACCCTGAATGCCACTCCTCCACGCGGCGTTCTCTCCCAGGTGGTGCCTCTGCGACGCTCACAGACGAGGTCGAGACATCGAGAGTCCAGAACTGCTTCGGGGCCCGGGCGGCCATGAGCATGTGCACCACACGACGCCTGTGGAGAAGAGGAAACCCAAACCCAGGCCGTCAAGGTGCAGAAGGCAGGGCTCCGTGCAGGCCAGCGGTGACTGCGGGGTCAGCCAGGTTGCGGAGAGCGAAGACGGCGCTCCGGCGCTGGGCCTCCGGAGCTCAAAGAGCTGCCGCGAGCTGCAGCTGAGCTGCGTTCGGCTGGCCTCAGAGCCGCCCGACAGCAACTCGCAGAGCACCTCCACACCTTGCCGGGCAGCCACCACCTGAGCGACGGAAAGACTGACTTGATCTGCTGAATGCTAGCGGCGCTAGCGGCATCGTCATGTCGAGCACGCCTGTCGGGTGTCGAAGCTGGCACGCACAGCGACCGGCATGCTCAATGGATTTGGCAGTAGGTCCACACCGCTTCGCCCAAGTTCCTCAGCTTCCAGATCATTTGAAGAGTTGGGAGTTGGGACGGAGTCGTTCGGGTGTGCCAGGTGTCCGGCAGATTCATCGAACTCTTCGTGAGTACTCTTCCAGGCGATGAGCTCCTGCACTGCACGCGCCGGGAGCGGAGCGCGAGGTCTGCGGTGTCTCGGCCGGGGGTGTCTCTCGGCCGGGCCCCGTTTGTCTCCTCGCGGCGCTTGTTGAAGAGCGCCTCGTTGGGCTCCAGGGACTTGAAGCCGAAGATGTTAACGCCTCAGAACTTGACGCGGAGAGCCCGGGCCTTACGCAGAGCAAGCAGAGCAACCCACACCCTGAGCCAGGGTACAGTAGATCCACGCGTGGGGAATCTCCCTGGAAGGCTCTGCATCGCTCTGCGCCATTCCCAAAGAGAGACACGCAAGCCGCAAGCAGGCCGGCCCGGCGCCCGGTCAAACTCCCAGCCCGGGCACCCGATGCAAAGGTCAGCCGTCCCATAGGAGCACATCAGCCTGAGTTTTTGCGGGTTTCGGACTCCCTGCGCACTCTGGACTCTGCTGGACTCTGGGGGCTGGTCTGGATCTCGTTCGGGATCTCCTCTGCCCACGTCAGCTCACCTGGACCCATGGCAATCGGCCAACGTGCGACAGAGGCTGACACGACGAGGCCGCTACCGTTGACAGCGAGGCTCAGGACGAAGTGGTCCAAGCAGATGCAGAGGTGAGTCCACTTGAAGCCTGCGGCTCGATGGCTCCGAGCCCAGCAACCCATCAAAGCGCAAGACGTAAGGCTCAAGCATTCCATGGGTTTCGTCTTTATCACGAACTGGTAGGGTGCCGCATTGTGGGTGAACCTGCGTCGTGCCGGGAGTAGCAAGACTACTGAGCATTTGCGGAATTTGCGCCTCAAGACGAGAGGGTGAAGACCTGAATCGCACAAGCACTCAGGGACGACGCAACGAGGCTGAACTCCGCAGCCTGCTCGGTTTCCCAATGTCCTTGCTGACAACTCTGGCCGAAGGCTGGGAAGCTCTGTTTACAGAAGGTCACTTCACACAATCAGTAGATCTGTGCTCTTTAGCGGCACTCAAAGCTAACCTGAGCTGCAGGCTCTGAAGATGAGATTCCAACGGCCATCTGGATATCACTCGCCTTGATTTTTGCATTCTAAGTCCGAACCACCCCCGAGCCCGGGCGCGGTGCCGTGAAACCCTTGTAGACCATCCATGCCACCTGCGAGAACAGAGACAGGGCATTCTCAAAAGGGGCAGAATCAGCCACCGTGCCTTTCCCGGACTGTTGAATTCTTCGTTCAGGTAGGTGTGGAAGCTGAGACCTGTGCTTCGGCTCGCCGTGCGCCAAAGTCTCTTCTCGTGCTGTGAGGCTCAGACTCCAGGAAGTACTGCCGCGGGCAAACTCGCACTCTGTAAAGAGGACTTCGGAGTCGGGCCTGCCAAAAGAAAAAACTTGCAACAGAAGCAGAAGAACTTCGAACGGATTTTGATGCTCCGGCAGGTTTGCAAAGGTTCGCGAACGAGAGTCGCTTGAATCGATGGGTATAAAGGCCCGAATTGCTGGATTGAAGTTTGGAGTGCTTTGAAGAGAGACATAGCTTCAAGACGGGCTCATGCGGGGAGTGCTAGCAGCAGAGAGAGAGAGCTTTGTTCCTTGACCGCTTCACGTGCACTGCTGCTGCTACAGCCTGAAAAGTCTCTTTGACAGGTATGATCCGCCAAGCCTCAGGAGCAGAAGTGTGTTGGGCAACGTCCACGTAGCCTCAGCTGGTCATGCAGCAAGAAAAGACTGGCAGTGGTTGGCAGCAACCATTGCAGACAGCGTGCGGGAGTGCAAGAGAAGTTCGTCAAGGTCTTGATGATGTACCCGCGATCGTGGCAGGTTACCTTAACAGGTTGACAGTTGTCCGCTGAAGCATGCATGGCAGTACGACTTCGGCCTCATGCGGATCCACCACGGATCCTGGTGCGTAACCAACTCCGATGCTGTTTGCGGACTCCTGCGAGGCTTGTCTCGTTGTTTTTGTCGGAGCTGCCCTGTTGCAGAGTCCTCCGCTGCTAGATCAACAACCTTCTCGACAGCCTTTCATGCTGGCAAGATCTGGCAAGCAGTATGCAGACGGAAGGAGAACCAGCAGTAGCCCACCTGCTGATAATGCACGAAATTGCTGCGGCCCTGTTCGGAAAGGGACAGCCTCGTGCATGCAACGCGGCAGGGGTGAATTCTACACGTCGGTGAATCTCGCAGTTCCGAAAGCCAGGCCCGTAGTAGAACCTGGAAGCTGCCACGTGCTCGTCCGTCCTGGCATCATGGCGCCCGCCGGCGCCCGCTGATCTTTTTGTGAGAAGAGTCAAGTGAAGGGGGAAGCATGCTGGCTGGGCATTGACATTCGCTTTGCGGGATCTCGGAGATCAGCGACGGATGGCCGGCTCAAGAGCACCTCTCGTCCCAATCTGACTCTCGCGTATATACGATCCAGCTGAGTTGTGCGGGGCCGCGGCATTGTACATGAGCGAGAAGATCTCTGCCTCCGAAGTGATGGCTGCGTGCGGCTCATCCTGAAGAGCGGCTCAAGGGACCGGGGACGGCAACACGTGACCATGCAGAACAACCGTCGCACTCTGCCCGACGTTGAACCAAAACTGAGCACTACGACGAATGCAGCCGTTCTTTTTCGTCGTGTGGTAGCAGCGCTGTATCACGCCGTTCGGCGAAGAAACAGGCTGGAACGACGAGCCGGTGCCGGGGCGCATTCTGCACCCGGCCCGCTGTCGTTCGCCTTCCGCCGAAAACGGATCAAAAGGGCGGTGAGGGTGGGTAAACTGAAAAGCTTCGTCGAGCCAGAGTGCTGTCGACGTTCGTCGTTTACGGTTGTTACTGCACACACACGTGTGTTTCACAACAACCGTCGCACTCTGCCCGACGTTGAACCAAAACTGAGCACTACGACGAATGCAGCCGTTCTCTTTCGTCGTGTGGTAGCAGCGCTGTATCACGCCGTTCGGCGAAGAAACAGGCTGGAACGACGAGCCGGTGCCGGGGCGCATTCTGCACCCGCCGTGCGCACCGACTCTCCACCCCGCGCCGGCTCAGACGTGGAAGCCGTTGGCCAGCTCCAGGAGGTGGTCCGCCGCCTCCGTCGTGGCATACTCGAGGTCCTGCGCCGACCGGGCGAAGATGGAGAGGATCTCGTCGGTTGGCGTGGAGACCCTGTGCCATCCCTCGGCCGTCGCCCTGCTGAAGTCGTCTCTGGAGACGGCGTCGGCGACGTTGGCCTTGGAGGGGACTCTCTCGAACTCGACGAACCACCCTTGGTGCGCCGCAAGCGTCCAGAAGGCCGAGATCATGCCGTTCACCGCGGCGTCTTTCCCGTATCCCTTTGTAAGGGCTGCCTGTCCGGCGGTGTTGTCGATAAATGCGACGATGGCCGGCGGCAGTCGGGCGCCGAAGGCGACAAAGGCGACGAGCTGGGCCAGCACCTCGAGCATGTAAATGTAGGCCTTCCTCGTCGAGAAGAGCTTGACAAACCATTCCGGCGCTACGCCGTGGTCGAAGAAGACCTGGTCGCCGATTCGTAGCACATATCCCCAGCCATTCGCCGCCTTCTTCGTCGGACGTACCCCCTGGGGTACGTGGCCAGCCTTGTGCCTGGTCTCCCCGTCGGTGAAGAAGGCGTCGGCGTACAGGATCGCGACCTCCATCTCCTTGGCGTCGAACGGAATGAATCTAGGGCGGATCGTCGGCAAGATCCTGGCCAAGGAGCGTAGGGCCGCCGTGACCGTCGGACAGGGAGTCCGCCGTCCATGCCGCTGTGTCGGCAGCTCGGGCGTAGACTGCCTTCGTCGCTGCCCGTGCGACGGATCCGAATGCCGCTTGTGTCAAGAATGACACGCGCCCGGCGAGCTTGGCAGCCTCGGCGGGTGACAGGGTATCCTGGTCGAGTGCCCGGCGGATCTGTTCCATGATCTTCTCTACCCTGATCGCCGTCGGTTTGAGGGTGACTCCCCGTGCGTCGACCTGGAACTCCACGCCCTGCACTATGTGGCTCTTCGCCGGGTGCTGTGCCTTCGACGCCTTGGTGAGGAAGCCCAGCGCCGTGAAGAGGTCCTGGAACGAGACCATCGCCGACTCGCCGAGGAGGGCGTCGTCGAGGCCGTTAAAGTCGTCCACGTAGTGACCCGTCGCCAGGAGCAGTAAGCCCCTGAGCAGCTGCTGAAGTGCGTCGGCTCCCCTGTTAAAATTCCAGACTGACGCCGTAGCGCCGAAATTCATGGCCAGGTGGTACCAAAAGGTCACGCCGTGCCTCGTCGAGATAAAGATGCCGCACTCCGCCGGTCGTCGAACCGGCCACTGGCGGTAAGCGTTGAGCAGGTCGTTGCCGAACACCACGACGTCGGGGGTGTCCTGGACCATGCGTCGCGCCAGGTCGACGAAGCTGCCGATGAAGTGGTGCGTCGGCACGTCGTCCACCGACACTGTGGCGTTATGCCCGCTACGCCGCCAGTCCTCGGCACGTCGTACCTTGAGGTCGCCTTTCTCGTCGGTCTGGCACACTGGGAAGGATCCTGCCAAGAAGTGCTCGCCGGGCGGCGATTCGACCAGGGTGTCCACCTCGATCTGGTCGGGTACCGCCGTGGCCTTGGTGTGGAGCCAAGTCGGCGCTGTCGTCGGGCCGATGACTCTGCCCAGCTTCTTCTCGGCGATGAGCTCCTGGAGCAGCTGATCGGCGAATTCACCGCCGTCGTGCTGGGAGACCTTGCGGCGGACGTACTCGGCGTTGGTCCGGCGGAAGGTGTCCATGTCCGTCGGGTGTCGGTAGCGTCCGTCGTCTCTTTTCCTCCATCCTGGTCCTGGCCGGATGTCGCCGATCATCTGGAAGCCCTCCGTCATGTCGTGTTCGAGGGCGTCGATGTCGGGGTAGTCGACGAGGCGAAGCAGCTGTATGAAAACAAGCACTTGCGTCGGGGCCGGCTTATCCGGCGTCGAGTACGTGGCTCTGACCCATGACGATCTGGCGGCGAGCCACTCCCTGGTCTCGTCGGCTGTGTCCTCGATCATGGTGCGGACCTCGTCGACAACTTCCCGTCGGATCCTGACCAGGTCGTGGCGCCAAGTTCGACGTATGACCAGGAGTCGTTCCCACGCCGGCTCCAGTGGTGCGTCGTCCGCCAGTGGGTGTGACATCGACCATGATGCGGTCCAGTGCGCCTGCTCGTCGAGGTCCTGAATGTCTGCCACGCCGGGCCGCGGCGGGGCTGGGGCCATGGTCGGACCGCCGGGCCCCCACAACGACGCCACCCACTGTAACGTCGATCGGCGAGGGGATCTCGGCACTGAGGTCGCCGTCGTCGGCGCCGTTGCCGTGAAGACCAACAGCGCCAATAGAAGACGTCGTGCGACTCCCCAGTGCCAGCCGTTGCCGATGAGGCGATGTCGAGTGCGATCGTCGAGTGCTCCGGCGGTGGAACGCGCCGTGTAATATCGGCCGGCATGTGGTGAAGCTGTTCTTTCACCTTCGGCGGCAGTAGGTGTAGTCGGCCTTGGTCGTCGGTCATCATGGCATCTCTGGCGTAGTGCCACGGCGCAAATTGCCGTCCGCTGGTGAGCCACCTCTGTTGGGTGTCCGACGTGATCTTCCCTCTCGTCGACCTTGGTGCCGCTCTGCCTCCCTCGTCGGCTGCTGGTGTCGTCGCACATGGTAGCCTGACCCTGCCACTGGCGACGGAATCCGAGAACTTGAGGCCGTCGAGGTCGAAGTCGTCGGATGCTGCCCTCGGAGAGTCCAGCCGCAGTCGGTTCCAGCGACGGTGTAGAGCCCATGTCCAGTGCTCTCCCGTCGAGGGGTCGCGAGGCAGATCCTCCCAGTCGATCGTCGACCACCAGAGGCGGGACCTCCCAATCCACCCGAAGTCGGCAGCGTCGGTGAGGATGGGTTCGCACTCCAGTGCCTTGGTGGCCGCCGCTGCGTCTGCCTGCGTCATCTCGACGTTTTCGACCAGTTTTCCAAGCCGTCGAGGTGCAATCAGCGGCGTCAGCTCGGCGACGTACTCGGCCGTGAAGTTGAAGAGGTATCCTCTATCACCGCCGTGGCCCGCTCTGTCGCCGATCCTGGAGAAATCTTGGCACGGCGGTGCGGCGAGGAATAGGATGATGCACTGGGCGTCGGGGTCGATCGCGTCGATGTCCTTGGCCATGGCGTGTCCTCCGTGATGTCGCCGCGGTGCCGGACGTCGGGGATGTGGTAGTCAATCACCTGGATCGCCGCCCGGTCCACCTCCCATGAGAAGACCGCCCTGGGCTGGCCCACCAGGTCCCACACCAGCCACAACGCCGACAACACGATCACCTCGTCGCCTTTCGGTCGCCGGCTGGAGAGCTTCACCTTCTTGGTCGGTTGGTCGGGTACCCCGTCGGCAGCGGGGGCGCTCGACGGGGCCCCGTGCTGTCCCTAGCGGCGGTTGCCGCGGCCCTGGCCGTTGCCGCGCCACGGGCGTTGGCCTTCGAACTGGCTGGACTGTCCGCCGTTGCCGCCGTGCCACCACTGTTGGTTCTTTCCGTCGGTCTTCTGCTGCCACCAGCCGGCGTTGGTGTCCTGCTCGTTCTTCTTGCCGCCGCCCTGGGATTGATCTTTGCCGCCGCGTCCGCGCCCTCTGCCACGGCCCCCTTGACGTCGTCTTTTGCGGCCACCGCGACCGCCGCCGCCGGTCCATGCCTGCTGGTCGTCGGCGTCCTCCTCCTGGCCGTTGGGGGCGTCGGTGCGGTCGGCGATCTCCTTCTCGGATCTCTTGGTCGGGTGCGGCGTGGACAAAAGGATCTCCTGCCACGTGGCCACGTCGTCCATGATCTCCTTGGTGGCCTCGCCGAAGGACTTGTTGTTCCTGAGTGCCATCGCCAAGTTCCACGACGTCCGCTGCCAGTATGCCTGGAGTGCTGCGACGTGGTTGGACTTATCCCTGGCACGGGCGACGAACCAGTCGACATATGTCATGACGTCGGCCTCCTCGCCGATGCCCAGCAGGATCCATGCCCACCGGGCGGCGTTGGCTCCGTCGATAGTCGAGAAGAGGCCCTTGGGCACCCACTCCGTCGGCTCCTCTTGGAGCAGGAGGCCATGTTCCAGCCGCAGCGCCTTGGAGCTGGCGGCGGACGTCGACCTGGACAGCGCCAATGGGTTCAAGGTTCGAGCCGCCGTCCAGGTGCGTCGTGACACGATCTCGCCGAGGGTGACCGGCGTATACATCTTGGAGGTGGTGTGCTCGAACCACATCCTGGCCAGCACCTCCTCGGCGCCAAGAAGCTCATGTGCTGGGAAGGTCCGCCGTTTCCCGTCGAGGCGCCGTTCCTCATAGATGTTGACCTGCTGGTTCCACGCCGAGAAAGTCTTGGGAGGCCTGTCAGGAATGGCCTGTGTGGCCGTCGTTGCCGGCGCCGCCGCCGGCGCGGGCGTGGCGGTCGGGGCTGGGACCGGCGACGACGCTGCTGCAGTCCATTGGCGTGTGGCCTCGACGAAGAGATGGGTCATGACTGCTGTGGCCACGTCGTCCTGCCCGTCCTCCACCTTGTGCTCGGTGCCGTCGATGCGGGTGCCGGTGATGTACGGGTGGATGACGTGCGTCGTGAACCTCTCGACGTCTTTGGCAATCAGGGCCAATGTGGGCGTCGTGGTGATCTTCCGGGCTTTGATGTAGTTCTTGATGCTGTCGTTGGCGCCGGCCGCGGCGAGGAGGTCGTCCAGCTGCACCATCGAGGCCGCGACCGTCGGGAGTGCCATGGCTAACAAGACCTACGGCGTCCTATGTCGGTTTCCGTGCTCGAGAGAAAATGGGGGCTACGGGTGAGACAGGCGTCGGTAAGTTCCGGGCGCGAGCCCTCGACGGCGATCTGATCTGAGCTGTGCGTGGTTTTCCTGGGTCGTCGTCCAGTTGGTGCCATGGCCGTCGGGGCCGCTCACGGCTATTGCCGGCGACCCCTCGGCGGAAAACTGGTGACGGCGATCCGTCGATCAAGCCCGGCGTGGCTCAGTCGGAGTCCGACGTCGCTCCGCTAGTGGAGGACGAGGAGCTCGACGATGAGTCGATCGCCTCAGGTGCCTCAACGTCGACGGTTTCCGTCGGGAAGCACTTGCGGCATAAGGCCGGATCCGGCGGCAGCTCGGATAGGCGAAAGAACTGTCGCACGCCGTAAGGCCAGCCACACTTGGCCTGCCAATCCGACCTCTCTGTCGTCGCTTCGTCGACCCCCGACTTGTGCACCATTTTGGTGCGGCAGTTCATGACATACCGGGGCGCCGAGTCGCCGATCGCGTCGGCCACTGGCATCCTGACGGGTTCTGGCACGAACTCCACGCCGGGCACCTCTGCCGCGGCGTGCCGCGAAGTCGACGTTGGGCACCAGCGGGTGCGAGGCCGGCACCGCCGTATCGGCGTGCCCTGCCGCACTCCCCGTCGGCATCGAGTCCATGATGGCCGACGGCGTCGGTGTCGCCAGGAGCTGGGCCGGCGTCGTTGTCGACGCACCCGCCGCTGCCAATGCCTGGGCTGGAACGCCGGCGGCAACGGCGAGGGGTGCCTGTTGAACATACCGTTCGACGGCGGTGGAGGCCCATCGGCCGAGCAGCTGGATCACGGCGACCGGCACCCCCCTCATCGCCAGAAAGGTTGCACCTGCCACTCTGGCGGCGTGGCCGCCGAAGATCAATCGGCGCTTGCCCTGGTCGTCGAGGTACACCGTCTCGAAGCCGGCGGCGTCCAGCACCAGCCGAAACATCTCGGCTGACTCCGCCTTGGATCTCTGCACCGTCGGTCTGGTCGGAAACAAGAAGTCGGCCGGCGTCGCGGCCGCTGACGCCTGGATCCGCCGAAGGTGGCGGTGTGCGGCGCATCTTGGGCAAAGTGGGTGGGCCGTCGAGGTGCAGACGCATCGGTTTGTGCGTCGTGTGAGGTCGGCCTGCCCCCCCTGCGCCGTCTTGTGCAGGGGTATGTCGAGCGACACCGCCGACAGGGTCACCCCGAGGTCTCTGACCCGGGCCGCCGCGAGCTCCACCTCCCTCAGCATAAACCAAGTAGCGACGATAACGACATCGACGGCGTGAGCGACCAAGCCGGCGTTGAAGGGCCCGAATGGTGCCGTGTCGTCGACCAACTTGGTGAGCTCGTCGAGGTCGAAGGCCTGTTTGAGCCTGGACCCTGGCAGGCCCCTCGCCGCTGCCTTGGTCAGCGTCTTGACCACCCGTCGGAGTCCAGGGGTGATCGGCGTGTGGAGGGTGTTCTCCTGATGCCATACCACCGCGTCGAGGTACAGCCCGGTCGACCTGTAGCCCACGATCCGCATGGCCCCGGCGATGGTGTGAAGCTTGTTGGCGTCGAGCGGGAAGAGGGGAAACTGGCCTCTGTCGGCCAGGGCGCCCACCGTCCTCACCCGCGACTCCATGGCCCGGCGGGTCGACGATGCCAGCAGATTGGCGTCGATGGCGGCGAGGGTGTCTTGGCGTCGCCCGGGATCCATGGCCTCCAGTGACGCCCGGGGTAGGGTCCTTCTGTTCGGTACGTCGTGCCTGGGTGGCCTTGCCGCCGTTGGCTCTGGCTGCTGCGGCGGCACCGGCGCGAGGATCTGTAGCAAGAGGCCCTCGGGCACGCCGTTCTCCAAAAGGACGGCGAAGGAGTCCCTCACGGCCGGCGTGTTGATCGCGCCGAACCTGGCCAAGGTGGCAATGTAGGCCGAACCGCCTGCCGAGGCCACGTCGCGAAAGAAGTCGGCGACTGTCGCGGAGGGTCCCGACGATGCGCCGTGTTGGTTCATGACCGGCGCCCTGAGTCGAGGGGGGGGGGTTAGTGCTAGTCGGCGTCTCGAGCCAGAGCAGAAAAGGCTGCGGCGGAAGCAGAAAAGGCAGCAGCGACGACCGAAACGAACGAAGAGAGAGAGAGAGGCCGACAGCGACGGCAGGCGCGACGGGCGAGGCTTCAGGTGCACGGCGCTCTTTTTGTCGGGTGCGTCGGGCTCCGCCAAAAGGGCACCGTGCGGCGTAACCGCCGAGATTAAGCAACTCTGGCAACGACGAAGTCGTCGAAAAAGTAAGTAGTACAGGGCGGCGGTGGGCTCTGATCCTGCCCCCGCCGCCGTCGACTGCCTCAGCGGTGCCGACCCGATGGCCGAAGCCGGGTGACAGGGGCACCCGCTGGCGTCGTAGAAAATCAATCCTGTGCGCCGACCATGCCGTGGCATGCGGCGCACGTGACCGATATGGTCACGGCCGTTGCCCTCCAGGACGGGACGTAGACAGCGGCCTAGGCCTGGCTGGTCTACGTCGTAAAGGTCGTCGAAGTGGGGGCAATGCGGCGACGTGCAAGGGTGCGAGCACCAACCAAGCACACGTCGGCCGGCCTCCTGGCTTTGCCAAGGGATCCGGGCGCCGCGTGTGTTGGCGGGTAGCGTCGAGCAGAACCAGTATGCACAGTAAGTGGGCGCCGAGATCGGCGGGGGTTTCGGCTTGTGCCCGTCGATGCCCTGCCTGTCCATGTTCTCCTCGGCGATCACGTCGTTCAACGTCGCCTTGAGCAAGTGCTTGACTGACTTCGGCGGGTCATTGACGGCGCGGGCGCCTCGGCGGTGCATAGCCCGCTTGTGCTGCCGATAGTCGTCGGTCATGTTGACCTCTATCTGGCGGATCCTCTCGTCGGTCAGATGCTCGCGAAACCCCGACGCCGTCTTGGACCTGGATCTTGCCCCCGTCGGTGTCGTCGTCCTGGGGGTGGTCGTAGGCCCGGCGTCAGTCGAGGAACCGGCGGGCTGGTCTGCTGGCCTTGCGCCCGGCGGGAACATCCAATCCGGGCGATCTGCCGCCACCGCCGGGGGGGTCGGCGCTCTCGTGGTGGCTGCTCTCGGGCTCGGCGGTGTGGACTGCCATGGCGTAGAAGCCGCCGAGAGCGGCGGGAAGCTGGACCTGGACGGGGGTGCGTCGATCACTGGAGGAGGCGGCGGTGGGTCCATGGTCGGCCGCTCGCCTCGGTGCGTCGATCTCCCTCTGGCTGCCGATGCCTGGCTCCCGGCCGTCGAGTGGGCGTCGTCCTCCTGTCGAGGGCCCACCTGCCGAAGCAGTGACGCGGCGATGTTGATGACTTCTTCGGCGCCCCCCCCACCGATGGTCACGGCGGCAAGGGACGACGACCAGGTGTCGGGCACGGTCTTCCTCGACGCTCCCACGAGGTCTACTACCAGGACTGCGGCGGCCTTCTTGGACCCGACGGAGGCGAGGGAGCCCGAGACCACGGCGTCGCCGACCATCACGGGGTTCCCGGGTCTCGCCGCAATGGAAGCCCAGTCGGCGTTGCGCTCTGGCACGGCCACGCCGGCATACTACATCGACGCGGCTGGTCATCGGGTGCGGGCCCCGCCAGAGGGGGCACGACGACCTGCCGACGCCACTGGCATCCAGACGCCGGCTTCGGGCTGCGGCGGCTGCCAATGCACCTGGTGTGCCCACGCCGTGGGCGGCGCCCGTCGATGTCCTGGGACCCGTCGATCTAGGCGTCATAGATCCATGCCCCGGCGTGGCAGAGGTAGTCGGCGGCGGCCTTGGAGCTGCTTTCACCATCACCGGCGTCCCCTCCGTCGTGGCCCGTTGCGGGAACAACCTCCCCATGTAGGTCCGGCGTTCCTCGTCGGTAGGCGGGGAAGTCGGTGGAACCACGGCCGTCACGGCGAGGAGCTCGGCGAGGGAGGTCCGGTCCTCCATGTTCAGGCTCGCCGCCAGCTCAGCCCAGGCGCCGAAGCCACCGTCGCGTCCCTTCCGGAGGACGTTGCGAAGTTCTCGCACTGCGACGTGCACTCCGGCGTCTGGTGTGACCGTCGGCTGAGGTTGTTGCGGCGGTGCCTTCCTCAGCATTGGCTGCGCCGACGACGAAGCTGCCCCGGGAGTCGTCGACATGGCGTCGAGAGTAGTGATCAGAAATCTAAACTGAAAAGCTTCGTCGAGCCAGAGTGCTGTCGACGTTCGTCGTTTACGGTTGTTACTGCACACACACGTGTGTTTCACCACAACTGCACTTTCACTTGCTCCAAGCACCTCCCCGAGGTGTGCCAGGTAAGAAAGCAGCACCAGCACAGCGCTGTCGATCTCCTCCTGCAGCGCCTCTGAGACAGCGAGAAAAACACCGCAAGAGCCAGGAGTTCCACTGCCAACCAACGAAAGCCCCGGTTGTTCACACGGTGCCACTGCTTGCGAAGTCCCCTATCACCAACCGAATGTGTTGGTTCCCAACGCCTGATTCGAGCACTTCTAGCAGGGCACCTTGTCAGCACCCACTAGGCCACCATCCACGGTCCTCATGAATAAACTGATCCGAGAACTGCGATCCATGGGGATATTTCCGAGGCAGCTGCTTGGAGTGCAGCTTGACGATTTGGTGTACGAGGAGCTGCTGATCCATCACCTCAGGCTATGACTGGATGACTCGATGACTCGACCAGAGCTCTGGGCCATCATTCTCAGATCGAGGCCAGCTGACGCTTTTCCTTCACCTCTTCCAGAGTCGTGGCTTCAAAGCACGGGAGGACCTGACGCCACTGCAACCAGAACGAAGAAAACGGCGACACGCCCCACGAGCACCAAGCATACAAGCGATAGCCGAGGTTCTCATCAGTGATTGCCTGCGCTCGCTGCGGCCACGTACAGGGAAGCTTGTCTGCTGGCCTAATCTGCCTCCGTGGTCTTCTGCAGGGCTTCCCTTAGCAATGGCAGGTGAGGAGGGTGCTACCAGCGAAAGCCCGCTTATCATGCTCTGCACTCCCGAATACTCCTTGAAAGCCCTGAGATGGGGCTCTGGCATGCTGCCACCCGTTCCCAGCTGCACTGCCTTGGCTCCAAAGGTCGATCGTCAAGGCTTCGAGCCTTCGAAGCTCTGCGCAACCGGGCTGCTTCCTTGTCAGCTGACACCTTGTCCAAATCGTAGATAAACCTCGCCGCATCCAAGAGCCAGAGCAATGCCAGAGACAAAGTTGTGGAAGTTACAGCCATTCAGGTAGAAGCTGCCACTCGAAGCTGTCACCGGAAAGCTCAATGTAGGTGGGTGTGGAGGAGCCAACCTGATGCAGCACGCACCATCGGCTCATCTGTCCCACCTGTGCAGCAAGACGGGATGCCTTCATCTGCATGGTCTTGTTGAACAACGCTGCAAGCTCACCTGCGAGACTTTCGCAGGACCCGAGGTGTGGTGAGGAAGGAAGGAAGGCTATCCGATTCCTTTGCCTTCCACGAAGATCTTGACAGCACCGCGCCCAATCGGAATGGGATCCAGTTCGACCTTGGGCTTTCGGTGCTTCCACCGACGGCAGTTGAAGATGCCCAGCTGCCGAGCATGCATCACTGAATGACAACAGCTGGGACATCTTTTCTAGTTTCAGTCTCCAAGAGCAGAAACCTCCCTGAGCCCTCAACACTAAGAGTGGTGGCCATTGGAATATGGCAGCGGAACACTCTCGCTGTCGGGTGGCGCCTTGCAGTTCGCACTTTGAACACTATACGGAAGGTTTCTATCTCATCATCTAAGCATCCAAACTCTTTGCACGCATGATCACGAAACACCTCTATATACTTATACATACACGTGCATATGAATATACATATATATATATATGAAAATACATATGTATGTTGCATGTGTGCCTATGTGTATGTTTACGTACCTGTATACAGTCTGTATATGCTGGTATGCACAAGCGAGTCTGTAGTACATGCGCCTGCATAGACTCTACATGATCCTGGTCCCGGCTGCACATTCCCCCCCCCCCCCCCCCCAGGGCTGCCTGCGACAACAGTCACAGGAACCGAGTCCGTTCGAGGTGTGACCCAGGAGTTCAGTGAATGGGATTATGCCTGCGATGTTGGGACAATAGTCGACGGGATTATCTGGGGTTGTACCTGCTCATGTCAGGTTTCTCGTGATTGTCGCAAGTTGTCGACTGCGGGGCAGCTTCAAATCTCCAACATGCCGATCGATTGCACGCAGTCGTGAACGGCAGGCTGCAAACACAGTTCGTAGCAGAACAGGCACAGGGGTTGTCAGTGAAATGATCCGCGTGACAGCCAGAAATTCAACCCGAACACCAGCGGCAGCACGCCATGGAAGGGGTGGGCCCTGGGTCATACACATACATGTTTACATATACGTGTTTACATACATATGAAGCTACAAAGGTATCTACAGACATATACAAAAACATACGCATGCACATACACCAAAACCTCTACCTGCATCTACACCTATGCCTATAGTTATGCCCATACGCATAGCCATGCCCATGCGCATAAACATACAGAATGCCCGAAAGCCTGAATGCCTGAATGCCTGCCTGGGTGCGTGCTTGCATGTAAATAAGCAGCTCATTAGACACGCTAGAGAGAGACGGACAGCGCATGACAGCGCAATGTGCACTCGCATGTCACACTTCAGACGTAATGCAAAGAGCCAGGCATGAGCTCGGACGAGGTGTGCTGGGACTCCACAAAGCCTTGCGCACTGGGCGTGGTTCTTGCTGTTGTGAAGTGGCTAAAATGACTGGAAACGCTTCATGAAACTCCAAGTGTCTCGGATGCATCCAAACCACGGGTCGGACAGTCTTCAAAGGCCACCATCCGGATCCTAGGACACTGGCGCACAATGCATGCTGGCACGCATGTTTTGTCACCGAGGGCCCCGCAGTGTCCGCAGGATGTTGCGAACCAGGGCCGGGTCTTGGCTCTCCAGGCTCGTGGGAACCCCTGCACCCTGCAGGCTCATGGCGAGGGCCTGGGCCAACGGGGCAGTGGCCAGTAAGTTTCCCCTTTGCGGCTCCGTGGCCGGGCACCCGTCCTCTGAGAATTTCGAGAGGTTGGACCGCACCTCAGAGCCGTCAGCAAGCGTCAGCATGTGGAAAGCGAGCGCAAGTACATGGGTGAGGCTGGAGCGATATTCACGGCACCAGATAGGGCTGTAATGATGACCTGCGGCAACATCGCTTAGAAAGAAAGAATTTGGGCCTGGAGCCGCCTGCTTGTCCTCCGCAGCCTGAGAGCCGATTGCGACTGCCTGGCAGCACTGGCGGGGGGGGACTTCCCTGAGCTGATTTCCCTGCTGATGTGAGGGATCGCTTCCGACTCTGGCCTGCTTCGACTCCTGGCCTGGTTGCGGCTTGTCCGAATTGCAACAGACACTGATGTGCACCAGGCACCAGGCCTTCTCCAGGAAGCTTTGCAGCCAATCCCTTAAGGCGGAGGGTAGAGATGTGTGGATGGTTTTACCGTGCTCGTCTAATTTGCCTCTCTGACAGCTGCCAGCTTGTCCATGGTCTGCGACAGCGTCTCCATCAGATCCGGAGCATCTTTGGCGGACAGGAGGCTGCCTAAGGACTTGAGAGGATCTGTCGTTGGCCGTCAATCAGCAGGCGCCCTCGCACTGAGGCACTAAGGTCTTGGCTCCTGAGCCGCATCGTCCGGAAAAGAGCCAGAGCAGCTGCTCGCCTTGCAGATGGCTTTTATACACTCTGTGAAATGGACTTGCTAAGTGACCAATTCCAGCCCAAGCCACCCGGCTTGGGGGTTCTGGGCTCGGGTGACACATCCTTCCTGCATCATACCGAACTATACCTTTGCTCGGGTTGAAGGCCCCGGAGAAGGACCGCTCCGGGCTTGCTCGCCCACTCACTCACGAGCAGTCACTCGGCCCACAAAGCCTCCGAACATGCAGGCCTTGCCTTGTTGACCAGGTGGCTAAGCGCTGGCTGGTTCTCATGATTTTGGCAGAGACCTCAGGCTCTGACTGCCAGGTTCTGTTGTGCAACGCAGCTTAGACCGTGCAGGACATGCCAGGCCAGGCTCCCCGCCGAACTTGAAAGCGAGATTGTCTCGGCGTCATCCTATGCAAAGCTAGTTCACACTGCCACAGTCAAACACAAGGAACATCGACAAAAAACAGTGCATGGATTGCCACCATGACTCCAGCTGCGGCGGATCGCAGACTTCGCGTACCAGAAGAGCCTGCAGCCGAGGTCTCGCGCATGACCACTTCAGGCTTCCTCCACAATGTCAAAGCTGCAACTCATTGAGACGCAGGCAACATAGCCCTCACGCACCATTTGATCCTTGTGAGCTCCCCGTCACGGCACGAGCTTTTCAGAAGATATGGCTCTTCTATTGTGCTCTTCTCGAATTTCTTAATCCCGCAGAAGGCATGAGAAGACTGAGGGCAAAACGTAGGTGTGAGGATACCGCAGCAGAATTTGGACAACCTAAGTACTCAGCACATCTCAGCAACGGCACAACATGTCTCAGAATTTCTGACCACACACACGTTGCATCTTTGGCTCGCGCAGGCTGCTTCAGGCTCCGTCATGATGTGCTAACGTGTCTGAGAGGAAGGCAGAAAACTGCTTTGTACAGGTGCCTTCGAAAAAAGTGCCGGTGGCTATGCCATCCACACATCTCCATAGCTTTCTGGCGTCAGATTGACATCCGGCAGCCCGGACTATCCAATTACATGCGCTGCAGCGGCATCAGAAATTCTCGGCCCGGTCTGTCACTTTGCAACTGCCTGCTACGCAGCATAACATTGAGTGTTTTGTGGCCAGCCAACACCGACTGGTCGTGCAGTGTGTCAGGCTACGTATGCACGTATGTACGTATGCATGCATGCATGCATGCATGCATGCATGTACGCGACTGTCTTCGCATATTGAACTTATGTTATATTCCTACCAAGCAGCCGCTCATGCAGAAACATGTATCAACTTGCATTCATTGCCTTCTTAATGCGCTGCATTGCTGGGCACCAGCAGCGGGAACAAGCAGCTGCACAGCTGAATCCGCAGTGAAAGCTCAGCTCCTCGGATGCAGGCCGCACGCTTATGAACCTTCAAAACTGGTGCTTGTCTTGCCCAGCGTCTAGTACGATCGGGCACCGAACCAGCAGCTCTCGAAATGCTGCCGGTTGCTGAAACTCCTGCCAGCAGTACGAACAGAATCCCCACAACTCGCTCGAGGCTCTGCCCAGCTGGACACCGAGTGAAGCCTCTGGTGCCGTTGCCAAGGAGTCGGCATAGGACGCTGCAGGGTTCCGCAGTGATGCCTTAGGGCTGCCTTGAACGACTGCCCTCAACTCCGTCGGATTCCTTGGTGCAGGCACAAATCTTGGCCCCTATCTCTCACTCAAACGAGCTCACCAGAGCATCGCGGCGTTGCACTTCGTGCCAAGTATCAAGTTCAAGGGCTGGGATGCAAGCCACTTGAGAGACTCTGCGACTTCTAGCGGTCGCGGCACGTCTGGCTTCAGATATTCTGCTCTGTTCACTGCCAGCCAGGTCGACCATCCGAAGCCCTTTGCCTGGCAGCTCACTCATCTCTTGAATGCCTTGAAGAACTGTCCGGAAGCTAACGAAGCTAACTGCGGCCCATTTTTGCCAAGCTGCAAGAAGTGTTTCTGCATCCTCGAGCTCCTCTTGCAAACGACAGTGCTTCGAGGCTGTCACAGTCTTTTTTGCATATGCGACAAATTATCCTAGAGAACAATGTTTAGAGTTTGGATCTGGCAATACACTCGGACTTCTATACAAGCAGAAGCATATGTCGCTAATGGTGTATCAAATGATTCTGAAACTGGACATAAACATGCATATATACACGCATGCATATGTATATGTGTACATATATATATATATATAGATATACAGAGACAGGCGGATGGAAAGAGAGTGCTGTTCATATACGCATGTGTGTATGTGTATACACATCGGACTTATATGTATATGTCTAAATGTGTATGTACATATACATATACCGATCCTCACAACACTGCTGCGCAGTACGTGCTACCTTCGCCCACTCCCAGCTGCCTCCTGCCTCCCACTTCGACTAACGACCACCTACTACCTGCTGTCTGCCACTTGATACAGGCTACCTACCTGCTGCTACAAAATTACGACCAGCCACAGCTGGGCCTCCCGTCCCCACTCTGCTGCCCCAACTGAAACCCTGGACAAATTGAAAGAAGCCCCGGGGCCATGTCGCAGGCAGCTGCAAGGGAAGATGCCGAGCCCATCCTTGTCATGAGCGGGCTTGCAACATTAAGGGTAACTATACTTGTAACCCATATTGAGGGACTTGTAACCTTACTTATAACTACCCATGAACCTCCAAGTATGCACGTTCTTATGTAGGTCTGCAACGGTATGCACGGTATCAGTGAAACAAGATCGGCGCCTTGCTGAGTCCTATTTCTTTTCAACTTGATATGCGCAGACCTCTAGATCGGTATTGCTGCTGCCATGCAGCGGCAGACTTGGTGCTGTTGATGAATGATGATGGCTGTGATGATGATGGTGGTGGTGGTGATGATGATGGTGTTGCTGGTGGTGAAGACGGTGAAGATGAAGACGACGCTGCTGACGATGAATATGATTCCTCAGCTTCGTACACACAAGTGACATGGGCTAGCAGATTTGCTGTTTTGAAGTGCTTTGGAAATCAATCAGAAAACCCTCGTCCCACCCAATGGCAAGCAGGGAAACCTCATCCTAGTATGTTGATATCTCCAGTATGTATCCCGACGAGGAGCCATTCGTCCAGGCAGCCCATCTCTCCAGCCGCTTCCCGGATCGCAGGCAGTATGGACTGCTTGGCTGGCAGAGTTGAGGTGCCTCGATCAAGGTCTACATTCTACATACTACCACTTCGGTAAGCTGCGAGATGCCAGAGAGCCTGCAGCCGCATTCAATCTGTTCTTTTGGAATCGAGGTCTCTGTGCAGATTGCCAGCTCGGGCTAAAGAGAAGGCCTTCTCGCCTAGGCTGCAACACGCCAAGCGACCCATGCCATGAGTTAAGAGCAGCCCACTTGCGAACTGCAGAATTCTTACCTGTTGCAGATCCTTGGCAAGCTGCCTTGGAAAAGCGAGCAGCCCCCAAAGAAGGAGAGCTGCAAGCAAGTTGGAGTTCCGCATTGGTGTCATGTCCGGACAACGTTTCGGGTATGATGCAAGACCAAGTTGGACTGGCTCTCAGCAAAGAAACCCTTGACTGAAGACTTCGGTTGAAAACATTCTTGTAGGACCGCTGAGAGCTGGCGAGGCTGTTCGCAGCACTATTGTGGGCATGTCTGTTTCATGTAACGACAAAGTCACATGCTCTAGCATGTTGTACTTGGCTCGAGCCTAACGACTCAGGAACAGGTGCCATACCAGAAGCGCGTGAATCTTGTCTGCCGGCACTTCCTTGGCAAACCCAAGTGGGACCCCCACTTGCATGGCCACCTGCTTCTGCTCGAGAGCTTGGGTCACCTGTAGATGCATCTGGGCACGCTGCAAGCTCACTGAATTCCTCCGGGGCAGCCTCATTTCGGCTGCCCTGTAGCTGCAGAGCACCTCAGCGCACGGAAGGCGCCACAGTCAGCTCCATCAGGTGGGTGCCGAGTCGGAGGTGCTAAGCTACAAGCAAATCGACTGCACCGCCTTACCCAAGTCTCCGCCTGCGCAAGGACAGCTTGGCTTCTTCTAGCCTGGCATCCTCCCTTCTGCAGCCTGATTTGCCAATCAGCTTCCACAGTTCGTCGGCCGCACTTAGCGAAGCCTGCGCCCAGACACATCCTCTTACGACGCGGGCTGATGCAAAGCATGATGCCCGCGCCAGCAGCAACATGTCTCCAGGAAAGCCACAAAGGCCAGTGCTCCGCTCCACCATGCATCCCGCAGTGGCAGTCTGGAGTCGTCAAAACACATCTTCAAACTCTCTTTCCAGATCTGTGCAACATGCCTCGACAACTTGGCGTGAAAGCTCTAGCTTTGGCTGCCTGGCAAAGAGCGCTTGCATGTCATCATCTGCGTGGGAAACGAATCAAGCCAGGGCTGCGCAAGTCTTCCCAGAACTCGTCGACGAGCCCGATCATTCGCAGGATGCTCGAAAGGAATGGCCTCTGACTCGGCCATCTCCGCGTAGCAGGCATACACCTTGCCGCACTTCTCTAGCTTGAAACTCGAGTCGGAAGGGCCGCAACAGCACTTGTTTGGATCCCGGCAGAGGTGCGATCGCCCGGAGTGGGAGCTTGAAGATTTGACCTGCAGCATGACGAGGGCTCTGAAGAAGCAGCCCAGACAGAGGGAAAACAGTGTCCGATGCAGCGTACTCGAAGCTTGGCCACACGAGCATCGGAAAGTTGAACTTCGAGAAGCGGTCCTTTTCGGCTACAAAAGCTGAAAGATGGAACTGCTCCAAGCCTCTCCAGGCATTGGCAGGCCGGAGCTCCTGTGGCTTCCCCGGCAGTTGGTACAGGAGCTGACCGTACCTGCACAACACTTGCCTCCGTCTGAAGCGCTGGATCCGAACCGGACGGAGCAGAGCCCTTGCTGCACAACTGCTGAGTTCGGCACGAGCATTGCGTGAAAAGGACCGGCAAAGAGGAAAAGTGCTGACCTCAGTCGGGACCACTCGAGCCGGGTTTGCCACGCAATACTTGCAAGCATTCTCCTGACTACCATCACACCGTGCAAACACCGCGCAGCGATCAGTGCTAGCACTGCACTTTCAGGGTTTCCCTAAACCCTAAACTCTAAAGAGAAAACCTACTGTTTTCCTTGATATGTTTAATGAAAAGTGCCAAACTGACTCCAAACGACCAAAGTGAGCCAGCATCCGCAAGCTGCGGGCGAGCGCCAGTGAAATACTTTCTCACCCTCTTCTTCCAAACACCGAACTCCCCCTCGCCTTCTCTGGACACACGGCGGTGGTCCATGCAAAATGCAAAAAAAGCTCTTGTGTTTTATTTGGAAATTGGAAGTGTGCAGGCACATTTGTGCGCATGATTTTGGCCGTAGTGGCGGTGACGGTCTCAGGGCCGGCCCGTGCCAAGGCACCAAAACAACATGGAAAGCGGATCCTGATCTGAGCCTACGGCCAGGCGAACCCACGAAGACCGCACATCGAAGTTTACGTCGATGTTGAAGACGAAGAATTCGGGCATCAATGATCTCCAGACGAGAGGCAGCTGAACATCCAAAGATTTGGACGAGTGCATGCTGCGACCCCCACCGTGTCATTGATGAACACGGATACCCAACCTTGTGCGACGAGCTGGATGCATGCATGCTCGGGCTTGCAGCACTTCTCTCATTGAGAGGCTCGCAGATTCTCGTCTGAAGCTCCATGACCACCTGACGTCCAGGACCAAGGAAGCTTCTCATTCTCACCCTGCATATACTGTCAGGGGTGGTCCAAGGTTTCTCAGAGCGTGGGCATGCCTGCAAAGCGACTGTACTCCCACGTCGGCGAAGAGCTGCTTTCGCCATAGCCTTCTTTTTGTCGACCTGGTACACAGCTTAACGACACTCACTTGACTCATCATCTTTGCAGCCAGGATTTATCTGCCAACTGAGCTACTGAAGGAAAGGCGACCCTGGGGGACTTGACTTTTTATTGAGCATTGGGGGCAAGTCGTCAATTCCCTGCAGCATTGGGAAGGGGAAACCGGAACAAGGGGGAGGCATGCACACGGCCTAGACATGCCCTTCCCCGAAAAAGAAGGGACACATGCAGAAAGCAGATCGAACATTGCACAACATGACACATGTCTCAGAGCAACGACCCATTTACTTTCCGAACAGTCGATGGAGAATGGATTTGAGCAATGCCCAAAAGCATCCACTGGGGTGGAGTGACTCTGCTGCATACCCATTCCCACGGTCCTAGCAGGACAACACGTACCAACGGGGGGAGGGACTAGCAAGGTAAATGGCAGTAGTATATAGCAAACACATTGTGGCATGTATACTACATGTAATGGATTTTAATAGCAAATGAACCATTCCCCGATCTACTGCAAAAGAGGAAGAACCACGGGGCGGGGGTGCAACCGTACATGAGGTCCCATCACTTTGAAAGGGTTTGGCGAAACTTCAATCTGAGTTATCTGTTTAGTCTTGTGAAATGAAGAATAGTCGTACGAGTAGTAACGTTATGGGCAGTGGCTTTCAAAAAGATCTGGTGGGTATCGACGATATCGATTGGGTATCGATTGCCTTGCCACACATCACTCGGAAATTTAGGCACGAATGCTTTGCTTTTGTTGTGTGATTGGGATAGTTCTGGCTTTGGGAGGTTTTGGTGAAATCCGGCGTTCCAACATCACCCTACACTTAATTACCTTTACGGAAGTCTTGACGGATGCTCATATGCACTAGTATGTATCGTCTTTGAATCATCAAACACTCGACCCAGCCTAAGATTTGCATCAACAGACGGGGCCAGCTAGTATGAGAAATAACTGAAACCACATACTGCTGGGCCCCCAACTACATGGTCCAGGCGGCCATCCGGGCTTTGCTGCATCAGTCGCGGATCTGCAGTAGCCTCTCCAAACGAAACACACAAACATCATCTAGAGTCAGCAATCGTGCTCTGCTAGAAGGGGGACGGAACAGTTGAGATAGGGGCTCTGCCATTCCCGATCTATTCGATTGCAGGCCCAGACAGACTTCCTAGCGCCGACAGCCAAATACTCATCGGATCCACCACCTTTCTCGACACCAGGACCCGGACTGCCACACACAGGCCTCCAGATCGAAACAGTTGAAACGGTAAAAATCTCCTCCTGCTTCATCGAGCAGTCCCACCCATGACCTAGCCATGAGCAATGCAACCTCTGCGGATGGTGACCGGCTTGGACTTGCTTCAAGGACGGGGTTGCGGCTGCTCGCGCTTTGTCTGGCCGTTCACATCCGAGGAGTGGTGGATCACCTCGGCACGAAGAAACCGTATCCCCCACCAGGCTGACACATGTCTCTGTCCCAGCATGCCGAGGGCATCGACCCAAGAGAACTGCTGTGACCTCGGTCAGATGCTTGTCGGGATTGTGGATTCCTATGAAACCGCACGACACGAGGCTGCCACGCATGCTGCTCGTAACAAGGCCGCCAACACGCCCAGCATCCTTGGCCTTCCATGAGCGTCTGCCGCATTAAAATCATGCCGCTTCTCCCTGTATCTTATTGGGCCTGCTGGCACACCCGCCTGCCAGGCAGCTACAAGGAACAAGTACTGGGTCACACGGATCCCCCTTGTGCGCTGTTTGCCTTCGCAGCAGCATCTGGAACAGATGCACGAATTTGGACAGACGCGAACTTCTCGGCGGCGACCTGAAGAATGTCGGCAGATGTGGTCATGGTCAGCGTTCCACACTCTATGGCACAGTCCACAGCATGTGTGGACTTCTGAGCGGGCGTCCCTGGCGGTGTAGGACGGAGGCTTTGCCTTCGCTTTGCCAGCCTCTTCGCTGCAGCCGAAGCTCTGATTTCGAGTCCATCAAGACTTAGTCTTGACGGGTCGCGTAACGACCGGCCCGGCCTCCGAAGCTTCGGCTGCTGCACGTGCTGCAACGTCTTGCGACTGAACCAGCCCTGCACGCCGAGACACAGCCGGTCACGGTCACAGAGCATCTTAGGTGGAGTGCCTAGACGCAAGGATGGATGAGGCGCCACGTACCGAGGTGCATGATGCACGGAACAAAGCATAGCACCAGTGTAGTCGGAGGTGACCTCGGCAGTACAATACTCGGGCAGCCGATCACTAGCCGAAGGTTCTGTGGCCCTGGCGGCAAGCCTGGCACGCACTGCCGGAAACATCGTGAAGTTCCTCCCGCTGACCTTCGTTCCAGGCCTGGCAAAGTGATTGACCACTGGCTGGCGGCTTGAACGGACCAGTGTTCATAAATACACCATTCTGAGGTCCCGGCAGCCGATCTTTCCTTGCCAGGTTGGCGCAGGTGTAACATCTAAGCCACTTTCTGCCTGAAAAGTGAAGGCCAACTTATGACCAGTTTCGGTATCAGGTCCAGTACGTAGCCCTTGTCTTCGTGGATGCAAGCCGCCACGGTCATCTCGCAGGGAGCGGGATGTTTTGCCCAAGCTGTGGCATCAAGGAAGCAGGAAAGCCCGCGCCGTGTAAACGTTGTCCCCTGAAGACAGGATTGGATCTGGAGCATCTGCGTCTGCGTACCTGGCAAAATCAGGGACTTCCGAGCCACTGCTAAGTGCAGCATGCATCGCCTGGACACGACCTTCTCGACGCCTGGGGAGGACTTCCAAGCCTGAGCGACTGTGCCAACGGACTGGTCACGTGGAGGCTTTGTTGGTACTGGCGGGTAACTCGTCATACCGCGTTGATCCGTACGCTTGTCGTTGTATCTGTCAGTATTACGAGACTATGCAGAAGGTGAGTTACCCAATCAGTCATCCTGCACACCCGCAACCGTTCTTGTTGCCCCTGCTGCAGTACTAGTAACACGGCTGTTGGGACGATGCCCGACCATCTCTCGGAGCCTCTCAAGGAGTCCCTGACCCTCCATGTTTCGACAGCGCGCACAGTCGTCGTATGTCGTCGTTGCCAATCCTTGTACTCTAGTAGGATTCGCGGAGAACGAGAAACGCTACAACTTGAAGATCTTGAACCTCCCGAGCGATTGCACCCATGCTTCACCCCTCTGCCACTTGCAGTCCGTTAGACATTCAGTAGTACCAGTAGCTGCAGTAGTGAATAGGGCTAGTAACAGTACGGCAGTACCCTGAATCATAAACCCGAAACCTGAACCCTAGACCCTTACCCCGAAAACCCTAAACCCGAAAACACAAAACCCTAAACCCCCAAATCGTAATGGTAGCAGTAGCGGTATCAAGTAGTAGTAGTGGTAGTAGTAGTAGTAGTAGTAGCAGTAGTAGTAGTAGTAGTAGTAGTAGTAGTGGTAGTAGTAGTAGTAGTAGTAGTAGTGGTCGTAGTAGTAGTAGTAGTAGTAGTAGTAGTAGTAGTAGTAGTGGTGGTCGTAGTAGTAGTAGTAGTAGTAGTAGTAGTCGTAGTAGTAGTAGTAGTAGTAGCAGTAGTAGTAGTAGTCGTAGTAGTCGTCGTCGCAGTAGTACTAGAAGTAGTAGTAGTGGCCGTAGTAGTAGCAGCAGCAGCAGCAGGAGCAGCAGCAGCAGCAGCAGCAGCAGTAGTAGTAGTAGTAGTAGTAGTAGTAGTAGCTCTAGTACTAGTTGTTGTAGTTGCAGTAGTAGTAGTAGTAGTAGCAGCAGCAGCAGTAGTAGCAGTAGAAGTACGCCGGCAATCGAGAACCGTCAATTGGGACAAGATGATGTGTCACCTTTGTCATGTTGCTAAGACAAGAATGCGAAAGGGGGACAAGTTGACACGTCATCTTGGTCATCTTGCTCGGGGAGCTTTTAGGCGGGCAAGATGACGCATGTCATCTGGACAATTTTCGGTTTGGGGGATCATCTCGGTCATCTTGACCACTTGCACCACTCGTACCAACTTGCACCACTCGCGCCACTTGCAAGCCTCCCTACATGCCACCAACATTGCAAGAGTAGGGCATAGGGCATAAGAGTGGTTTGAGGTCCTGTTTCCACCCAAGACTGGGCTAAACCCTAAGTGCTAAGGCCCTAAACCCTGAAACCCTAAACCCTAAACCGATACGCGCACCGGGCGTACGTTTGGCTTGCAAGCCTCCCCGAGCACCACCACCAACATTGCAATAGTATGCGATTTGTTAAGTGCTTTTTCTCCGAAGGACTGGGCTAAACCCTAAACCCCAAACCCCCTAAAACCCGAAACCGAAATCCGTAAACCCTAAACTGCTGCACACGCCGGGCAGCCTTGTCACTTGCAAGCCTCCACAAACACCACCAAAATTGCAAGAGCAGTGGGTTTTTGAGGCGCTTTTTCCCCGAAGGACTGTGCTAAACCCTAAACACGAACACCCTAAACCCTGAAACCCGAAAGTCTTCAACCCTAGTGCGCGTCGCCGGCGCGTTTGACCATTTTGGGCATCCCCAAACACCCCCAAAATTGCCAAAAATATGGGCTTCCTCACGGACCAGTTGAATTGCTACAAGTGGTAGGAGTGGTGCAGGTGGTGCAGGTGGTCAAGATGACCCAGATTATCAAGTCATCTGATCCCCAGTTCTCTCCCCGAGCAAGACGACCAAGATGACCACGATGACGCGTCAACTTGCCCCACCATTAACTTGCACTCCCTGACCAAGATTGACCAAGTTGACAAGTCATCTTGGACCCCCCCAAGTAGTCCTCTCACTAAGCTGACCAAGATTGCCGAAATCACCAAAATGACAAAGTCGATTACCGGTTCTCGATTCCATTCTCGGCACAGTAAAGTCGCAGTGGAAGTAACTCGTCGTCTTTCTAGGCAAGAGGAAAAAGTCGCACAGCGCGGCGACAAAATTTTCCGATCAGTGTTGCAACTTACAGTCTAAAACAGACAAGTGCCCTCAAAGTGAGAAAATGAGAGACACAAGTGATCCAAGACCCATGAAGGGATCCCAACGCCCGAATGTGTCTCGAGCGTGCATTGCTAGAAGCTCAGAGCCGCACCCGGAAGTAATGAATGTCACACAGCAAGTTGTTGATGATGTGCTTCTTGGTCACCTACACCGATCCGAAAGATCAGGGACTTCACGTGGCCTTGACATGAACCTCCACGCCGATGTAGCCGTCGGTGCTTACCCGCTGATCCACCTTGCTGTAGTCTGCCTCAACCTGGCGAGCTTCACCGACTTCCCCCGGCGCAGGCGACGCCAGCTGCGGAACAGCACTCCGCCTTCCGCGCAGGAGCTCCATCCCAAGAGCAGCACATCCTGAATGTAATGTACTGCGGAACCCCGAAAAGAACCTGCTTGTGCGAATCCACATCTCTGAGACCAATACTCTGTGTGGCCATCAGCCTGGAACGATTGGCTAGGTGGCACATTTGCACAACCAGCACAGGTTCTGTGTAAGACAACCACATAGCTGATGGCGCAATGAAGCCATTCCCCTGCCATCGGGGGCCTTGGACAACGCTTCTTCAGGTGCCGACAGGGGACATGTCGCTGACTAGGTCAAGCAGACAAAGGCAGAGGCACTGGGAGGATTGTTGGCTGTCCGTTGTAGCAGAACACGATGTGCCAAGCCTGAAACGAAGTTTGACAGGAGCTGGGATCACCGTTACTGTCACAGCACGGGCGAGCCTGCGGCTTTCCGGTCGCTTCACCGGCCAGCATGCACTCCTCAGAGCTTTGAGCGGCGGTGGCCTCCGAAGCCACATGGTTGCCAGCTTCCATCCGCCACTACAGGTAGCCTCCAGCGCGATGCGGAACTGATCCCTGTCCGCACTGCCCTTCTTCGCCTCAGCTGCAGCACCCCTTGTCACGGGCCCCTTTTCCTTTGCAAGCCAGTGACCACGAGAATCTTGGGCCCAGGCAAAGCAGGAGATGATGCTTTGGACCTGCAGACAGCGCCCGTCCACGAGAGGCATTTCAACAGCGACGGCCAGGATTCACTCACGAATCCAGAACAACCGGTCCTTTGCACCCTCTTCCAGGAGAGCATAGCCACGAAAGCGAAGCTTGAAATCGAGGGTGAAGCTGTCCTAGACCCAAAAGAGAAGCTTGGCCAGAAACGGAAATGCTACTGTAGAAGACGAAGCAGGATGCAGTCCTCAGAAATCCCGAGGCGAAAGGGCGTTTGTGTCACCTGTGGCAGGAAGCTAGTTTCAGCTTCTTACCAGAAAGCTGACGGATTGCTTAGTGCGCCACTGATTTCATATTGGAGAAATTCAGGGCATACTGTCTCAGCCGATGCGGAACGACCTGAGGAGGAGACTTCGGTGCAAGATCAGCGGAATGTGAATCACATGGCGCGCAAGGAAGCATTGAGCTGCGAACAGCTTCGAGATCGAAGATGTTCATAAGGAGCTGGATGGCTGCCATGCGCAGCGAACGTGCCATCTCTTGAGGTCCCTGCAGGGCACTTCGCGATGCTGGGAAGCCACGGACGCTGGTAGCAGACATGCATGTGGAGCCTTGTCCCTTCCATGACGCTGCAAGTAGGTCCTAGCGGATGTTGCTTCTGCAGACACACAACGCAACGGCTTAGCTAGGCTGCTGGCTTCGAGTTGAGAACAGCAAAGAGCACCGTGTCCACCTGAACAAGGGTAGGTTGGCCCAGAGCTGGCCTCCCTAAGCATACTGACTCTCTTCTTCATTACGGGAGTCTTTTCAAACCCGCTCCCGCAATGGCACCCTTGCTTCAGGCCAAAACCCGAAAATGCAGGCCGGGACATGGGCACACTTGACCTACATCCCGCCTGATGCCACTTGTCCGAGATCACCAGCCACATGAGCGGGGATGGTTGTTGGTCTAGGCCCAGGCAACACGGCATCACGAGGACTCTGCGGACTGGTATGGAGAGCTGAGACTTCTCAGGTGCTCGCGATGGAACGGGTACATAATGGACCTAGAAGAGCAAATTGTGCAGGCTGCTTAAGGCGTATCGTCTGCGATTCATCCGCCGCAGGCCCCAGCTCACTGCGCTCGTTGGCTTCCTCCAAAGGTAGAATGTCTTTCTCCTGCCAATCAAACGCAACTGAACACCGGTCACATGAGGTTGTGCCCGGAACCACTGCAAAACCCTCGGCTCCGTCGGGAGCATGTGCCGCGACCTCACAAGGTGTCCGAAGTCAGAAGCAGGCGTGCCTCAACTCATGCCCCCACCTGAAGTAGGCGTTGTAAACCTGACTCCTAGTCAGGCCCTCATCATGGTAGGTCATGTGGGCAATGAGACCTGTCACGGGCGGAGGGCTGGCTCGCATCAACCGCTCAGGCGCAGCAATTGCTGGGCCTTCCATGATGCTGATGGAACTCTGGTAGTTCAGCAACTCCGGGGGCGGGAAGCCGACAAAGCACACGGCACGCAATGGTTCAGGCCTGAGCGGCGTCTTGAGGGCGCAGCATGGCACGACAAGTTTTTGCAGTCACTTTCAGATTTCAGGCGTCCACGGTAGCGAGGAGAGCTGTATGCGGCCTTGAAGCTTCGCCTCCACCACCTTCTCGCCCTGCGAACATGGTGTGTGGATGACTGCATACCTCTGCCAGACGCAGTTTCGCTACGCCATCATAGTGGAGTCCCTAGAGTGCTATAGCTTTAGGTGAAATGTGACTTTGTCTATTCCTGACAGAGAAACTCCGATGCCATTGACAGGTGCTGCCCAAGACGGGGTTTGGTGCCCGTCGGACGCTTTTTGTGCGTGCTGCTGCACTACGACCACTAACGACTACATTGTCGACATTTGTGCATACCCACGTCCCCGGGTCCTGCAAGTATGCAGAGACGGAGCGGTGTTGGATCGAGACCACCACCTTGGCGGCTCAAGGGAAGGGAATGCATCCGGTTCAATCACACAAGAAACTGAGTAGCTGCGAGTAGCTTGGAGTAGCTGCTTGGCGCGAGGCATGCATCCAAACCCCAGCTTTCACAAGTGCCAGCTCGCTTGCGGTCTTGCCATCAGCAACTGACAGGCACTCGGACAGCCCATGAAGGAACATACACAAGCGCAATCTTTGCGCACCTTCCTCTTCGTTGTCTGGAGCCTTGCAGTCGTTCCCTAACCACAGCTCCAGTCGGCCATCCTGAAAGCAGCATGAGCTGTAACTGTTCATAACGCCATTCTCACGAGCCAAAACGAGCCAACCGATGCCAACCGATGGAAAGACTCTGAAAAACCTATACCGTAAAACCCGGCTAAGCACGAGGTCACCTTCGCAGAGGCGGAGGCAGACAGTTATGGGCATGAATCGCTGTTTAGACGAGGGGACGAATATGGCTATGCTGCACTGAGCCTTGCCTGGATGATCCATGCACTGCTGGCTACTGACAACCGACATTGCAGGAAACACCGATAGACACGGCTCATTTGTTAGGTTCTTCCGCTGGGGTGCGCTCAGTCCATTCATTGCCTCGAGTGCTGTCGTTCAGATTCTGAATTCCAGACGCTCTTCTGAATCTTCTCGCATGCTGATGCTGTGATGACTCACCGAATACTGCAGCATTCCGCCTGCCCGGAGTGACCGTGGCCAGCTGCAAGCGCAACGGAGATGACGGGCGTGCCAGTGCCTGCTGGCATGTAGTGACCTGGGAAGATCGCTCAGCTGGATATGCTGGATTCAATGCACGCTATTCGACGTCTGGGATGCGGGCCCATCAGAAAGTAGGTCTTGCGCCCAAACTCCCCCCTCGACGTGGGCTCCTCGCTGTGCGATCCGGTCAAGATTTGGCATGCTGCAAAGCCCGGCCGTGTGCCTGCATGTAGATCCAGAAGCTGTAGGCAAAAGGAGGATGTAGAATGCAATAGCCTTCTTGCTCCACCATCCGGGCATCTTGCATTGAGACGCACGAAAGCTGAGGACGGAGCTCGGTATGGAGAAAGTCAAGCTTTGGGGCGGCAGGCCCTGTTGATCAATCCCGGTGCAGTGTTCTTGTTCGACCGCTCTTGCAGACCAACCTGGTAGCACTTAGTCGTCTTCGTGTCGGGCCTGGAACATTCAGACTGAGCTTGAGCAGTTGAAGCGCCACGCTCACAGCATGAGGACTGGGCTGCTCCATGCAGAGCTTTGAGAACTTCACCTAGACATTCCGTTCTTGCAATGTCACAGCACCGATGTGATTCAGCCACGATAGATTCAAGGAGCCATTTTGAAAAGGCGCTGCTCTCGAAAAGGCCTGCATCGAGGGCCCATCGAAGCGAGCGGTCTCTTTTCCAGAAGGCTCGTCTTGACAGTTGAAGCAAACTTGACAGAAACATTGCCGCCTCGCACTCAACGCGGAGATCGCCCGGAAGCAGGAAGCACCTTAATTGGCAGAATTCAGCATTTGTGCCGTCGACTGCCGAGGCTCGATGTTTTGAGTGCCGCGCGTAAGCTTGGCTCTTTGGAACTGAGAAGCAGGGTGACGAAGTTCAGCAAGTCCTGGATATCAACATCTATGTGCGCCGCAAGCTTGGCAGCATCTCCTTCCCTTCCGTGAATCGGATTTGCTCAGACTGCGGCGGATTTCTTGAGCGCTTCTGGCATGGCCTTGTCCTTGTCTGCTCCCTTCCCAACCTCCAGGTAACGATGCATTTAGTCCACTGGAATACTGCGACTAGTGACAACATTCGCAGAGGGCAGTGCGTCTCCTTTCTGCCTCTGCCGGACCATCTGTACAATCCGCATGTGGAGGGATTATCGCCCACTAATCTCCGCATCTAAAGAGCCTCCGGTCTCCAAGGCTCTTTCAACAGCCGGACCAAATTTCTGCAAAAGTTCCTCCCAAAGGCTGCGATATGCTAAGCTCAATACTTCCAGTGCTTGCTGCGTCTTGGCCACTTCAGCCCAACGCAATAGCTTGCTCACGCGAAATGTCTCAATGTCTCCGAATTCTTTCGGGATACTCTGCAGCAAGCGAGATACCCTGAACAAGGGCTGGGCAGCATGGTGTTGAGTGCTGGTCGAGGCAATTGCACGGTCGAAGCATCGCTGGTAGTCCTGAACAAGTGCAAGTTGGGAAGAAGCCGCGTCTCGTGTCAAGAACGCACCCCGACCGACATGACTGACCTCTGACCTTTCGAAACACGACACTAGCTCACACAGCCTCACACGCCGATCGATCATAAGTGCCACGACCCGGTTGAACTGTGCAGTTTGAACGAGCCTGTAGTTGCTCGAACGACGACGACTTGTCGTGAAGACACGTGAAGATCAAAGTCACGACCGTTGAACGAGAACCCTGCTGCCAGCGAATCGCACCCTCCGAGTGAAGACTCGTGACACTTTTGGACTCTTGTCCTCTTGGTTTTGCACCATCAAGCCGCAACCATATTGGTGTCGGCGTAGCAGCTTGCTCCGCGCTGAATCCACAGTGTCATCGTCTTTGCATGCCAAGTGGCTCAGATCCGCAGGATAATCCGATGTGTACCACTGTGCATACTTCTCAAAGTCTTCCCGCCCTAGCAAGAGCTTGTCGCGGAGACGAAGAAAGTCTTCCATGACGAGACCACCAGCTCCGAAACCCGAAAAGGTGGAATTAAGGCAGTACCCTGACTGCCAACCAAGCTGCTCGGCTACCTTTGTAAAGAACGTCTCAAAATCTAGAAGCCTGCCTGTCGACTTGCAATATTTGACAACCTTAAAAGCCGGGTTGTTATAGTAAACAGGGCTCAAGGCAGAAGACAAGAGGATGGGCCCTGCACCCGGAGGGGGATTTGGCAGTATCCTGAATTCATCCTTGTGGACGTGGCCGAAGAGCTGGGCCGCAATCACACTTCCGAGCAGACTGTCTTGGACGATCTCCAAGTATCTCGAAAGATACATAGGATGCCACAGCTCTGTGTAGCCGAATGTTTCAATACCCGGCGGTATGTGACCCACGATCCACACACTGCGGCCTTCATTTGCCGCTTCTTTCAGCTTGCTGGACAACCACGCGAATTGACTGAAAGGGTCTTCCTCCAGCTGTGTTGGTCGATGTCGCACAGAGTAAATCACCGTAGCAATGCTCAGGAGTGTTAGATTGCCAACACGGGCCTCAAAGAAACCACCGTATCTGTATTGCTTGACAGCATCAGAAGTCATCGACCAGCTGGAATTCAACTTCGCGCCTACAAGGGCGAACCAGTCGTTGGCAGGCTCGTTGGACGTTATCGTCTGGAAATAGTTCTGTGGCCCGTCATCATTTCCAAGAGCACCCATAACGATTGGGATTTTGGGGAAGTGTGTCTTGAAAACGGATGCCACCTCTCCAATTACATTGGATACGTTTGCGTGAGGATTGGGCATAAGATCCATCGTATGCCTGGAGAAGTCACCGGTGTAGAGGAGAAACGCCTTGGGCTGCTCCGTTGCTTGTGCAGCAGATGCTGCAGACCAGCCCAAAGCGATTGGGGGGTCGCAACCCATCGAGCCAAACGTTTGGTCCTTCAGAGCATACAGGCTCTGTTTGCGGCACTGGCGAATATCTGTTGTATAATATGGGTCACCGTGTAGATCGGTCATCCAAACGAAATAACCAATGTCATTGGAGACACTGTCTTCCGGTTTGAGCTGGAGCAGCGCCGTTGAATCAGCATTCTGCTGACACGTCGCACCTGCTGCGCGCTGCAGCAGCACATTCCAGGCAAGGAGGCAACAAACACTTATCCAAAGCATTGCTGAGAGCAGCTCTGTGTAAATTATGAGGGCAGCTTGAAGCCGAAGATTTGCGTGGAGTCGGTTCTGCCACGCTGCCAGCAAAAAATGCGAAGCATGCTTACAACTTCGATCAGTTTCAATCCGGTCTTGTGGCCTTATTGCAATCCGAGGCTGGAGGTTTCGAAGATCCCTCAAACACGTGTAGTGGCCCATTTTAGTATTGCCACGGCTTTTTGGGCCTCGACCCTCTCCCTGCCCCACACCCTCCTTCCCGTGACAGTACAGATAGGAGTAGCAATGGCAGTAGCGTTTGCGGCACAAACAGTGACTGGGACTTCGACTGGGACGAGGAGGAGGAGGAGGAGGAGGAGTCAGGGTAAAAGTATGGACCAGTTGTCGGGGTCGGAGTCGTCGAATTTCGGGTCGAAGGTGTCACGAGGACATTGACATGAGTTCGGCGTGTCGTAGAGCCAGTAGCGGTCGTGTAGACGTAGTAGCACTGCCACTGCTACTGCTTCTGCTACTGCTACCACTGCCACTGCTGCCGCTACTACTGCTCTACTGCTACTCCCGCTGCTATGTTACTGCTTCTGCTGCTGCTGCATCTGCTACTGCTACGTTCACTACTCCCACTACTCCTACTTCTCCTTCTACTCCTACTACTCCTACGACGTACTGCCGCAGTGTAAACCCGAAACTGGCCTTAAACCCTGATAAAAGACGCTCGACTCCAAACTCTAAATCCTAAACGCCCCTAAAGGGACTTGTGGATGGCAACGTCTCAAATGCTGCCGTGAGATAAGCACGAATGCGAACGAATGCCAAACCTTGAATACCCAAGTGGGCTCTGAATGGCAAAGCTTCAAAAGCAAACGAAGATAACGCGGGCAAACGCCAACCCCTAAAGGGTTCCCAAACAGTTGGAGGGCAAACTCTACTGCCTGAGGACTCATGAGCTGGCCAACGTTCAACCCCAACAAGAGAACAGACGGCAAACCCTAAAAACGCTAGCAAAAAACATGGACCAACGGACGACAAACCCTGAAGCAACAATGTCCGTCCCATCCGGCAATGTTTAACCACAACCCTAAACGCAAAACCTGTGAATGCGACTCCCCTGCGAGCTCACCCCAGCGAACGGACCGAAACAGTTCAGTCGAAGGCTCGATGCCTCACTTTCTCGACGTAGGGCAAAGTGTGCGCAAGCTCTCACACGGATCAAGATCCCGTGGTCTTGAATCTTTCAGCTACACATTGGCAGGCCATGCCGAGGCACATGTCCAGGGTTTACCGAGCACACATGAATGCAAGAAGAAACAGAAGCTGACCTCTTACCCCTCCAGACTTCAACGATTTTCATTCATCTTCAGCGATCCTCGGTCAACCCCGGTGAAGCCGCGGCCCCATGCCTCCTGTATCTTGGAACTCTTGACAGGCCGTAACCACATCAACGCTTTCCCACGAAGTCTCTGAGACAAGCTGGGCAGACTAATGTTCGCGTCGCTCTGCAAACTTGGCCGGGTGCTCTACGTACATGTGCCATTGTGTGCCCAGCTTGCTGTCTGCACATCTCTTCGTGGACCTTGCACAGCGCAGGCTGCTGTGAATGTCGACCTGCACAGGACATTCCCAGGCTTCCCAGCTCGGAGTAGTGCTTCGACTGGCACCCTTGGACTGGAGCCGGCACAGGACGACAGCTCCAAGCCAGCATCCCAACCCGGAAGCTCACTCCAAGAGGACTCAGGACCCAAGCTTTCGCAAAGTCTCTGATAAGATGTGAGAATCCCCAGTCCCGCCCTACTCGCACTTACGCCTGGGCTTCACAAAATTCAAATCTGGCACAACGCATATCTGAGAGAATCCATCCTTGGCTGACATAGGCATAAACACTCAGCTAGCTTCTGTTCGCTTCTACTGCTTATAGTCATGGTGACTATACATGTAGTTAGTGATTAGGATTCTGCCTGCGGTTGGCCTTTGCCACATTCGGCACGGCGCAGCCGTGTCCAGGCTTTGTGTGCTGCGAAGCTGTGCAGCTGGCGTGTGCCACAGTGCTGGAAACAATGCCGAGGGCCCATGCAAGCAAGGTGCAGTAAGAGCTCCCCGCTCTCGAATTACGGTGCAGGTGTGTGCAGCATCAAAGGTGCACCTCTGCCCTGTGAACTGTCTCTGCTTTGTACATGTCCTCCCAACCGTTGGAGGAAGCCTTTAAGCCACTTGGGGTGCCTTGTTCAGGCTCAAGAAGCCGCCAGTGTCTCCGTGGCCGAAGGCGAGGTAGGCCCCAAACTCCTGGTGACGCCAAGTCTCGTCGCAGGTGGAATGTCTGAGGTTGAGAGGCGCCTTGGCGAACTGCTGGCCCTGCGAACTGATCAGGGCTTGGAGCTTGTTGTTTAGGCCTCGGCTGCGAGCGTACTTTTCAACTACTATCGACAGCTTTGCTCCGAGGAACTGTGGATTCTGCTCAGCGACATCCGGAGAAGACCGATGCCCTGCGGTCGTGACAGCTTGAGATTTCGGACTGGGACTGCAGGATGAGAATGCCGCACTCTTGCTGATGTCCGAGAGGCCGATGAAGAATCCACCGAAAAGGAGTCGCGGGCAACCTCAAAACAGCTAACAACCAAGTTACCCTATGTTTAGGCAACAGGGTGTGCCTGGAGCATCTCGATAGCTTCCCTGATTCTTCCTGAGCAGTGAAAGCATGTCACTGTGCAGCCCCACTTGTTGGCTGCTGTCGCCTTCATCGGTTTCAAGCTTGTTCTGGATCCTCATGATGTCTTCCACAGTGCAGCCTTCTTCGATGCAACCTGCAGATATTATAGAAGTTTGAGCTGTGCCAAATCCGTGCACACTAGTTCAGCAATGCACGGCCTGCGGCCTCTTCTTCCACAAAGTGGGTTGCCTCACGGAGTGTTCCGTACTTTGTGTTCGCATCCATGCATTTGCAATCCTGCCTCCGGCAGTGGCAGGTGGCGCTCCTCGACTTCTTCCTCAAGAGCTAAAACTCTGCTCTCCGTTTGTGGTCAAGTTTCAACCCCGTTCCCCAGTCTCAGGCGGACTCTGCCGCGGCGTCTCCTGCCTCGGGAAATGCAGAGCAGATGCAAGCATGTCGCGCATGGCGGTTGATGTCTTACAAGCATCCGGTACAGAGAAAGAGAGACATAGGTTAGGTGGCATCTCTAGAACAAGGACTGGTCACATGCTCGCAAACATTTATAGCAAATGGCAAGATGCAACATTACCCAATAGGTCGGGGAGGGGACCGGACCGCGGGCTTGAGTGTGACCTGAAACTGACGGGGGACGGTGGCCTCCCACCCCTGTTGCAATCGTGCGATGCCTTTTGCTTTTGGAATGGAGTGATCACGTTTCTGGAGTGATACATTGCCTTGCTAGTAAGGGTGACTTGTGTTAACCGACAACTGCCGCAAGCTCCTCTGAGCTTTCGTGGCAAACAAAACAAACAAAAACAGACGGTGGAGGTATGTTGGTTTCTCCCTCCCTCATCCTGCCCCGAGAAGCAAACTCTGCTGTTGGAAGCTACCGAACATGCAGCGCCCTTCCTTGCCCAAGCACTCAACAAAACACCCAGCTACATATTTTGGCGGACACATGCAGAAGCTGGGTTCCGCTCGCGGCGAAGAACACGAATACTTGGCCTTCGGTGCTCCACGGATGCTGGCAGTTCGGGAATCAAAGGAAGGACAACTACATGGCAAAATAAGCGCTGGCAGTCCCTGCAGTCCAGTCACTGGCGAGGGCCAGAGACAAAGGAAGGACCAGCCAGAAAGCCGAAGGCAACCTGGAAAAGTGCTGTTGTACTCCCGACATGCACCCTTTGCCACCAGACTCTTTCCCACTTCCACTTGCGGCAAAGGTGCAGCCAGCACGACGAGGCCGCGAAGCACGCGTGGAGCCATCGGAACTTTTCTAAAGCCAGGGATCGCACTTGTTTGGGGGTCTCTTGAGACGAAGTCTTGCAGGAGTCCAGACATTCCGCTTCAGCATCTTTGCATCGACCCAAGCAAACAAGATTACAACAGTGACGCACTTGTGTGCCTCCATGAACTCGTGTGGCCGGCACTGCGCCTCATGAAACGTGGGCTGCCAGCCTGGCGATGCTCGGACTGTGGCTGACCCACTGGAAAGCCTGAACACATCATAGAGTAAGGCCTTCTGAGAGGAGCAAGGCATACATCTCGGCAACGTGGTAGAGGACCTGCCGGGGAGCTGACGATTCCAAAAACGTTTGCCACGGCCGCAATGCCTTCGCATGTGCCGGTCGCAGCATGCCGTCTTTCGTTGCCGCTGTCACGTAGAACAACCTGGCGACTGCTGGGCGATTGTACAATGAAAAGGCAATAGCACGCGGATCTAGACAGGCCCGGCAGACAGAGCGGTGAACGGTGATGGCACAACCTCTTCTAGCACCTGCCAGAGCAGTCACCATGTGCTGTGAAGGCACTGTCAGCCATGAATTCCTCGCCTGCTCAACTGTTTGAATCTCCATCCTGGAAGCTTTCCCCGTGGCCGCCGCTGCAATTTCCTGGCCGTTTTGAATTGGCTTGTAATTTCTGTTGCTGTCGTAGTCCAGCTTCATCTTCCAAACACCAAACAGGCCAAAAAGCCAGCTTCTTGTTTCGGACTTCCATTTTATCATCCGTGACTCCCAGAAGCTGCGCCAGTACCTTGCTTGAGCTCGGCACAAGCGGTTCGCTAATCCAACACCTGCGCTCAAATCACGGGAGTTCGGATGCACAAAGGAAGTGAAGCCAGTTGAACCCAGGGGCGTATGACACGGTCTTGATCCACCTGCAATGCATGGGCGACCCGAGGATCACAGGTTACGTCAAGGCTGGTCTCCTGTCACGCTTGCACGATGCAGCACACACTTCCTCAGGCGCCCGCTCTTCACGACGTCTGCGCTTCATGATGTCCTCAGAGCTCCCGCTACATGGGGATGCGACACAAGAATCACCTTAGGATCTGGGTCGCCCCGCAAGGAAAACAGGGACGTGCTCCCAATCCGAGCCGCCAAGCCTTACTCTGCGCAGCTCAGGACGACAAAGGCATCCCAAGAACAAGGCGACGGCATGGCTTCCCGAAAAGCTGGTACTCCTCACATGCGCTCGACAGCTTCTGGTCCGTCTCGGCTCTTTTGCTCGGGCTGTGACTGGACAGCAGCAACATTGTCTCTCCAGCCACTCTGACCTGTCATGCGGCAGGTCAGACTCGAAGAGTTGCAGCCTCTCGGGGTCGGACCTGCTCCTCCAGCAGCACAAGCCTGACATCTCTGCAACGAAGGTCGCATGGCACAAGAGTGAGTACGTCGCACCACGACCACGACCCCGAAACGTGCTGGACCAACTCTGCATCTCCAGGACGTGCAGCTTCTAGGCGATGGATGATGTCCAGTGCCAGACGCAAGAAAGGAAAGACCTTACAGACACGGTTCCCGCAGCTGAAAGGCAGAGCACCATGTTCTTTGGGTCCCACCGGCACACGCTCAGGATTCAATCCGTCCAGTGGTGTCTTGTCCTCGTTTGATTCCAACTCCTGCATGTTTCACGCTCAACCGAGACACAGCTCGCACGGGTAGGGTTTAGGGTTGCATCCTTGGCTAGGACGGCGTAGCACCAGTTGCAAGCTTGGATCACAGCCTCGTTGACTCATCCGTCGAACATGAAAAGAAGCTATGCAAGCTAGTTGCATTGAAGTACAAACCAAGCCAAGCACAAGTGGCACTCCACGAATTGCTGTTGCGTTGTGCTCAGGGGAAGGGAGAAGCATGCCAATGATGTCCTGTCCAGGCAACTGCGAAGATGCAAAGGTCCCGGAGCACCAGCTGTCTGACTTGCATGAAGACATGTCCGGAGATAAAACATGTCGAAACTGCTTGCAAAGCCACCGTCCTCAAAGTGGCCGTTCACCAGAAGGTCGTTCACAGAGTTGCGAGGAATGCTGCGAAAAACGAACACTGGAAGCACCTTCAGCACGAACTCCTGGCGAGACACTTCAAATGATGCGGCCCTTCCAGGATGGCTGCGGCTACGTGCTTCGCTGTCCTCTTTGCCGTCACCCTTGCTGGTTGCCCGATCGAAACCACAAAACACTCGGCCTGCCGAGCGCTAGCAGAGCCACAGCATCTGCTTTGCTAATTTTATGCAAGACCTTGCGAAATCTTGGCAAACCCAGGCTTGAAGGCGACTTTGACGACATCTCCTGGAAGGTTCACCAGCGGCGTGTGGTCCGCTACACGCGGAAAGCACCTTGCCTGCCGTTCGTGTGCTCAGTGGCACCCGAGCTTTGTCTTCAATCCTCCGTCGTTCGGTGTGTCAATTTGCAGTGCCAGCACCAAGCAGTTCCGGTCGGTGTCAGAGTGTCAATCGATGCCCACGGGCGGAGGGGCAGTTGCAAGCTGACGGCGAACAGCACAGCAGGTGTAGCATACTAAGCCGACGGCTCCACTGACATTGCTTCGTCCGGACCTGTGGGCCGACACATGGCACTCCGGTTTTGACACAATCTACAGGGAGGTTCAAGCAAATCAGGCGCACCGGTCGGGGTGAGCAGGATGTCAGTGTTCATGGCCTTCTTGCTCTCGCACAGGACCTACAAGTTGGTGCAGGGAGCATCTTGTTGGAACGCCAAGGGAAGAAACAATTGCATATCTAAATGCTGCAAGAGCTTGATGTGCAAATGTGACAAGCTATCCGCTTTAAGTGTGCTTGTGACATGGTAGGTGCCACCAGACTCAATCCGTGAAGCACTCCAGGTAGGTCAAAGGCACGTGCTTGCAACTGACCATCGAGGAGGCGATCCGAATGGTACTCTGCTTGGCCCGGGCATGTCTGACATAACATCACAGAGAGGGGCGTGGCGGGGTTTCACAAAGTGTTGAGCTATGTCCTTGGATGGTGAGAGTTTACCACTGAACCAGTCATGTGGCAGATGGCTGAGCTATGCGAACTAGCGGGAGCACACAGGTTCGAAACAAGCTTCCCTCCAAGACACTCCAAGAACAAGCTGTGGAGTGACTGGGATGGCTAATCGGCACGATGCACACATACCCGTAAAGCCAGCCGGCCGGCTAACCAGCCAGTCAGCAATCCATCTTTGCGCAAACATCGCTGAGATCTCCAGCCCTATTCCGACAAAATCAGGGCAAAGACCCGACAAGGCCTCTGTCGGAAAACCGGACGCAATCGCCGGAGATTTTGTGGTCAGGAGATTGCTGTGTTCGGAGCGGGGCTTTCGAACTGAAAAACAAAAGAGGGGGGAATTGAAGTAGGCGATGAAAGGACGCTCTGGGGTCCAACAAAGTCCGGACCTCTCTGCGGTGATGGAGAAATCAAAAATCAGCGGTCGATGGTGGAGAGCGGGAATCCCAACCCCTGACCAGCCTCCTCAACCTCACCCTGAACCCTAAACAGTGAGCCTATCTATCCCCGAAACGCTCCCTTCCAACCTCTTAACTCCAAACCACACGGTGCACACACCGACAAAACCCGTACGCTGCAAAATTCCCTAAACCTGAAACCCAAAGCTCTAAAATCCAATCTAACTCCCACAACCCGTGAACCCTAAATACTAGACCATACTTGAAAGCTTAACTGCATTACCAGACTGGCCCCATGCACGAACCCCAAGCCCCGCACAGGCATCCAACCCAAGGACCTAAGCCCTAAACCCACAGCACAACCCCCGACCACAAAACCGTAAGTCCCACACACAAATGTGCGCCGGCTGAGCTAAATTCATACCTTTATCATGACCCCGATGCCCTAAACACTAAGCCCGTCCAGAAAAAGAAGCCGTAACCAGTCCAGGTCCTAAACCCTAAACCCGAAACCCTGAAAACACCATACGCAAACGGTAGTTTGTAAACCTACAACCCCTACATCCTAACCCTTCAAGCCTCATCGCCTGAACCGCAGAAGCCTCCCCAAAAAAGCATCCCCGAAGAACGGAACCTACACCATAAAGCAAGCCTAAACCATGCACCCGTGCTGGACCCAAGGCCCTGAAGAAGCCGTGCACACATCCTAGTCACTGACACCCAGCGCCAGACAGCACACAGGGAGACCATCTAAACCCTCATCCCCAAGCTCCGCACAGCCCTAAACCCAAACCCCTAAGTTCTCAAGTCCGACACCCGATACCCTGACCCCATACTTTTATCCTGGCACTGGCTTGAAAAAGATTTCGCTTGATCGTGTCTGGGCCATGTATAAACAAACGGGTTTCCTGGATATCGTCCGACAGGTTCATTTTGCATCTTCAGCATTGATATCCCATTACTTGCCGAAATTGGATATCGTCTTGCCGGATCGGTGCGCCGTTATCGATTGTTGGAGCTCCGCATGCAGCTACGTTTGCATACACCCAATGTGCATACGTACATTGAGGTAAACGTGAACGTGCGCACAAGTACGGACATGTCGTATATCTCCGGCTGTATCCATGTTCACTAGATTCTAGATATATCAATGCTCGAAGATGCAGGCATAGCGCTTGCCGACTAAGGCTTCGGCCTTGACACTGATTGCGCCGGGAACCTCGAAGGGCAAAGCATGGAAGATCTTCGTCCCGTCGTCCAAGGTCTTGTCCTGGCATGTGCGGGCTGCGGGCTGCTCTAGAATCCTTACTGGAGTCTCAAACTCTGATGCATGGGAAAGTCAAGGGCCCGGCGAGTGTCGTGTCCAAGGGAAAGCGCTTCACCATTTCCGTGACCTGAAGTCCAAGAGAGTGGCGGCTCAAAGAGGTCGCTTGGAAGATCTTGGAAGCTTGAGGCTCCCGGCGAGTCCAGTCGACAGGTAGGTCAAGATCATTCCTGGCAGCATGGAACTTGGACAAGGCCACTCAAACCGACCCTCAGCCGGCGCCACTTGATGCGAAGGTTGCCACTGAATCGGCTGCATCCGGCTGCCCTTTCGTTCGGAGCAGCTTCGCCGAACTTGGCACACGAGAGTTGTTGAAAGGCGTCCTCGCCCAAACACTCTTCAAAGGCAATCCGAGTCCGAGCAACTCCAGGAGCCGTCGCAGGGAGTCTGAGAGCAGCGAGTTCTGCTCCGTGGTGGGCAAATGCCGCAGCCTGGGCGATTTGCCGAGAGGCACCGCACGCGGGCTCGCGGGGTGTGGCACACAAAACCTGTAGAAGTGCATTTCGGTCCGATTTCTCCGAGCGACGCATGCGCTTGCAAGTCGTCTCGCCACAGCGCTCTATATGGCTGAATCTTGCACTACCTGTAAGGACTATATGGTGATATACTTTAACAGTAACAAGCCTTATGCTGGCAGGCTCCAACTCGTGTGCAAACCCGAGCAACGATGTCCTGCATCTAAACCGTCATGTCGAAGCTGTGACCTTCAAAGCTCCCAACAAACCTCTCAACCCATGTCGGATTGATTCTAGCGCACGCTCCCGGTCCCGCCTGCCTCGAGCAGAGTACGTCTTACTCATGCTCACTTGGAAGGCTCCGGCTCCGGGCGTTTGTGATCAGGGCGCCAAGTCTTCCGACTTGCGCCGGCTGAGTGAAAAGACGCACTATGTCGGGCAGTAGAATCAGTTTAACAGGCTGGCGTCGGTGCGACGAAAAAGTAACATTTGGCTTGACTGCAATTTCGCCTGCACCTTGTGCAGCCAGTTTTGCTGCGTTTCGCATCGGCAGATCGGCCAACGCGCGCTGAGGGTGTTGGCCCTCGCATCGCAGTAGTGCCCACAAAGGTATAGGAGGGTCTCCAAGCGGCTGGCTTGTAATGGAAGGACAGGTTTGTGGGAACCAGACACTGCGGTGCTTAAAGTTAACTACACATACATGTGCTGTGCTTCTAAGCTGTGGGAATCGTCCAGCTCGATTGGTTGGTCGCCCGATTGTAGTAGTACGTCCTGGGCAGGAGTTGGAATGCAGTCAAAGCAACCCTGAGAGCAGAGGCAAAGTCAGAGCTAAGCACAAGACTTGCCACTCGTCGCATCCACGCCCTGCTCCCATCCAGCAGGAAGCGCGGGCTGTGCCTGCACACGACTTCACGACGGCAGTGCACAGAGGAAAGACACCTTCTCAAGTTGCCGACCTCTGCTGGTTGAGCTTGGGCTCCTGCTTCTGCAGGAGCCGCGGTCGCACCATCTGCCTGCGCCTCCGCAGGAGCTTCTGCTGGTGCAGTCGCCGGCTCGGAAGCTGGTGCAGTCGCCGCTTCCGTTGCGGGAGCGGTGGCGGCGGTGGCGGGTGCAGTCTGAGGTATGCTTGTCTGCGCTGGCGCTGCGGCCAAAGCCGCTGCCGGCGCAGTCTGTGCCAGCAGCATTGGGGGCAACTGGGTCGGAGCGGCGGCAGGAGGTATCCAGCTCGTCTCGCCCGTCGATCTGTTGGCGTAGTACACCTGCGAATGCGAAGCGAAATCTCAAACGGCTGTCACTGCGTCACACATCTCGTAGACAAGTCGCGCCTTGCCACTTGCCGGGTCTACCGCCTGCTCCCAGCCCGGTGGCAAGGCAGGCACTCCTGCCGACAACTGTACACCTGAGCAACAGCAGTGCCAGGCATGGAACTCGCTCTAGCGAAGCAAAGCACACGATGCATGCGCCTAAGAGCCTGCCGACTGTCTGGGCTCTTGGCCGGCGGCGCCGGGCAGGACGGCGTAGCCTTCCAAGCAAGCGGTCGCCGTATTGAACCAAAGTCTGACTTTGAGTGAGAGCCGCCTTTCATCAGCTCTCCACATGCTGCATCCGTGATTCGCCGGCCTGCTGGCAGTGCCCCCTGTAGGGCACCTGGCATGCCTCCTGACAGCGCCACACCGCCCATGGCCATGCCGGGCATCGCTCCTGTCAGGTGGTAGGCTCAGATGCCGTAGCGCCGGGCATGTCTGAATAGCGTCTGACTGTCCTTGAACAGCACCGTACCCTGCTGGCATCGCTGCGGTCTTCAGGGGCAGAGCAGATGAAGTGACATGGAGATCTCTTTACATCTCTTTGTGCACACAATCTGCGCAGGAGCAAGTGGCCTGCAGACCGGCAACACCGTAAGGAGAGTAGCGCTGCCTGCAAAAGGCATAGTCATCAGAGGACCCATTTCCCGGACCCCAGCGCGGCCGAGGAGCAAGTCCACATACCCGTTTGGAATGGCACCATAGCCACCTGACAATTATGTGCGGCTGGGTCATGAACGTCTCCAGCTGTCCACCTCGCCTGCCAAGCCAGCCAGGCCCCCTGACAGGGTATCGCTGAAAACCAGGGCAGGCAAAGGTCAATTCTTCTTTGGAAACACATCTACGGCGCAGGCTGTGAATGCCTAAAGATCAGCCGTGATGTCACCAGCATTCGTTTTGACATGCCTATTTGCAACTGCTTCAGCACGGAGGCAACAAGCCCCTACCTCGCCTGGTGCAGCAGGCAACGCGGCTGCTATCACACCTTCCAAAATGCCTTGCACAGTTGGTTGAGGAACAATGCGGTCAGCTCTTGATGCACAGCAAAGCAAAGTTGTGCACTCCAGACCAGCCAAGATACTCCAGGTAGTTGCCTTCGGCTTGTTCGTCCGAGCCTACTGCTCACTTCTGTTGCATCAAAGGAAGCAATAATGGTGTCGGTAGTAATGAACCACACTGGAAAAGGCTGCCCTTGTGAAGTCCAGCCTCGATCTCTGACTCGAAAGTCACTCGGAGCCCCTCCCGGCACTTGGACTCGTCGGAACCTACCTGAAGGCACAGCGGCAGCAAAGACACAAATGCTCTTGCAGTGCCCCTCTTGCAGGAAAGGAGCCAGGTTGCGCGCCGGCGCAAAGATGTCTCCCTGACCAGGCCTAAGGCAGCAGAGTTCTTTGGCAAAGTGGACTCTGAGATGAGAGCAGGGTATAACTGTATAACTGCAACTAGTCATCACGTGCACAAGCACCGAACTGAAAAGGAAAAGAAAGCAGGATTTTCCAGAGCATGCAGCACCGTTGGATAAGCAACTCTGATGCGACGTTTGGCTGCCGTGCTTCACGTTTACTCAGAGAGAGAGAGAGAGAGAGAGAGAGAGAGAGAGAGAGAGAGAGAGAGAGAGAGAGAGAGAGAGAGAGAGAGAGAGAGAGAGAGAGAGAGAGAGAGAGCGAGAGAGAGAGAGAGAGAGAGAGAGAGAGAGAGAGAGAGAGAGAGAGAGAGAGAGAGAGAGAGAGAGAGAGAGAGAGAGAGAGAGAGAGAGAGAGAGAGAGAGAGAAAGAGAGAGAGAGAGGGGACACAAGCACTGTTGTGTCTCACTCCACAACACTGGAAGGAGGTCTTACCGCGAGTCGCGATGGTGCACGGAGACTCAGGCAGTTCGCAGACCTTGTTGGTGCTTCGTCAACGCATTCTTTTTGGAGGAGCGTCATCCTGCCCCAGCTTCTAAGGATGCCGCCAGCTGACACCAATTTACACGGGACATTGACAATACACGTCCCGTGAGTTCACACACCCTGGGTCGCGAGAAATGCACACAAGGACAGAGAGACAGCAGCAAGAAGAAGCACGAGAATCTTGCGAACGAAGGAAGGGACTCTTGTCTTTCGGGCCCGGTCCGGCTCTCTCAACACACCGCCTAAAAATCCGTTTTCGACTGTGACTGCCGCACTGAAGCTGCGAGTGTGAGGCTGAGGTCGTGGCTCATCAGGTGTAATAAAACCAAAACCCTTGTCAGCGAAGAACTTCTTCAAGGTCCCCAGCCTCAGATCTCTTGAGCTTCGGCCGGAAACAAAGAATCGTCTCATTTCTGGCGATGATAACGTGATGGGTTGAGATGCGTGCGGCATTGCAGGAGGCCGCGCACCCCCCACCGTGCCCGCCCGAGAGCCAACTGCCGCAGGCATTGAGACAGGTCATGAGACTTCTTTGACTTCCTGGTGCAAGCTGCAACGGCTCGCGCGGCATGGGGAGCATCCACAAATGTGCAACACACAATCTGCGATCGAACTGAGCTGGCAGGCAATGACAGCAGCGAGTCAGGCACCTGTTCTAACCTGGACCATCGAGCACAGGGAATTAAATGCAGCTCGTTGATTTGTAGTAGCACAGGCAAAGCTCGGTACGCCCTCGGGCTGTGACGCGGCAAGCATTCGCTTGGCTGTGCTGGAAGCACTGGCAAGTGCACCCTGTGAGAGGTGCATGACCTGGGGCATGCTTTATTCTTCAAGACTCTTTGACTGGTCCTTCGGATTCTGCGTGGCTGGGTTGGAAGCTCGTTGGCTGCCGTGTCAGAAGCGGCGTGCCGAGAGATCCCGAACACTAACCCTGCTCACAGGAAGTTGTACGGGGGCTCTTCGAAGTGTAAACCATACTAGTGGCTCAAAGACTTCCATGCTTTCTGGTTTGAGGCTCAAGCCTTACCAGGCTCGGTGCCACTTCGAGACTATAGCCTCTACGCTTGAGCTCTGTAAGCGCACCATTCGTCCCAGTGCTGAGCACTTTGCCAGCGGCACGAGGACCTTCGGGGAGCAAGCGCTGCGGACCAGCCGGAGGTCACCCTGCACCTGTCATCATGAGAAATGCACGCGCACGCACACACACACACACACACACACACACACACACACACTTGACACATCGTGTCGCAGGTCTGATCTGTCGGTGCATACTGTCAGAGAAAGTCAGCAGCTGTCAGGGAAAGTCAGAGGCTGCACGAAAAAGTCAGAACATGCAATCTTGAACAGGAACTGAGCAAGAAACTGACCAATGCAAGCCCTCACTCAAACACAGCTCGGAAAGGGGTTTGCGGCTTGGCCCCCGTGCCATTTCAATGCAGGTACACAATCTGGCGTCCCAGATTGCTTCACAGCACTTCTATCACCGTCTTCGTTGGGCAGTGGATGATAGAAGGCTCACTGCCCCCCTGCTCATTCGACTCAGATTTACCTACCCTTCGAAACAGGGATGGACACACACAGGCCCTCCCGGGCTCATTGCATCCGTTCAATCACTTGCACAGCACTTGCATGACAATGCGCACTCACTTGTCCAGATCGCCACCAGACCACCAGAAACCAAAGCTCCACCACCAGCCAGGCTTGCACTTGCACGACACTTGCGATGCAGTAAAGTGGCGAGATGTGCACTCCGACCCCTTGCAATGTAGACAGTCTTTGCGCGCTGTTTTTTCTCACCGATTTTTCATGGGAAAGTCTTATGCTCAAGAGACCTAGGAAAGTGGGCTACGAAACTTCAGGAAGCGCAGTCTGTGCACTAAGTGCAATTCGACTTCGGCTTCTTCCGCATCAGCATCGAAGTACATGCAACACTGAGTCGCAGTTTGGTAAGCAACGTTGGCCAATGACACGATACTCACTCGCAAATGCTCTTGTACTAGGTCTACCACAGCTCTCATCCACCTTTTTGATGGGCTGCTCAACATGGTGCAAGCCACGGCATTGATTTGGACAAAACGGATGGTGGTATGCAAAGACTGAAAGCCCATGGTCAACTCAACCGAGGAGGACAGCCGAAACTCCTGTATCCCACGTCGCAGGAACGTGTACGCCACCATGGTGTCGGTTATGGGTTGTGCCTCTTCTGGGTCATCATTTTGATCGAGGCGAGTAATGAATGTGATTCTGGCTCTGATCGGCAACACGTACATCAAGATGTTCTCGAGCACGTCAGAAGCGGCCCAATCCATGTTGTTCGGGATCTACACAGTTTTCAGAGTGCTTGAAACAAAACTCTATTGCATGTCTGATGAAAGCAGCTCACAACACCGCAGCACTTGCACGTCTCTGACATGTTACTCTGCACATTTCTTGCTCTGCACTTGCACGAACCTCGCACATCCCTTGCATAACACTTGCAATCCGCTTGCACGTCCCTTGCTGGTCACTGCTCTTGACTTGACACAGAGGTGGTCTCTTTTTTATACCGTCACAACGAAATCGACTGGTTCAAGGGTTTGAGCAGTCGTTACAGGTTCCGTAAACCGAAGATGGCGAAAGTCTTGTACAAGCTGGAAGGTGTGTAACCTAGGCCACCAGCCGAACTTCTCCCAGAGCTGCATCGCGACAAGGTATTTGGCAACGTTGATGGAATCGTTGATTGATAGCTGGATGTAGAGAGTAATAGTCTCGTGTCCGGTTGCCCGACTGCATACACGAACCCACATCCGAAAAATGTAGTCGCGGCTCGTACTCCAAGGCAGATTGGCTTCGCGGGCCTTGCGCTTCATGTTGGGCAACCTACACAGTTTCACTGGATGCCAAATGCTGCAACACAAGACGGTTCATGCAGAAAGCTGATAATGCACAGCACTGCAAACGCGCACTCTTTAGTTTCTTTCACTTTCTTTGTGCAATCTCTCACTTTCGGTCAAGAACGTACTGCACAAGTTTCAAAGTGGACGAAAAACGCTTCCTAGGGCCTTGCTTTTCTTTGGCAATGCGTTGGCCATGCTGTCTCAAGAAATCGAGAATGAACTGAGCTCTGTTGTGAATGTAGAAATCGTCACCAAGCACTCTCGTGCCTTCCATTCTGCGGCGAAATTGGGTACTGGGTGCAGGACGAATCTTGATGCGCACACCGTCAGGCCCTTCATCGATCATACGAAGTTTGCGTTTCCGCGGCGGGTCCGTCTGCAACATGTTGGTGTGCTCTGCAGCTGACTGCTTCGGCTTTGGGGCATGAACTAATCGACCAGAGGACGAAGACGCAGACTGTCGGTCAATGGATGAAGACGCATTAATACTCTTATGATCAAGAGCAAAATCAGCCGAATCCGGATCACTGGCCAAAGGAACACCTGATGCCACATCTGCACGTCGATCACGTTCTTGGTCCGATACTGCAAGGTCTGACGAGAAATCGGAAGAGTGCACGTCCG